GCTTGATCTTGCCGAAGCTCATCATGTAGCAAAGTTCTTGGCTCATCCGCTGGAGTCCTATGATACCAACGCTGACCTTAAGCCTGAAATCACCTCTATGACCACAGCAGTTTATGTCCAATTCATGAAGGGTCTGGCGCACCCCGAGTCACGTCGATCCTTTGAACGGATGCGCCGCACCCTGTACAAACGCAAAGTAAAGGCTGGGAATCGGCAGCTGATCCGAGACAATCTGGAACTGAGGCAGCAACTTCGAGATGCACAGCAGACCATTATCGACCTACAAGAGCAGGTGATGCAGCTGACCGCTGATCTGCAGCATATGGCTCCCTATACCCAGGGGGGCCCGAACGGAGGGCGGAATTATGGACAGAATTATGGAGGATATTATTATTATTAATATATCAACTTCAACGCCATAACTGGATATAAGGACAATGCTGATTATTGATGATTATGCATACCTTTGTTAAACATATTGGTAGGATTGTATACTTTATGTGACAGTACAATTACTGTGCAGGAGAGTGCCACATGGTTACTCCTATGTTGGTTGTAATGACGGTCCTTTGACCACTAGAAGATGTGTTTGCCTGGCATAGTCCGGGCCTGATGAAGCTTTTTGTTTGTGTTTGTGTATGTATGGGTGTGAAATACCACCAATGTAGGTGATAAATGCAGTGACCTCGTAACACAAGATGCTGCTTGGGCATTGGTATTTGCCTCTGCTGAGAAAACAGAATTAGAAAATCTTGCTACAAAAAAAGTAAGCAACAAGGACGGGTCCTCTTAAGGGAGCCAAGAGGGGGATCCCTCTTTGTTTTTGTATATTCTGTTTTCTGCATCTTATTAGTTTAATATTTACTCAGACACCACCACATCTTATATTACTCACTTCTACTATATGGTGTGTGTTTAATCTCACGTTTGGTTTAGTGTGCACAATATATATATATAAACTTTTGTCACTGGGGTGAGTTCACATTTAAGGTGTTTTAGATTAGTTATCACCTGCATAATCACGTAATTGATCCTTTTAGGATCAAAGGGGGGAATGTTGTGTATTAATCTGCACTAATCATAAGATAAAATAAAGTTAATGTTTTATAAGTTTAAAGTTGTTTTCCCAAATACTGTTATAAGAGCAATTCAAGGCCAGAGAGGAGAAAAGCAGAGCAGTGAGTATGTGTAACTATTGCACCTGGCCCCAATAGGAGTGAAGTCTGCAGGACAACGCAGGGTTGAGGCCCCTTAGTGATAAGAAAGCACACTCAATAAAAATGAAATATTTGACATCTCAAGGTTGCCCAGCTCAGCAAAATTTGGCCATACAAAAAGAGTTGTTATTTTCAAGGCACACGGAGCGGTAATGGTCCCAGAAAGGGTGATGCTTTGACTAAGATACGAAGGGGGAGCAGTAGGCCAGCTTGAAGCAAGGGAAAGATGTGTTCTGACATGTTTGTGACTAAACCGTCATAAGTTTCTGATTTGAATGCACCAGATGTTTTCATGGCCTGAGAGATTGCTCTCACAAGAATGAGATGTGTCTATGAATGTCACCGTGTTTTGCAGATAAATATCAATGTGACCTTTACCAAAGACTGAAATATGTTCTGAAGGGGGTTTTCCACCGATAAGAAATGTATAAAAGGGAGCTGTGTTCACCATTTGTTCAGCTTCGGCTCACCGGTGACCAGCTCAGTGTGAATGTGTTGTGTTTAGCAATAAACACACTGGACCCTGACTCAGCTGCCTTTGCCTAAATTTTTTGATCTTTGTTTGAGACTTTTTCTGCTTTTTAAGAACTTTGAATTTTTATAAAACTTAGCTTCAATTTTAAGTCGTCAAGAAGAGAATTATAGACGACACTTTGAACTATTTGTTTTTTTTTGCATTAAAATTATCATTCCATTCTAACACAGGATTTTTCTTTTTTGTTGCAAGGTTTAATAATAATAAAAAAGATCCAACATCCTTTATATTGTAATTGTTAATATTAGTAATGAAAGATTGTATGGAGCACTGAGGTTGAATATTTTTTATAGTAATATAATTTAATTTGTTCTGTCCGACCAATATTGTTTTTATTTAATATATGATTATATTCCTTCCTACATATCCTTTTTATATTAGTATGATTTTATAATTTGTATATTAATTTCTGCCTCTTTAACTACTTATTTGATAAAAAATCCATTTAGTATATTTTTTACTTTTTCAGGGATTTAGTTATCCCTTCATAAACCATGGCTGATATTTAGGTTTATTTTTAAAAATTTTGTTATTGGGCTCTTTTTTTTTTTTTTATCATATTACAGTATGACAATCCTCAAATATACACCTCTTCCCAGTTTTGCTCCATTCTAAAATGTATTTAATGTTTCTGACCTTACTCAGCTGTATTGCACTGGTTCCTTTGAAGTTTTCCATTTTAGACTAAAACTGGTAAATTATCCGTTAGGTCATGAAATATAAATCCATTCACTGTGTTTTCAATATAATTGGTAAAAAGTGGGACAAACAGATTTTATTCTAATTGTTCTGCTGATTTTTTTGGTAGAAACATTAAAAAACTTCTTGGTCATTTTATGCTTATTTGGATTAAATAGATCAAAATGTTACTCACTCCAAACATTTTCACATTCACTTCTTTACCCATACATTGATCCATGTTTCTAATATAGTGATCATTATGAATGTTTTATTTTCTGCAAATTGACTAAAATTTTCCCTTATGTTTAGTGGAGTTCGCAATTAAAATGAATAATTGATCATTTTATTTCCATTCGAATTTACATTAAATGTCTAGCTGTTTCCAGTGTTTTTATAATTTATACTTAAGGGAGCTGAAAAGAAGAATTGCTTTTGTTGTTAAACTCATGAGAAAGTACAAAGAGAAGTTTGGAGAGTAAGCTGCAGGAGCCGCAAATGCATCTGCATGAGCTGGAGTCCATGAAGGGGCTGAAGGAGCCGCAGCGACCTCCATCTGCAGCAATCGGACAAGCTGAGACAAGAAACAGGTTTGGCACTCTTAGCTTTTCATCTTCACAAGCTGGTAAGAAGTAACTTGTTTTCCCTCCATGCATGTTCTCCTTGATATAATGGTATTCAGTCACATTAAAGTATACGTTTTAATCAGTTTTTGAAGTAAATTAAATATATATTCTTAAACAAATAATGCAATACATTAGGAACTTCTACTAATTACTCCCTCTTAACATGCCTAAAATTACAGACATCCCAGCAAACTCTATGATTGGAAAAAAAAAATTCATAATTTTAAGGCGATTTAACCTTTATTTAAACTTGAAATGTTTGAGGCGGTTCTGATGGAGTCAGAGTTAAAACCATGATGAGATCAAAACTGCTGCCCGAGCAGATTGCAGCAGTTTATGAGTCTGGGGAGGGATTTAAAGAGGTGTCAAAAGATTTAGAAATCAGCGAATCCACTGTAGGCAAAGCAGTCTGCAGATTTAAGACTCTGTGCAACAACCTGCCTGCCAAAGGAAGTTCATCTTGAATAGGGCACACAAGAAGCTAAAACAATTCATCAAAGCCTAAAATGTTATTGTGGGAGCATCAGCAGTTCCAGACACGGCACAAGTTGAACTGTCATATCAGAGGTGCATAGAATGGAAAAAAACATGAAGGCCAGCCCATGACCTCTGGAATGTTCTTTGGATAAATGAGTCAAAAACAGAATTATATGGACACCACAAAGGAGGATGTGTTTGGTTTGAACTTGGGATGCAAAAAGTAGGAATTTTGGCTGATATTTCATGATTCAACTGGCTGATAACTGATAACCAATGTTTTTTTGTTTTGTTTTTTCCTTAGAACTAGTTACAGACACTATGTAGTTTTCTTCCTCCTGTTCGGTGCAGTCATTACAAATAGCAGCTCTGGTATTCGTTTCAGAAACTGAAATAAAACAACCGGAATCACCTTTACTATTTCAACATCTCTTCTGTAACAGTCTTGTGCATGAGTTTGGTGCATGTTAAACTGCTGGTGCAGGCATAGTCCTCACTTAATCCTTAAATATTGGTGAAATGACTGATGTTTAGTCCTAAAACTGATATGACCAACTACTGAGAGCATGCCGGTAATATCCTCCACCCATAATATGAACCAAAACATAAGACAGAGGATGGTGTGCTGCTCCGTGGCACAGTGGGTAGCTCTGCTGCCTTGCAGCAAAAAGGTTTAGTTTGTGATACCTGGCCTGGGGTCTTTCTGCATGGAGTTATGTTCTCCCTGAGGAGTCGTAGGTTCTCTCCGGGTACTCCGGCTTCCTCCCACAGTCCAAAAACATGATTGATAGGTTCATTTGCTTCTCTAAACTCTTCTTAGATGTGTGTGCGTGAATGGTTGTTTGTCCTGTTTGTCTGCGAGTCTGGCGACCTGTCCTGGGCGTACCCTTCCTCTCGCCCATAGAAACCTAGAGATAGGCACCAGCACCCATTTGGGATAAGCGTGATGGAAAATGGATGGATAAGACAGAGGCATGGAAGTGGAAGCGCCATGGTTTAAGAGTGTATGGCTGCAGCAGGAACTCGGCAGCTTAATGTCATCAAATCCAACATATCTACAGTATATCAGTGTATGTCTAAGGAAAAATGTAAAACCATCTCTAAAAAAAATGATAGAAGTAGAACTGGACGCTGAAACAGGAAGATAACCTATAATAAGCCAGGAAATCCCCCAAGAACTGCTTGAAAATTTAAGAAGAAAATAAGAGCAGGACCAAATTAGGACTCTCTGGGCTGACATGAAAGGGGCCGATCATGCAAGGAACATCAACAACTAAAATAGGACATGGAGCCAACTTTTCTCAGGGCGATGGCTGCAGGAAGAGGCTCACTGAACACTAACTTTTAGAGGATTGGCTGTCCTAAAGTCATCAACAGAAAGAAAACAAATTTTTGGTGGAAAATTTTTACCAAAATTGTCTCAATATTCAAACGTGTTTCCTTAGGCAGAAACATGAGCACAAACAGTACGATAATATTAAAGTGTTTATTTTTAGAATGCCATAGTTTACCACTGTGATGCACCTTCTGAGGCAACAGTAGAAAAATAGATTCAGTGAAACTAAATGCAACTTAATATTAATCTACAAACATGTTTCTAACAATAGCATACAAGTACAATGTACCTGTTCAATTCAACACACGGCTGATGGTTGATTTGTTTTGTTTTTTTAAAAAGCTGCTAAATAACACTGTACACAAAACGAGCTACATGGTTTTTCAAAGAACTATCTAATGCATGCTGGTAAGCTGGTAGAAAAGAGCTTGCATAGACATCAAAGTCACTCCTCCAATAAAAGCCCGGCCGCAGGCAGGGGAAGGCACCGACTCCTCCACAGCACAGAGCAAAACAACGACTGGGACTCAGCGGAAAAAAGTCCAGGAAAAATAATTATTAAAAGCTACCAAACATGAAGATGGGGAATATGATTTTTTTTTTTTTTGCATTTTTCCCCGTGAAGTAACTTGTTGGAATACATAAAAAAAATAAGACTGCTCAGCAGCTCTATCAATGCAAAGCAGAGAAGAAAGATCCTCACATCTACAGATCTGCAAACACCTTCTTCACATCAGCTAAAAGAAATGTCTTTAATGTGTAACATTTCATGAGAAAAAAAACAGAAAAAAAAACACGATCTTTGTTTTATAGCAAACATCCTCGGTGAGATTTCATGACAAAGACAAGCACACAGTGTTGTTCACTACAGTTAAAAACACACAGACCTTCAACAACCACGAAAATGTGACAGACGCTATTAAAAAGAAGTTATCTGAATGATTTGGACTCAACTCAATATATACACAATTTCTCATCGGAGACCTGAACCAGCACTGGCCAACCTTTATTGAACGTCTGTTACGTTTAGTTTGAGATGGAGACTTTATTTGTTCTTCTATAATAAAAGGGCCCCTACAGACCGGGGTTGGGGGGGTCAGTGAGGTTTTCAGTCGGCTCCGATTGGTTGTGGACCTGCAGGTTTTGGAGCTACAGCTGCAGTCGGTCTCCAACAACATCTAGACCTGTATTAACACTGCATGGGCATCCAGCGCTGATGAGGTTTGGAAAAGTCCTGGTATATACATGTGGTTTTGAAATGTGTTCTGTGAAATCCACTCAGAGAAGCTGCAGGTTCTGGAGAGAAAAGACGGATCAAACTGTGACTTAATCAAAGCGGAGCTATGGAAATGTTTTGATGTGAATAAAAGTGGTATAAAGAGAACTTTTGAAGCGTTCTTTAAGGCTTTAAATGTGGTTACTTGATGCTAAACAACATGGCGGCTGCTGCATTCAGACTCCGATCTGTGGTACTGAGACTGTCTAAACATCTGGGTGTATCTTGCAAGCTTACTTGCTCCAGAATAGCTGAAGGTCCCTAAAGGCCTCTCTGATTGACCAAACTTCCTAACCAGGCTTTTTTTTAATGCAAGACAATCACAGCACGCAGATTCCTCTCTACCTCAGCAATGACACTGTCCTCTGGCCCCTCCTCTAAACCAGAGATACAAAGTTAGCCTTGACATCCTGCACTGTTATCACACTCATTACCAAGGAATGATGCAGTCTGATAACATACTTCCTGTCTCAGATGAAAGGTGAGGGGCCAGGAGGGAGAACGTGTTTTTCAGACATGCTACATAAAGAAACGCAGATGCAGAACCCAGCCGAGTGCATCTATACTAACACTATTGTTTCATTGCATTACTTATTCGCAGGCTGTGTGCTGTTTCTCAGTTAGATGAACTGAGAATTTATCCTTCCATCTCAACCCGGAGGTTCACTAATCAACCTATAACTGAGCTCTGCAGATTTCCACAGCATCTTCTGCAGAACTCCAGCTGATCCAAGTCATGAGATTATACCATGAGAGAAGATTTGCATTAATCCTGTAAAGGAGCAGGACTGAGCAGACAGAATGTCGACCAACTTCCCCTTTAAACTCCGACTGTGTGATGGGAGCACAGTAATAGAGGTAGGACAGAAGATACCAACAGTTCTCTTATTCACTCACACATATTACATTTAGTGCTCTGCTGAACAGATACTCTTCTTTTTTTTCTCTTCCCTTTTCCTAACTCAACCCCTGCTCCTGAACTGGGGTTAAAGTGCAGATTTCTTATAGGGGTAATCGGGCTTGCTGGGGGACCTGCGGTCTCTAAGGAGTTCTTCTCCAACACTGTTCCTGTGAGACTGTTGGAGGGGCCCTGGGCCTGACGAGTCTCCGCCTAGAACCATCTCCTCTGGAGCATCTCTGGGTCCAGTGTGCCTCTCATCATAGCTGTCCATGTTTCCACTAGGGGAGCGGAAATGACCCAAACCGTGGGTAAGGTCCGTCTCATTTGGTCGTCCCTTTGGAAACTGCCCAGTCCTAGGCTGAGCTCCAGAGGGACTGGAAAGGACTCCCTCGTGTCTCTGAGATTTTATGCCGAGGACATCCAGTCGTAGTGGGTCTGGAGCAGTCCGTCCCTGCAGGTGGCCGTGGGTCTGACAATCAGAAACATAAGGAGGAGGGTAGAAGCCTGACTGCGTGCAGCTGTGGCTGTAGAGGTCCGGTCCTCCGAACGAGGGCAGAGGATGAGATGAGGTGGGGGTTGTAGGTCTGCAGGAAAAGTCATAGAGGTCAGGGAACTCCACCTGTGCCTCCAGCTTGGGCTCTGGGGCGTGCCTCTTGCAGGAATGACCATGCCCAGGACCATAACCGTGGCTGAGGCGCACAGAAGAGCAGGGTCCATGGGGTAGATGGTGACCTGGAGGCCCCATGGGGCTGTGAGGGCCTTCTCTGTCCATGTCGGCCATGTGCTGCTCCCTCAGAGACATGACGGACACACCGAGCGCGATATCCGGCATAAACCCCCCCATCATAGGCTCCGCACCCATCTGCACCAGGGAACACACACAAAACATTGTATAGATGGAAAGAAACTCAGCTGGAGCATAAGGTGAACAGAAAGAACCAAACTTACTGCATGCTGGTCTGAGGGCAGGGGTCTGCCTGCAGCCTGGGGGTTGGTGCAGTCTGGGGGCTGAGACCGTGGCGCCGAGGAGTACTCCGAACTGCCATGCTTGGAAGCTGCATGCCGCTGGATCAAGGTTCGGTTGCAGGGGTAGGAGAAGGAGCGGGTGGGGGTGGGCATGGGAACCCGAGGTCTCCAGCCTCCTTTGAGCTGGGTGTGACTGGGCGTGGCGGGGGGGTGATAGGGAGGGGGTGGAGGAGGCAGCGGAGGGTGAAGGCCTGGGACGCCGTCTAGCTCTGTTATCATGCTGTCCATAGCCGGGCTGCTGTTCACACGACAGCGGCTCACCTGGCGAAGGGCCAGAATCGGACTTTCGTCTCCAAACCTCTCATCTGGGAAGAACTTGGATGGATTCTGAAAGCAAAGAACAGCGAAGAGTCGATGGATGTTTTATGAGAGCAGTTAAGTTTTCCTCCGGGAGAGTCTAACATTCCCTTTAAGCCTCAGTGTGTTTGCATCTTAGGCTTCAGTGGGTTCCTTTACCTGCAGCAGCTCCGTGGCTCCATCTGCCAGGCCGAACTCCCTCAGCACCCTCAGCTGCAGCTCATAGCTCACCGTGGCTCCCTCTCCACAGTTCAGAGCGTAAGCTCTCTGGACCTGCTCTGTGTGCCTCAGCTCATGCAGCCGGCGGATCATATCCTTCACCACAGACAGAGGAGGCACTGGAAGAAGCAAAGAGTTTACTGATTCAACTGTTTACCGGCTACTTTGCAGATGGTAAAAGTTCATTTCAACATCGTCCTACCTGGAATTTCATTGGCTACGACCGACGGAGCCGAACTGGAGCTTCCTGCCATTTGCTGGTGGCTGATCATGTGACAGCACTGAGGCACGGCATTGTTGACCATGTAGAGAGTGTCCGGGACGTTTGACATGCGCACCAGTCTCAAACGTACCAGGTCTGTCTGCTCCACCATCATTTCATCCAGCACAGACTGAGGGCGGATAAAAAAAAAAAAATTTGTCAAAATAATTGAGCCAGTCAAGCAGCCGGTAAAGATTTTACCGATCTGTTCCACGTGACTGACTACCGGGTTAACGCCGCCTTTTGCTGCTCAGCAGGCATGTTCATTAATATTCATACACCATGGAACCAGACACGTTTAAATGGTAAATGGCCTGTACTTATATAGCGCCTTTTTTCAAGTCAGGAGACTTGACCAAAGCGCTTTACACTGCATTCAGTCATTCACACACTCACACACTGATGGTGGCAAACTACACTGTAGCCCCAGCTGCCCTGGGGCTCACTGACAGAAGCGGGGCTGCCGTACACTGCCGCTACCGGGCCCTCTGACCACCATCAGTAGACAATGCAGGTGAAGCGCCTTGCCCAAGGACACAACGACACTGAAAGTCGGAGCCAGGGCTCGATTTCAGGGCAAACTCCTACATCCAACGCCACTGTCGCCTAAATGAAATTTGCAAATGGGCGAAATGAATTTCGTAATATCTGGATGGAAATGAATTTCCATCCAGATATTAGAAGCCTCCTATTAAAAGACTAATTACACAGTTTTGTGAGAAAGTATTTGCTCCCTTACAGATTTTGTCAGCCTTTCCTATTTTTGTCACATTGAAATGTTTCAAATGAATCTATTGTCCCTGTAGAAGCCTTTAGCAGATAAGGTAAGTGGTCTCCACATGGCTATAAAAGGGTTCCAATCCAGCAACACTGCATGTTTGGATTACAAAAGGATTTAGGTCAAAACTCTGACTAGGCCACTTTAAAGCAATGATGTCTTTCTGAGCCATTTAGATGGTAAATTAGTGGTGAACTGAAATGCAGTTGCATTTAATGGAACAAACTAAAGACCAAACAACTTCTTCCAATAGATCTTCCACTAGGCAGCAGAGTCCATGTCGACTCCACTTGCTCAGGTCCTAAGGCATCAAAACTGCCCCAGACCCCCACCTTATTTGACTCTCATTATGATTTCCTTTCACAAAAATAATGTTACACTCTTAAAGCAGAAGCTGCACTTTTATCTAATCATTCCTCATTGATTAAAGATGCTTTGCGGACAAGTTTTTGTGTCCCTCTTTGGTCAGCAGTGGTTTTGTCACTGAAATTTTCTGACTGATGCTGCAATATCTTTCTTGCTGAAGCAGTGAGGCCTTCAGAGCAGCATGATGTCTTGGGTTCTTCTGACACTTCAAGGAGCCCATAATGACCTTTTAAAGTCTTTTTGTAGGCGCCCCCTTTTGGGAAGGCTCACAACTGTTCTAAGTTTTATCCACTGGATTTCAAACTCTTTCCACACAGAAAGATGTCTGTGAATTTGTTTCCAATTGTTTTTCTTTATCTTTAAATAGGGGACTTGCAGGTTTCTTTTAGCCTACTTCACGTTGTTATGAAGCTACAATTTTAATTGTTTCTTCTTCTCCAGATCTGGCTGTAGTCAGACTTGCCCTGCAGTTATATGAGCGAGCCCAGCCTCACCTTGGCTTCCTCCACGTATGGAGAGAAGAGACGAGGACGCACATAGATCCCTGCGTTTTTCTGCCGTAGCCAGGAGTTAGCCTTGCCCCCTTCAGCTGTGGGCAACATGTCTGACGGAGGGGTGCTGATCAAACCCCTCTTCAGCTGTGGACAACAACATAAAGATCAAGCAGTGAAACTTACAGTGTCTTAAAAAACAAACTCAGACAGAAGGGGGTACTGACGGCGTCGGCGAGGACATCACTGTTGGGAGGCAGGATGTGCTCGGTTCGGATGAAGGGCAGGAGTGGAGAGAGGATCTCCCTCAGCTCCTCCACGTCCAGGTCTCGCCTTTTGACGCCTCTCTTATTGACGCTGTGGGCCGTGCCGCTCAGCAGGTTGGGCTCTTGGTTAGCAAAAACATCAATGTATTTTTTTGTTGTTGGTAAATATATAAAACGTTTCTTTTTAACCATTTAAACTGATTTCATGCCATCAAGTTCATGAACTTCTACAATGTATCAGATCATATCTGCATAAATATTGCTTTCCCAGCAAAATGCATCATTTTTCTGTAGCTGCTACTTGTCCTTTAAAATTCATAATAAAGCCAAGGAGCGTTAAGGTGACATAAACTCATTTATCATAAGGTTAGAGCTCAGTGACACAGCCAATAAATAGTAGGCCACTTCATACAGACTTCATTTGAGAGCTTTTTTTCCCCAGCCATTAAGTGTATTTTGGGGGTCTTCAATAAGTGGGCAATTTCCTCAGAGCAATTAGGGGGGGCTGTTGAGAGGGTAATTATAGAGTGTATTATCTTACCCCTGTCTGCCATCCTCTTAATCAACTGCTGCTCGCCCCACTTTACAACATACTTCAGAATGTCCTGTTCACTCGCCTGTGAAGACAACCATGGATAGGAAGGGGATGGAGAAAGGAAGCAAAGATGCAGGAAAGGGAGAAAGGATGCAGGTCATAGAGGAAAGGGGAGGGAAGGATGCAAAATAAAGAGCAAAGCAAAGTAAGTAAAAAACAGTGAGAGAGGGGGTGTGTTGGAGAGGAAAGGATATAAGGCGGGAAGAATTATGCAGGTCAAGGAGAGAAAAGAAAGAGAAAGATGAAGGATGGGAAAAAAATGGGGAGAGAAGATTGCAGGGAAAAAAAGGACAAAACATGATTAAAAAACCTGGTTAGACTTAGTAAATATTTCACTATGAATCATTGTCCCAGTAAAGCTTCAGTCTGCTTCACTGCATCATAACATGTTTCTTCAAACCATCTGGTCTGGTGTTCAGCTTGCTCTGAGGTGATGATGACTCAGACTCCAGAGTCTCAACTTGTGATTAGTGAGGGAGAAAAAAGCAGCACTTTCTGAACAACAGAGAAAGTTTGTGCTTCTGGAGCTGGAAACAAACCGAAGGGTGAGAATCTTTACCTGAAGGTAGTCAGACTGAATGGCGCTGATGAGGTGTTCTTTGCCGAGCTCATAGAGGACGTCAGAGGTGACGACCTGACTGAACTCTTCACAGAGGAAGTGCACGGCCTGCCTGTGGACCCACTTGGAGCCATACGGCTGGGAGCTCCACTTCAGGATGGGCACCAGGGAGTCCAGGGATAAGCTTTCCACAACAATGTCCTCACATCCTAGAGGGGGAAAACACCAAAGAAGCATTAAACATCTTGTTATTCAGTCCAGTTCCATTTACGGTCTAAAATACATAAATTTTCACCAAAAAGTGCTACAAAAAACCCCCACTTAGGTTTACCAAATGTTAGCAGAAGAAACAAACCGCATTAGAGCATCCAGCACTGCTACCATACCATCAGTAGTTCTGACCATTATTCACTGACCCATAGTCTCTTTCTAGTAGCACCACATCCTTCCATGCTGTGTTTTCTAAATCAGAGCACATACCAGAGCAGCAGGCAGTGGCTTCACCCTGCAACACACCAACCCACAGAAATGCTTTGATACCTTGATGTGTTTCAGTCTCAAGCTGCCTTCCTTTCACCGTGTTAAGTAAACACAGCCGCCGCCGGCTCACAAACACTAAGCAAACGTGGACGCACTGGTCTGCATAAATCTAAACTACTTTAAAAAGCCACAGAAGGCTTGAGGAATTATGTACTCGCTGCTCAGTGGATAAAAAAAAAAGCAACAACCAAAAAACTATGGGCTGCAGATGCAGCCAACACTGGCATTCATAGTGACAGTAAATCTAAGAGCGATCCATTTGGGCTGAATTAACCCATCAGACATCCATTCAGGTTATATACAACTGACTGAGTCAGGCGCATCTATGCCAACCCAGAAAAGAGTGCTTTCTAATCACTTGTTTAACGCATTGGTTTGAAAGACGAGACTGGCCAGAGCTGCTTCGAACTAAAATAGAAACTTGGCAAGTTCTGGGTTCCAGGCGCTCTCGTCTTTTATGGGCCAGCAGTGTTGCTCCTCAGGGACAATCTTATCTTAAAACAGAACACTTCCGGTGCCTTAGTGCTGCTTTGAACAGTCTGGGAAGCTGGATCCCATATTTTAGATTCAAAGTGATGCTCTAAATCTAACCAGAAGGCCAGCTATTGATAAAATAAATAAAGCTATGTTACAAACAAACACTATAAAAACAATGCCTGTTTTTAAAATTTCCAATTTCTATTGTCTGTCAATCGCCTAAAAAAAAAGTTTTGCTTTATTCAGTTTGGATGACCAGAAATTTGACCAAAAACTTTAATTTAAAAATGACTTTTCTTGTTCTAAGATTAGTGTTTCCTCATTTCACTAGAGTAATTTTTCCCACTGCTCCTGACAGAACTGCTGTAAATTAATCTAAAAAATACTTGATTAATCCCAAAGAAAGATTAAATATAGTAACTCTTGGACATTTTTTCAACGAGATGTTATACATGTTAATAACTGTAGGTAGGATGGATCTTCTGTAGAGGTTTGTTTTGCACCAGTTCTGGAGAAGCCTCTGACTGAAGACACTCTGTGGTTGTTTAACAATCTTCGGAACAGGAAGAATTCTTATTTTTGAAACCATCTTCAGAGGTTCTAGATGACTTCCTAGAACAGAGCCGGACTTTATCTTGTTGAGCTTTGAGTCACTAGGTAGGCCGCCTTGCTCTTGCAAAGCTCAGCCCACTCATTTTCTATGCGAGTCAGATCAGGACTTTGCATTAGTTGCTGCAGAACCTCAACTTTTGTTGTAATAGGTTAGGCTGCAAAATTAGGATTATAGTCCATTTGGAAGGCACATTTGATTCCAGATTTAACTTCCTTAATATTCTTTCTCCCAGTATACCATCAAGTTTTCAAAGAAAACCCCCCTAACGTGAAGCTGCCACCCTTTATACTCTGAGGATGTTCTCAGATTTACAAACTTTCCTTTTTTCCTCTAATGTAATAATTAATGTAACTGTGCAAAACTTTATTAAAAGAATCATCACACCAAAGGAAATTAAATAACAGCTTAACTCTGGTTTCAGAATAAGAGCTCCTTCCTCACTGAGACAGAAGACTAACTTAAACTAGTCAAAAAATAACTGAAAAAAATGATATTTTTAGTCAGAGCTGCATTTTTTAATTTTTTTTTTTAGAAATAGTCTCAAATATTGACATATTGATGTCGATATTGTGTGATAGAGCTGTTCTTTCATCTGTGCTTCCATCGCTCTGTGACCTTCAGCATTTTGCAAAAAGGTCATTAGCATCTACCGAGCATCTGCTGCACTGAGACCTTTCCCAACTGGATAAATACTTGACTGTCTGCACCCCGAACAGTCCTTTGCAATATGAATGTTGCACACACTGAAATTACAATATAGTTGCCATGTATTGTACTGCCTTACACTTGCTTTCTGACAAGACAGACAGAGCTGCGCTTCACCTGTACTGACCTGGAATAAATAGCCAGGAGGAATGGAAGCGCTGCCACCATCCATCCCATCAATGGTTATAATGCTGCACATCTACTGAAATGTGCTTAATCTCATTTAAGTTGTCCTCAGAAAGCAGAAATGCTTGCATACATCCCTCGCAGCAGACTATTCCCCATGTGGGACCAAGCGGCACCAGAAAGCAAACAGCTCTACTCAATAAGTCCATTAAAACCCACAGTGATGGCCTGGCTTTTAAAAAGCATCACTTTTCATCATGAGCAGGATTGTAGACTCCGTCTTATATCTAACATTAACCTTCCCCTTTTCTCTCCATGGGGGTGCACATCAGCGGCTGACAGCAACAGCACCCTGCAAATCTATGTGCACATCCAGCCCTGGGAAGCGGTTTTCTGGAGCACACTCCCAAAAGGCGCCTAAAACATCACACATGATGGCTGCTGAGGTGCAGCTGCTCTAATTTACACAATCGCGGCACAGAGCAGCAGAAGCAAAGGGCACACAAATTCACTGCATACCTAAAATTAAGTGATCTTTAAGTTCTGCTTTTCATTTCAGTAAAATGTTCTCCTAAATGGGATGTTAGGGAATTAATAAGAAGCCTTCATGAAGAAGAAATTCATATTGTCAAAGGGAAACTGTAATGAGCACAGGAGGGGGAGCGCTGTGATGGATTAGAGGGTTTTCTCCACATGAAGCCCTGACATGCCTCTCTGTTGCCTCCTGAAGGGACCTTGGAGTTACTGGGGTTTGAAGTGGTGGCACAAAAATGAGCTCGTAATTAACCAACGTACGGCAGGGTGACTCGTCATTTAAGGTTCCCAATGGTTCAGGATACAGCGTGTAAAGAGCGACCTATGAATGACATCACCAAGCTCTCAAGGATTCCACCCTGAGGTTTGATCTGCGCACAGCAGAGGGGATCAGAGGCTTGTTTCAGCAGCCACACTGACCGAGAGTGTGACACCCTATTATTTAGCATGATGTACCATTTCAAAGTAGAGTTTAAGTTGTTTACATCAGTGCAGACGTCCTGTAGAGCTCAGTGATTTTTAACTCTTTAACAGGATATTTAAGAAGCATCTGTTTTAGTCAGAGGTCTCATGTCATTCCTTCTCAAAAAAGGAGGTTTTTCTGTTTCTTTTAGATCAAATGAGTCATATTTCCCCTCAATCTAACTGCATTGTTGCTGACAAGGAAGAAGTATCTTCACAATCCAAGCTACACATTTGTAAGAAAATTCTGTTGGATTAGTGTGCAAACTTTGCATGGACAGATGCTACGCACATCAAACTACGCCTGCGACGGGTTTAAAGGCTGCCAGCCACAGAGAATCTAATTAAAAGGCACAGAGCACAAGGAACATCTGCAATGAGTCCATAGAGCCAGAACAACCCATTAGGTGCATTTTTAATGTGGTTATTATACATAATATGGGGTTTTCTATGGGTTACATCGCAGGAGCCAGCAAACTGTTAACAATCCTTCAACACATCTTAAACTAAAACAAAACAGTTTCTACAGATGGAGCATTATTCTCTTGTTTACTGTTTTTAAAGGGATAATATTTTGGGGATTTATCATGATACATGCTGATTGATGATCTCCCAAACTTCAAATACTGATAGTTTGGCTGAGATTAGTACTTTTTCTTTGAGCAATATTTCCACTATTGGTTCCATAAGACATCTATAGATGCAACATCTATGTGATAATATATGAAAATATAACCCAATGCTTTAACTGCTAACATTTATATGGTTCCTACATAAGGATATTGAGACTCAGTATTCCTCAAAGCAAGTTGGAAGGAAGGAAGGAAGGAAGGAATGAAGGAAGGAAGGAAAGTCATAAAGAAGGAAAACAAGGAGAGAAGACAGGAAAGAAGGACTGATGGAAGGAAAGAAAAGGGGACAAAGAAAGAGTGCAGCAGAAAGTCAAGGAAGGAACACCAGACATAATGAAAGGAAGCAAAGAAGGAAGGATGATTTTTGCTGGTCGCTGGGCTGCAGGAAGGAAGGAAGGAAGGAAGGAAGCCAGACATAATAAAGTAGTACAGGAAGGAAATGAGGAAGGAAGGAAATGAGGACCGAGGGAAATAAGGAAGGAAGGACAGACATATGGCTAAAGAAATTGGCAAGAAACATAAGCAGGAACAATAAAAGTAAAGGATACAATTAATATATACTTTAAGTCGAAAAGGTCTGGAAATATAAATACTAAACTCTTATTTTCTTTTTTCCAATCTTATGGGAAACACTAGAAAAGCACTCGGAGGGCGCAGAGTTACACCAAGCAGCAAATATTGCCCCCAATTATGACGTAGAACCCAAAGCTAAAACTCACACATAATATGGATCATTACCTAATTTAAATGAATTGTTCCTTGGCATGAGGGGCACCTCTGGTAAATTTTTTTCTCCATATAGTGGTTCATAAGTTTTCAATCGATTCTCCTAACAAAATTCCCATTTCTTGTGATTTTGTCTTCAGTAAAATATCGCTGGGGTTTTTTTTCTGAGTCCGATGCTGAAGCTTTCAAGAGTCACTGCTGCCACCCTCTGGTTTAGTGGAGAACTGCTTGTTCAGCCAAATTCCCCATCCCACAAAGAGAATCTTTCAAAAACTGCATGTATCCAGATTATGATCTGGATCATCGCAACAATAACAGATTGTTCCTTGGCATGAAGGACATCTATGATATAAATTTCATTAAAATCCATCCATAGTATTTCCAGCTATCCTGTCCTCCTTGGCGGAGGTAAAAAAAAAAAAAAAAAAAAAAAAACTGAAGCGTAATTAATCATTTTCTATACCCCATGATGGGTCAAACACGTACTGCATTTACATACCACCAACGTAATCCTTAAATGCTTCGGTTCATCACCTTTACTTACTAGTATTGTGATTAATGTCAAAGTCTATGCCCCCCCCCCCCCCCCCCCCCCCCTCCATGATGATGATGAATAGGTTTAATAAGAGAATCTACAGTGGATAGACACAACATCTCATGATTTAAAATGCAAAGAGAGCCCGACCCCAAGCAGCAGCAGGACTGCAAGACAAACAACCGTTTTTTTAGGGAGTCTGATTGAGGCTTTTTAAAGGTGTGGTGAAAACTGCAGAGCTCAGACATAAACACCATAGTGGTGGTGTGGGTGAAAAAGCAAAACAAAAACAGCTGGTTCAAGTCATAGCATGACTTTAACCTTTACCGTGTTACAGAGGTCACTCTAAAACAGCGAGAAGAGTCGAAGCAGTGTGTAATCTGAGTGAAGATATAACGGTGATAAAGTGTTGACAGAAGCTCTAACGCGTGTACCAGCTGTCTGCTCCCAGGAAAAACTGCTTGTTTCAATATGTTCCTGCCAGGCGCAGCACTAACACCACCTAATAGGTCACTTAGCGATGCTGCAGCTCCGGCTTAATCTCGACATCCAGAGCTGAAGATTAGACACAACATGGGAAAAAAAAAAAAAAGGAGTGAAAATTACGACTTTGCAAGGCAATTATTAGAAAGCCGAGTCAAGCCAGATATGACATTATACGACAGAGTCAACAGAAGCACGGGCTATGATTAGGACATACTGAACATGGAAATCGATTGAGAAAGTCAGGCAAGGATGATTTATATCACGGTGCTCTGCGATGTGGGGTTTATTTCAGCAATTTGTGGCAGAGACCTTGGCAGTGATGTGTGTTATATAGTGACCAAACAGGAAGAGAGGAATTATTGAGGAATGAGACCGCACTAAATATTCTTTGGTCTACTGTACTAAGAAAAAATAAAAAGAATGAGCTGCTGAGTAAACCGTATTGTTTAAGTTCACTGTGGATTTGACATTTATAATATAGTTTGAAGGGGAACTAAAACCTTCTGAGAGGTTGGCGTTTTTAAAATGGTTGAAGTTGGGATAACCATTAAGCTAAGGCTTAAATTAACTCTTCCACTGGAAAGAAACAAAAATGGTAAAGATCCATCAACAAGCTTTTACACAAAAAGTCTTAGCAAGAACTCCTGCTAAAAATCGCCAGAGGTGGATAGTAACTAGTTACATTTGCTCTATCTATATAGATATATACATATATAGATTTTCACCCTGATTCTCTCTTTAGCAATTCTGCCTTTGCAAAGAGGACTTATTAAAATACCAAAATAAATCTGACATTTATGCAGATAATTGGATAAATTGAGCAGAGCTGCAGGATTCCTCACAGACAGATCCATAATGATCTTACCTTGAGCCAGCATGCTGAACTCCAAAAACAGTGCAATGTGGTAAAGCTCCATGGCCTCCTCTGTGCGTGTGCTGGCCCCTCTGCATCCTGAAACAAGGGCCTGCACCTCACCCAGGCTGCAGGATGAAGGGCTGCCACGCAGCACCAGCCCGAGGTCCACTACATCTGTGTACATGCAGTGAAGGATGACCTGCACGTATTTCCGTGGAATGATGGATTCATCCAACACTATTCTGGTGGGTGTCTGCAGCGTGCGCTCTGTCATCTCTTCTCCTGTGCGAATTCGTCTTTGCAAAAGGTTCCTAAAGAAAGGGGAGCGTGCTGAGAGGATGGCCTTGTGAGCCCTAAGGTCCTCATCTGGGGTCCCCGGTGCCCCACTGCCTCCTGAACTCCCTGTTGGCACTGCGGCCACAGCTCCTCTCTCATTAGAGCCTTCTATCATCTCGGAATCAGAGGAAAAGCTGAGGAGAGCATCATAGTAGCACATGTAGTCAAACAAGCCCTTCATGTCTGCCTCCAGAGAGTTGGGAGTACCAAACTCCTCGCTGAGCTGAACAAGGACATCCACGTTCTGCAGCCTGGTATCCTCTGCTCCACCCACCCCAAACTCCCCAGTGTACAGGTAATGAAGCAGGGCAGAGAACATGGGCACATCAATACCAGCTGTGTCAATGTCCATGAGAACCTCTGCTCCATAACCAGGAGAAGAAGAAAGCAAAGTCTTGAAAAAGGGGCATCGTGCAGCCAGGATGGCGCGGTGAGCTGGGAAGCAGGTACCTTGGAAGATGAGATCTACATCAGTGCAATACTTGTGCTGGTAAAGAGCAGCCAGATCCCGCGGCAAACTGGGCGCCTCGGCGCGGGCCAGGCTGGCCTGGAAGCTCAGCTCCTTGAGGGCTGCCGTCCCCTCGTACTCCTCCACCAGGGCGTTTGTGTCTCGGACGTCCCACCCTGACAGAAGCTCGCGCATCTGCCGCGCGTGATCCGCCGAGCGGCTGGACTTCCTCCTTCTGATGAACCTTCGTTTGAGTGTTGCGAGCCCAAGGCTCTTCTTCTTTCTGTCTGCTGGTCGCTCATGGCCGTGCTCCAGGCTGTACAGCTTGGACTCCCAGCCATATCCCTGTTGAGAGTACGAAGATGTCCCTGCAATAAAAACACAAAGACATAATATTTTATCAGACATCTACACCATTCACAGTAGGATTAACTCTTAGACTGCCAAGTTCTACAGGGAAACATGAAAATATGACCAGCAAAACATGAAGAAATCTTTCCTGAAAACTTAACACACTTTAACCTTTAGACTCCTATTTTTATAAGTGCAAAACCTGCATGAGTAAGTGTTGCTCCCACCTAACAGCCAAACCATCTTTTAAAACATCCTGCAAACTAGGAAGGCTGAGCCACTTGAAAGAATTTGCAGGTTGAAGTTCATGTTTCATATCTACCCACACACCTTCTGCCATGCTCAATAGTTCAAACTGTGATGGGAATTCTCTTCAAAACGGTTTCAATCAGAGTTTTTAACGTCATTTGGACTCTTGATATGAGGCTGCAGTCTATGACACGGTTTTATTCATCAATCAAATCTTCCTGCATCTCCTTTCCATTTAGAAAATAAACATTTTCTTCACCCTTACAGCAAGAAAACAGTTTTTGCTACAAAGTTTCCTTCACTTTTTACCCTACATCTAAAGTGCAAATAGTAAATCTGTCAATAATCTATTCCATGAAAGTATTCATACAAAGATATTTGGGGGACCTTTCCTGTGATGCAGGAACTATAAAATCCTATCAAACAGTGCAGTTAAAAAGTATTTTGCAATAGCAATATTGTACACACTGATTTAATATATTATGCAAGTGTGTAAGTGTTTAAAATGATACCCATAGTTTTCCAGGGTCCATCCAAGTATGTGTGAAAGTTAGGGCTTCCCTCAGGCATCACCAGGGGCAATGCAAAGCGTCAGATTCACTGTTTTAAAGCATGTTTTCACCCGGAGCAGGGATGAAACATGTTCTCTGAACAGACGAATGACATAAGTCTGGAAATCCGATGGATGGGGCTCTTTTTGGAAGCAGAGTAAAGTCTGATTCAGAGGGGAATTATTGTGTGGTGTTTTTTTTTTTTTTCAGGCTTTAGGCCTGGCCCCCTTAACCACCAGCGCCAATGTTTCCCATCTTGTCATGCATGACTGCAGTTTGAAAGGCAGGAATAACGTGGCTGTGGGACGAGTGGAAGTTAAATAAACTTTGTGGGACATCAAACCCTGGCACATCTTTTTAGTAGGTGTGTTGCTTCTGATGCACTGCTGTTGTGATCGTTTCATGACCTGGGGCCTCATGTACAAAAGAGTTTGGAGCTTTTATACTGAAACTTTGTGGGCAAAATTCTGAAACTTGTGGCACACAAAAACAAATAATCAGATGTATAAAAAAAAAACTAAAAAAAACGCACACTCCATATAGATCCCAATTTGCCTGAAGTCGCCCACAGCTGTTTGTGCCCCTAATTATATATGTATGCAAATCAGTATAAATACCCAGAGGGCTCCCACCACGTGTCCATATAGCCATAGCAACGCTGCACAGAGAAACCTTATCAATATACCTCAGGGATGGTTGTTACAGCCAGCTAATACCTTATGAGTAACATCAGTGACTCATTAAATCAAGGAGCTGAAAATTAAAAATTTCTGTTTTTAATTATATGAAGTTCAAACAGTTCTACTGAACTTAATTAGGGCTGCAACTATCGATTATCTTACTAATTGTTTAATCTGCTGATTATTTCTAGATTAATAGAGTACTAATCAGCTAGCCAAAGATTCTTTAAAAAATACTTTTAAAGAAATTAAACCATTAGAAACTCAACTTTTCCACCTGAGGAGTTCTGGATAGAGTATAACTGACTGACGAAAGATGTTTTTTCATCTTAAAATGTTATAAGTAGGTCGCTGTCAGCCATTCCATTCTCTATACTCCAGTTAACAATTCATCGATTACTAAATTAGTTGATGGTTATTGCATTAATTGATTAATCACGATTAATCCGATTGTTTCATCATAAACTTAACTGGAATGTATTTCAAATCATTATAATTAATTTAAAGAAAGCAAATATTGTTATTAGGAACATCTCACCATGCAACATTCTAAACCAGGGGTCTTCAACCTTTTCCAGGCCAAGGACCCCCAAACTGATGGCAATAGAGCGGGGAACCCCAAATTATACATATTGTATGGAATTGTGTTTTATCAAACTGGTCCTATAGTCACTCTATTACATATAGAGTAATGCAACTAAAATTATAACGCCCTGGGATTATTCAAGTATATCAGACTCTGATTCCTAGTTGATGGGACAGGTGTTGTGAATGAAACGGTGCCCAGGTTGAAAGAGCTCCTGTGTGTCGCTGAATGTGTGCATTGATGACTGAAAGACATCTTCTGCCTCCATTTATCTGTTTACTTCAGTGTGTTGAATTCATATTAATGTAGATTTAAAGACATTTCAAATTAGTGGGAAAAAATTGCAGTGGAGAACATTAAAAAAACAAACAAAAAAAACCCCACTTTCGTGACCCCTATGCAGTGGGTCGCGGACCCCCTGTTGAAGACCTCTGTTCTAAACGATTCAGGACGTCTCAAAAGAGAAGCCAACTATCGCATACAGTCCACTCTGTGACATGTTTGCCCCAAATTCATTCACAGATTGGTCTTTATAGCAGTACGAGTACAGCTTTAGCTTTGATTACTTTTTGAAATCAGCTCCTTGCGCTATATTGCAGTAAAAATGTATTTGGGAGTAGTTGACTGTATATTTTAAACTGCCTTCTGTTATACATATCTGAGCAACATGCGTTCGAGGTCGTCCCATTCGCCTGCTTCATACTGAAGCCTATGAATTACGAATGAGGCGTCACTTAATCAAGGAGGAAGATGAGTGAACACCTTTTGGAACAGGTATCTACAGATCATCTCCAAGCAACACTGCACCAGTGCAGCAGTTCATACAACAGGAGTCCCAACCATTCAGTGCATATTTACGGTTTCCTTCCAATTATTCTGTATAATAAATGTGCAGAATAAGTAAGTGGCGCTTATTTCAAAGATATTTTATTTTCCTAAGATGCATCTGTGTCTTTATTTCAAAGCTGACAAAGGTTTCATCCACAGGGATGTTTTTTTAATAATTTAATGAACATTTTTGAGGTAGGGCTAGGATAAAAAAAAAAAACAAATACTGAATCTAATTTATAGCTATTTTTCTCATTTTCAATCCATTAAAAGCTAATTACAGATAACAGAAATTACTTTTAAAATCTATCAGTCCTTTCTGGGAGTTGACCTGATTTCAAAAAATCACTAAAACAGAAGCTGTGAAATATGCTTCTGAATCCATTTGGGGGGCTCTTCCATGTAAACAATGAACATATAACAAAAGTGTGCAGCTTGTGACTTTACTCAATGAGAGAATTTAACTCTTTTGAGTAGATATCTAAAAATAAAAAGTGATGGGCTGACATCACTATGAACTATAGAAGCCCAAAGAGCAGCCGGGTAAAAAAGAAATAAATTAATACAATTTCCAAAAATAAATTCTTCATAAAAAGTGAATTCAGTGCTGGATAAAATCTATTTACCACCCAGTCCCAGAGCAGGTCGGTGTGGAAACAAGCTCTCCTTTGAAGCTTAGCTGGAGCCTATGGCTATGATTTAATGTTCTCCTGGAGCCTGTGTGGGTTCCCTGCAGCTAAAACTAGGTTCTAAGCCGCCTGTGTTTATGAATGAGTTCAGTAACAAATCGCCTGAGATCTAGTTTACTTCAGCAACAGAAGCAGGAGAGGCTCTGCAGAAAAGAAAATGTGTGTTTTTTAAATAAAATACTTTTTTTTCCCTCCCCCAAGCTGATCATCACATCCCCACGTATGAGATTTTAAAGAATGACGTTGATTTAGATGAATTTCTGAAGTAATACCAGAGGTACCGCTGCAGGCAGACACACCAAACATAACCAGCCTCTGGCGTGCCTTCCAGGCCGGGCATGCGCTCCCTGATCAGGCACCTGGAACCTGCTCAACAGCAGTCAAAAAAAGACAGGTATCTCTTGGTTTCAGAACACAAGGGCTCCTGACGGAGAAAAAAATCAATAAGAACTACAGATCAACCCATACAGGTGGTTTTTAAGGCCAAAGCTTTTTATTTCAACATCAGTCCGACTGATCCCAGATATGTGCTGCTGATTTTTTAAAGATAATATTGCTTTATCTTCTTTCATTTACATGATAAAAATGGAAATGAAATTAAATGTTACACACATCATAATAATAATAATAAAAAAGGAACAATTATTAAGGAATCAAACAAAACAAATCAGAACTCTGGACTCCTTTGTAAATTTCACTCCTCACACAGATTTAGACCAAATCAACTCCACTAAATGGTGGTTATGTTTGGCTTCAGACAGCGGGGGTACGTCAGAGGAGGCTCTGCCAAGGAGATCCTCTCTGCCTGACCTCCTGTCAGCATCCATCAGCGTGACCCACATAGTAATCACTGGAGCTCTGAATCATCCGTGGCTGGGCCCAGATCAACCCAACGACTCCAGAGCTCAGCAGACAACACAGGCAGATCATTTAGCTCTTCTAAATTACCCCAAAACCTTCAACCTCTTAGAGGCAGCTGATAGCGGGCCAAGAAACCTGTTCCTCTTCCTTTAAAAATGTCATCCAAGGCTTCACTAAAACCATCTTTCACAGCATTGAAAGAAAACAATCAGAAAATGTCTTCACATGATGAGCTCTGACGGTTCTACAACTAGAACCGTTTGAAGCTGCTGACTTCAGACCTCTGTCTTATAAAGTATAAGGTCACAGAAAAATACTGTGAGCCTGCAGGAGCTTAGTGAATAAAAACACCTCTTGTGATGCAATTCTGGTCAATGAGATTCAAAATGATATTTTTCCCCCGAACAAGGCCAAACGGCAGAGGCATAGGGAAGAACCTAATGCTCCTACCTCAGCTCTATGAGTCAACAGCCCAGTTCAAGAGCTCTCATCCACAAAATGATTCACCTCCCGCACCATCAGTTGCCATGGAAGCAGGTTAATCTAATCTAAAGTGTGAGTTAGTGCATGGCACAGCCCCATTAGTATGCATTTGTAGAAAAGATAGACATACATACGGGGTCATTACACAAGAGTGGGAAAACTCTGGGGTTTAACCTACACTGAAACAGTTTAACAGCTCATGGATAAAGCATAGTTTTTTTCCTCCCCAGAAAAAAAAACCCTCCTTGTTGACCTGGCTTTATTGAACTTACCTATAAAGGTCTGCTGCGTCTGTGTGTTTCCCCCTATACGTGGGGAGCAGGAGTGTGGATAGCTAGACCCATTGGCCCCCATCCTTATTGTTCTTCACTTATTATTTGGGGGTTCCCCCTGGTGCTGAGTCATCCTGAGTCCTCAGCTGTAGATCAGGCAGGAATCATTTGAAGCCTCCTAAGAGCCCCGGGTCCCGGCTGCTCCGCCTGGAGGAGAGGAGGAAGAAAGGGGAGAGAGAAACATTCAAAGTCAGACAGGGAGTGCATCAAAAAAAAAAAAAAAGTTGCTGACTAACATCTCGCAGAGTTGAGTCTGAACCACACAGACCCCATAGGAGATAATGAGCGCCTCGAGGCGTCAGTGTTGAGGAGGTTGAACGGAGGAGCAACTAATTACATCTATCACATCCTTTCAGCCACATTGATTTTACTGCAGTGATCAATGGCAGCCATCCTGGCTGTTTCACAAGCCTGTGTGGATAAAAACTCTTCTGACGTTTTACTTCAGGAAGTTTTCCTTCCAAGATCGTCTTGTTCAGGCTTTTATCTAATCTTCAACCGGGACTTCCTCTTCCTCCCCTCAGGAAACTGATTGCAAGTCAACGACAAATCCAATGCAGATGTAAGCAGACCCACAACATCCCTGGACATTCCAGTCATCCATCCATTATCGTCACTCACAGTTTTTGCATCAGTATAAGAAGGCAAAAAGAAACAAAAACACTGGAGATCCCAATCTAAAAACATTAATCTAAATGTGTGGAAAGAAATCAAAACCACAGAGAGTTTCTATCCACAGATAAGAAGACATGGTAGCCCTGGTTACCATGGTAAAACATGGTAACCAGTTAAAGGCTGTACAACTTTGCCATAAATAATATTAGTGATTCTTTTAATTTTCCTTAGCATTAAACACAAAGATATACACATTACGCTACCAAAAAAAAGCCTTGAATGTTCTCTTATTCAGAGTCAATAATTGCAGAACTTCACTATTGCTTGGAGAAATGCTAACCTTTAGCTAGCATGCATGGATGAATGAATCTGCAGGCTAGCTGCAACAGTTTCCTCCCAGCTAACGCATCTAAAGCGCCATAATCAGAAAGTTAGTTTCCTACTCTTATTATATTTAACAAGACCAAAACAAATGAAATGTCAATTCAGAAATGGCATTATATTGTAAATGTACTTAATAATCAGCCTATCAAAATTACTCCAGGAGTAAAATTACTCCACCAATCAACAACTCCTAAAAAATGTAACACAAAAACCAAGAGCAACATTTAAAGCTCTGCAGGTTTTAGTTTCCTCAATTAAATTAAGACAATTAATAAAAAGTCTGGACATCCAAGGGAGAGTTCAAAGGTCAAAACAACTACTGCCCATAGAAAACAAGAAGACTCTGCTTACAACTGCTAAAAATCCTGTTGACAATCAAGAATTGAGGAAAATATTACTTGAAAGGATGAGACAAAATCATTTTCTTTTATTTGCTGCCTGACAGATTGGGCATCAAACTCAAAGACTGGATAAAATCAACATTACATCTACTTGGAAGCGAAAAGAAAACTCACGTCTTTAGGGTACTCTTGAACAGGTGGGAAGAGTATGACATTTTAAATGTTATTAAAAAAAGATTAAAGAAAAGGGGACTTCATTAATAAAAGGTGGACATTTAAATGGCTCGGCATAAAGAAAATTCACATAAATCTTTAAACTCTTGAGCGTCCTCTCCTGCAAAACATGACTGGAAAGTGGAGCATGATGTGAAACCTGTTTTATCTCAGTCTGCTGCGTTTTCCTGCCTACCATACTAATAATCCAGCGGGTCTGCCCCTGCAGAGCAGCACCAGCGTGTCCCTGTGGCTTTGATGGAAAACCCAAGGCCTCTTTCTCTAGCACACGCATGCAAATGTTTCTCTTTATTTTCCCCCGCACTGTTTCAAGTTAGCCTCATAATAAGAGCGATTTTCTTGTGGCAAAATTAGAAGTTCGTTTTGAGATGAAGGAGAAGAAAAGAAGGAACCCCGTGAGAACGGTGACGTGTGTTTACAACAGGCAGCATCGCTCGCAGCCGCGAACCACACAGGACGAGCAGAACAAAGCAATCGGCACATCGGCTGAATTATATGCATATCATATTTAAATTGAAGAAGCCAAATATAACATCAGCTGCAGAATTATGACAGCAGCATTTAGCTCAGGTTATCACTGAGCCTTTATACTCTAATCCCTAAGGTGCAACTTTTAAGACTCTTTTTCTGCATGAGTCCCTGATAGTGAGCTGCAGGGTTGTGCTCAGCTCTAAACAGGGCTGGTTTAGTGTTGCGGACACAGTTTGAGCTGGACTATGCGTCCCTAATGAGAGGTGACATGAGACACTCCCTGCCCCCCACCCACTTCCCTCTGAACATGCACCCTTTCAAGCTGCTCACCTTGTACCAGTAATCCCCTACTTCTTATTTTACAGAGGAAAAACACATTTTAAGGCTTATGGAACCAACACATGACCTAACACCTCATCTACCAGAAAATACGTGATTTAAGGAGAGGATTGCTTCATTATTCAAATGACTCGCAGTCCCATCAATCATTAATGAGGGTTTCCTCATCATGGCGGAGAAAATGGAAGCTGTAGGTGAATGTGCCTCCTGTCCTTTTCTTCATCCATTACTGAAATCTTTATGAAGTAAAACTTAAAACACCGGTCACATAAAGAGTAAGTTTAAAAGAAATCTGAAAAAAAAAGGCAAGATTTTTTTTATCCATTATTGCTTTGGTAATTATAAAATGGGTAAAGAACTAAATTGCTAAAAAAAAAACAATAATTAAAGTAGAGAGAAAATCCACAATACGTATTCATTAGCAGCTCTATAAGATTAACATTTTAAAAAGGAGCTTTTTGTTGGAAGTGCTGGCCTGTTTTGAAGAAATGGCAGTTTACCTGCTTCAAAACCTGAAACATGACCTGTGAGACATGGGCATTGTGCTCTTTGTAAAGCCACCTGGACAGAAATTGTTGGCAATTACAGATGCTTTCGACCCGGGAGATATTTGATACAATCAGAAGTGCTCTAAAACGAGGTCATAAAACAGAATGCGGCAGTGTGCAAAAAGCAGAACTTTCTAACAAAGAGTGACCTCCAAATCTTTGACGTGTCGATGCACACATCATCACGCTGCATGAGAAGACTGCAGGTAGATGGGGAAACAGTCCAAATGGTTCCCTACGAGACCGGAAGGACTGCAGGGACAACAGTCAGGGTTGGATTGCTCCAATCAGCTAAGCCAGTATCTCATTAGGCCATTAGGTTGATTGGAGGCCATGCTAGGTGGGGCCACCCACAGCTAGAAAAATTGGGATAGGCGGGAAATGAAGATAATCAAATCACAAAACCTTAAAGATGAAGAAAAAGTCTTTGGGATGATGATTCCTGGGGAAAGACTAACCGTTTCAAACAGTTTCTCTGCATGTTCCTCATTTCAATGCTGACAGCCAGTTAGTCCCATCGAGCTCCAGAGGCCACGAAGCAAAAAACAAAGCAAAACATCGTTCCAAGGCTGCACAAATCATCAGGATGATCACAACCTGGTAGCTAATCTTTTTTTTTTTTCCTTACATAAGGGGATTTTATTTACATCATGCTTAGCCTGATGCACTGAAATCAGTCTATATTGAGGGGAACATTTTAAAGATGATCTGGAAGAACAACACTCACAGGTTACTGTTCTAAGGATGAGTGGATTAAAGAGGTGCTGCGTGGACCCACAAATTCACTGAGATTACGGCAGGATTATAACAGTCTGCATATGGCTCTGCACTGCTTCACCAACAAACTGCTGCTCTGAAAAATCCTGTTAAAGGGCAGCGGAAATATACTTATTAGGATTATAAATGAAGAAAACCCATTTTTTTTAGCAGATAGAGGGCTCTACAGAAACTCTTCACACATTTTTCCAGGAACTTCAGGAAAACCTCTCAGACTGCAGCTCTAAAAATGTTGCTCTTCTTTAAAGGAATGCATTTAAAATATTGCATTTATTTAATACATTTCTGTTTTTTTTTCATCAAAGAATTTCTAACCACTTGTTTTAAAATATATATATATATTTTTCAGATCCTGGAATTCGTTTAAGTCAAAGATAAAAACCCATTTTTTTTTATCCAAACTGGCTTTCATTGTTGAAGTTGGAATGATAACTGAGGTATTATCAATTTAAGGTTGTGATCAAACTGTTTTATTTTATCAATTTTAATTGACCTTATTCTGCTTTGTTGTGGTTTCGCTTTTATTTTTCTTCTATTTTATTATCTTATTCCTGTAAAGCACTTTAAATTCTCCATGTACTGAATTGTGCTTCACAGATAAACTTTCCTTGTGTTGATTTCAAGAATGCAGTATGATCAAAAATGCCAATATTATACAGTAATGATGTATTCTTGATTGTATTTAGCCCGCTGTATGTGATTATGGGATGGAGATGGTGATGACAGTCTTTGCAGCACACCCTGTCAGCAGCAGCAGCCGCATGCAGCTCATTCTGCAAAATGCAACTTCAAGCTTAAACTTGTTTTCATAAAGAAACCGAGATAGGATCCCACATAAAAGCCAGATTATTTGGTCCCCAAGTTATTAACCCCAAGTTAATAATTACCCCCTCCCCTGTTACAGTTGAGCTTTTACATAGAGGGGCTGCAGCTGCTTAACTTTGGCCAATAAGTCCAGCTACATACATTAAAAACACATTTTCATTGCTAATTGGATTTTTTAAGTCTGATTGGACCTTCCAATCCTCTACATTGTTGTTGTGTCTCCAGTCTTTATCAAACCCCTCACACCAGCCTGACCTTAGCCCACTACAGCCTCCAGTTCTCCCCAAACCTCCTCAGAAAGGTCCTGGGAACCAAGCTATACCCTCTCTGCCTTTCTCAGTCTTCTTCAACTATCTAGTCTTCTTGTGTCCACCTCAGCCCCCTTCAGTCCTCACATTTAGACCCCACTCAGTCCTCTGGAGGCTCCCCTAGCCCTGTTCGGTCCTCCTCGGTCATCTTCAGTGTAATTAGCAACAGCTCCTAAACAGCTAGCTTAGCTATGTGTGGCTTTAATTCTTCGTTTTTTCTTTAAAGCCGAAGAACATCTGTTGAACACGGACCATTCAGATTATATTTTACCTGGAACTTCAGAGCCCTCTGCCCATAGTTTGTCTCCGGATCACAGAGCAGTTCAGTCCGGTCCAAGTTGTCTGATCAGTTGAGGAATAAAAAAAAAAAAAAAAAAAAAAAAAAAGCTGCTCAGCCCCTTCTTTCTCCAACTCTGCTCATTACGCTCTGATCGACGTCAGACACCGAACGAAACCGTTAAAATGCGAAAGCGCTTCCACTTCCGTCGTTTCCCCCCTCATTTTCTCCGCATCTTTCTTCGCCCTAAAACAGAACTCGAGCTTTATTTAGTCTCGGTTCGACTCGGTATTTCTACACAACGCCTTGTTGGGTGGCTTTTACGGCCTATCCCAAAGCCACCGAGTCCAAGCTGGCGGAATTAAAGTCACAGCTTCCGTCTAAAGTTTTTCAAAATAAAATGTTCAAATTGGTAATATTTATTAAAACCATAGACAAACGCGCGCCAGATGTTATATTTATATAATCAACATTTAAACATGTATATATTTACAATAAATAATAATTTTCTATGTGTTAACACCACTTTTTTGTGAACGTTACTGTCTAAGGAAATAAAGTGATAGTTCCGCTAACTTGACTTGTTCTTTAATTCTGGTGGCTGGTTTTTCATATTCGAGCGCCCTCTAGCGATTCTTTGTATCAATAACAGTTAAAGGAAAGAAACATTTTTTTTGTTTATTCCCTCCTAGACAACAAAAAATACCTACATTAGAATGATAAGACGCGTAATTCACATATCACCTTGGATATTTTTTATATTTTAGGTCTGATATCACCTTATTTTTATATAGATAGACCTTTAAAAATTAAAGTGGGATTAGGCATTGTTGTTACTAGTTTTGTTAAAAAAATAAATAAATAAATAAAAAAACGACTTGTTGTACATAAAAAGTTAACCCTCTATACATCACAATGAGTTAGATAATGCCAAATTAATTTGCTGAAAAGGTATTATCATTATGTCATTATATGAGCTGGCAGGTCCATTTTTATCCAGCTGGGGGCGCCAGAATACACCTAATGTGAGCCTAATACTCTGATGCCAGTAATTGATCATACGTAGAAAGTAAATATGTATGGAGATTTATGTCACCCATCCAGTGTAATATAACACTTAGTTAGCAAATTAAGTGGTTATTCATTGTTACAGCCGAAACCAACACAAAAAATAGTGACAATTATAATTTGACAATAATAATTTTCACCATGCAGCTATGTAGGTGTGTCAAGTTGTCTACCAACAACACAACCAAATTTTAAATTTAGCATAAGCATCATCATAACTTGCAGTGTCTTATGCACACATTTACGAAATCCTTGAATAGACAAAATCAGGTTTGCTCTCTCAGCACATTGATGCTCCTGTTTCCTCAAGACAAAAGTAATCATCTTACATGCCGGTGAAGGTTCTCAGTCATTTCAATCATCAGGTCATTCCAAAAAAAAAAAAAAAATAATTAAAAAATTAAAAACAATCCAATTTTCTTGGAATAACGTGCATACAGGTGTCACATTTTTAAAGCTCTATATGATTAGAACTGTTTATAAGAGCAATAAAAAAGTAGTAACAGTTCATTGTGTACATTATGTAACATCAATGTTTATCTAAACCACAATAGAAAAGCTTCTAAAAGGTGATATACATATAAAAAATCAAGATGACATAAATCTAACCTGTTCAAAACAGGTTAAAATTGAGGGTAAAAAGATTTGTTGCCTTTGATTTAAGTTTGTTTTGTGGTTGCCATGACCAGAATGAATGATAATCCACAGAAACATGATTAACTACGGTTTTCTCCTGTTTTGTAAAATTCAGTCTTCCCACAAAATAGACTATGATACTGCCTTAATGACAGCCTTCTCTTTATGTTTATCTGGAAGTAACTCCTCCTAAGAAGAGAGACAGGAACTTGTTAAAGTAGATCCTATCTGCTTGTACCTCAGGGGATGTGATGAGGAATTAGTTCAGAAACATTTCCTTTAAGTTGCAGAGAGCAACTGAGTGAGCTGAAGTAAGAAGGATGTCTTCAATCTTAACGAGAACCACAGCGAGCAGGCTGCTTTTCATTAAATCTGTTCAGCAAAGCCAAAGGCCGACCATCTACAGCAAGCCGCCCAAGGAAAGGATTGGACCAGCGGTAGGAGAAATTATTTGTCTTAATGTGGAATTGCTTGCTTAGAATGAGAAGATCTGGTAATAAAATGGCACTGAAGTGAAATTAGGAGCTTGATCAGGAATATGTTATGTTAAGTTTTTTATCAACTAATCTAAAACCTTTTTTTGATGGGCCAAATCTGTTTAAGAAGACCGGTGGATCTTCTGAGCCACTTTATTGGCTGTGATGTGAGGAAGTCAAGCGGACACTGCTCTCTCTTCTGGAGAGTGGAAGAGATGTTTTATTCATTCTGCCTGTTTTGGCCTCTGAAAATGGATCCAATGATAGGGCTGCAACATCGCAGCCAGCATTTATGCAACTATAAATCCGCTGATCTGTCCCATGGGACATCTTTTAGAAAGCACATCTTGGGTTAGGAATACCTGAATGAAGAAGGAGATATCATGGAAAGATGATATATAAATGGTGCTTATATCAGCTGCTGTGTCATAGAGGTTTAGGTTGATATGCAAAGAGGTTTGGGTGCAAAACTAAATTGTTAAATGTAGTATATTTTTTTTTATTTGCAAATGCATGTGATGTATATGTATATATATATATATATATATATATATATATATATATATATATATATATATATATATATATATATATATATATATATATATATATATATATATATATATATATATAAATTTGAATTGTTTTTTGAACATTTTCTTAGGAAGGAAGAAGGAAGTTTAACTCTAATATTTATCTGGGACTCTCTTACAGCAGTCCTTCTTTGCCCTGTGTGTGTTTGCTATGACTCTCCTGGCCCCAGCTGGATGGATTCTGCATCACATCCCCGAATACAGGCAGGGATCAGCTCCACAACCATGACATTTGGAAAAAGCTCCCTCATTCAGATAACTCTGTACTTATGTTTCTGCACTTGGTTCTTAAGCAAAGGAAAGACAATGCTCTTTATTTACTCAGACTCCATGATTAATTTAAATTTTTTTTTTCCATTGTGTTTTCATTGTTTCCATATTTCTTACTTTATGGTTTTTATTTGCTAATACATCACTTTAAAAACTTTACTTCCCAAGTCTGAGGGAAAAAAAACAACTTTGCTTTAGTTTTATCTGTGCTGTTTGTTTGTTTGTGTTGTTTTCTGTTTTATTTTGCAGATTCACTTTTAATTTTGCCCTCAGGATTTGTGCATTTGCTTTCTGTTTCCTCTGACTGCTTTTGCTCCCTTTACATACCAAACCTTAGATATATGTTGTCAGTACTGGACTGCAGAGCCTGCCTTTAAATGTATCTCATGTGTTTATTTTCGGCTCGCCAGCTTTCTGGTTTCTCTGAGTGTCTGGTGCCTTTAAAAAACATAAACCTATTAAGCATACTTTTCTTTTAACCCATCATTTCTATATATTTTTTTTTCTGTAGGTCTGTTGTGATATTTTTTTCTCAAATGTCAAATTTTCATCTGCTGTATAAAACATCAGTCTGTGTATAATTACAATGCCTTTGATTTAGTAAGTTGAGTTAATGAAATAAATGAACTTCTGATGAATATTCTAATTTAGTTATTACATAATGTGTGTTCTTTTTATATATTCACATGTAAAGAAAAGTCCCTCAGTAAGGAAGAAGCTAAAAGCAACATAAACAGGAAGAAATGTCTAAATGACAATAATCCTATTAATTATATGTTTTGTGATAATGAACCTCATCGCATTTAGAGGAGAAATATGTGCCTGTTTTACTGTGAACCAGAGCAGTTTTGGGGGGAATTAAGACTTCCTTTAAATCAGCTGATAGATACATCTATTGATCAGGGGTGGAGCTAGATGGGGGGCCAGGGGTGGCCATGGCCACCCTTAGCCAATCAGTGGCCACCCCTACCAGTTTTTTTACCCTCTAATACAGATGGCAGCAGTAATTAGGGCTGGGTATTTTGGCCAAAGTCCAGTTCTAAATCGATTAATTTTGATTCAATCTGTTTTTACAATAATGAAAGTGGTTCAACTGTGTTTCAAAATACTTATTTTTTTTCCTGTCATATTAAACACAAAGTGCAAACTTCTAAATCAGATAGTTTAAACTTGAGATGTGAACAAAACTGTCTCAAAAGTGCAAACTTGTTTGTGAAAAGCGAAAAAGTGATGCCTCACACGAACAAGCAGACGTGACACAGCAGACATGCATAAGCTTTATTATCTTCACTGCACAAACCATATTTGCAGCGTTGTCTGTAACAACTAAAGGTTTTTTTCTGGTCAGCCCCCATTTGTTAATGTCTTCAGTCAACCTATTGGCTATATTTGAGGCTTTCTGGCTTGAAGTAATGTTGGTGGTCTGTAGCACAAGATGCAAAGGGCCACTCATTATCAATGCAGTGGGAAGTCACCTTGATGTCACATATCTAGCACATTATTTTTAGTTGTTTTAAATCCAAAATGTTTCCAGACATCAGACTTCAGTTAGGACAGCTTGCTTAGTGGTGTGTTACTTGGGTTGGCTTTTGCACACGCCTGCTCATTTCAATGTGAACGTCACACGTGTCACTATAAAGCTAATCAACCTCATTCCCTACACATTGGTTTTGCAGTAATCGATCCAAAATCTATTAAATCGATTTTTTTTTTTTTTTTTTTTTACCCAGCAGTAGTACTATCAAGAGGAATGTTTAAACTTATTAATTATGATGTGCATAATTAACGCTGTGGTTAATTATGCACATCAAAATACTAACATTAAAGTTGATATATACAGAATTCATGCTCTTTTAAGACTCTAATTTTGGGTTGTATGGGGTACAGAGAAAATTATGACTCTGCAAATAATCAGTGAAATCATAGATAAATACCTACTTCAAAGGGAAACAATTTATATATTTTTTACATTGGGCCCTTGATTCTGTGTTATTACATCATGTTCTACTCACCCATACTCACCCATATGAGTTTTGTGTCATTTGGAATGTCTGGGGGATGTCTGGGGGACAGTGATTCACCTACATGTTATGAATGCTGGCGTACCATAAAGAATAAATTATGAACAGTTTAGTTTTTGCCTTCAAGTCGTTGCCCATAGGAAGACGTTACTTGGATATAACCGAACTGAATATGTTCAGAACAGCTCCAAATGACACAAAACTCATATGGGTGAGTAGAACACGATGTAATAACGTAAAATGAAGGGCCAAATGTAAAAAAACGACATTTCCCTTTAATAATAACTTAAAAATCTATGTAATGTAGATATTAGAACATGTATGTTATGCAAAACAATTTTTGATAAAAAATAGGTAAGTAATGACAATGGAAAAGATGTTTTCCCCCTGACATTTTGCCCATTATACTTTTTATTTAGACAGCATAGATGTTTAAATATATGCATTTATTTGTAATCAAAAGGAAAGTATAGTTTGTCTTTATTGAGAAAATATGGATGTTGTGCCCGTTCCTGTTGGAACAGTGTAGATGGACCCTGAGGTTCTGGCATCTATCCGCTTTTGGCCCCCCCTCAGTTTACATTGGTTTTTGACTGGCCACCCCTATTAAAAATTTCTGGCTACGCCTCTGCTATTGATAAAAAAGAAGGAAATGTTTATATGACGGGCGAGATTAAAATAAATAAGAAGGTGACCCCAGTCTTTACATTGGTTTTGAAAATTAAACAACCATCTGTTGAATGTTTATCTTTTTCAGTCCGCCACGAATCCTAACAGGCTATTTAGGTTATATTATGTGAAACAAACGTGTTTTCTCCTGCTGCTGTCTGCTCACAGGGTGTTTAGGATTCTTGAATGACAATTTGTCAAAACCGGATCAGTCCATTTGGAAAGGGCTGCTGAGCCAAATATCTATCAGGATGCTCTTTCACACGAATACAATGAAAATATCCCAAAAAAACAAGTCACTAAAAGGCTAATTATTTTATAAGAGTTGAAAAAAGGTGTAAAAAAAGACGCAGCGCAGCGCTGTCCGTGGCGCGGATGGTCCAATCAGACCGAGCCTGGCTGCTGCGAGGGCGCACGCATTCACTTTTCCACGTCTGAGGGAAGCACATCGCCGGGAGGAAGATTAAACACTGAAACATCTGACAGTCCGGGTTTATGTCTCCCGAAGTGTCTGCGAAATGTCCACGAAGGCAGAACAGTGTAAGTACCAGTGCGTGTTTTCCCCGCCCCTGTTCTGTGGAAATGTGTTTTTATTTATTTTATTTGAACCAAGAAAGCGAATGTGGGAGCTGTCCTTGGTGATGGAGCAGGTCGCAACACGTCCTCTCGCTGCGGAGGACGGTCTGTGATGATGAAGCGGGTCGTGCTGTTTCATCCTGAAGCACCGTGTGAATGATTGATGTGGCTGGATGGTGGGAGGATGGTCTCAAGGTCGAGATGAAAGGCTCCGTTCTGAAATGATCAGATGGTATTAATAATATTGATCCTTCTCGTGGTTTGGTCCCACAGTATGGAAATCCGTTGCAGAGATTTTCCTTCATTTTTAACAGGTTGCAGCTCCACTCTGCAGCCTTAAAGACAGGAAGGAAGCCTGTTGTCAAGAAATTGTGCCTTTTAAAGTTGTGTGTTGTTCTGATTGTTTGACTGTCAGGGGAAATTATATGGATATTGAAACAATCCACAGCTTTTTTTGACTTAAATTCAACAAAGATTTTCTCTAAAATGCTTTAAGATCAATCTTTTTCTTAATCAAGCCCAGATATTAATAAAACATATTAAAAAACCCTGTAAACATACTGCCTAATAGTGAATTATTGCTTTTTTTTAAATAGAAAATTGATTGCTATTTTTTTAAACTTTCTGATAGATACCACAAAATCATGTTTCTTTAAGGTGTTTATGTTTTATTTATTAGGGAGATGTCTATATACACCAAAGTTAATAAGAAATATCTTCTTATAGGACAGTTCTCAACATGTGAGTTAAATGAATGCATATCATAAACATACAAACTCCTTTTGTGACATAATGGAATAAAAAAACATCAAAGCCAGAGATTTGGACCTCTATAAGGCAGGTTAAACCTGAGCTTATTTCACAATTTTCAGATGAGCATAAGCGCCATTTTCATTCGTTCAAACAGATTCAAATATAAGCAACATAGGGATGTCAGGCTATCACATAACTGTAGAAAGATAACTCCAATGAAATGAACTCTCTGCATGTAACCCATCCCCTTGGGGAGCAGTGGGCTGCCATTGTGCAGCATCCGGGGAGCAGTGTGGGATTAAAGGTCTTTGCTCAGGGACCCAGAGTGGCAGTCTGTGGAAGTGGGGCTTGAATTCAGAACCTCTGGATTCCAAGCACAATGGCCTAACCACTAGGGTGCCCCTCCCTCTGTGGACCACAGATAAATGTGTTTAGAAGTGAAGTATGTAATAATAATAATAATAATAAAGAAAGCCTGTAAAGCTGTGCTCCTGAACTGGAAGGAGAGTGTCATTACACAAACTGAAGCAGGTCAGGTGTTAGCATGGCTAAAAAAGGCCTATCAGTAGAAGCTGTTGCTCTAGATGCATCATGAGAAGCCAGATTACAGTTTTCAGATGCACACTCAGCGACAAATACCTCAGAGACCTTTCAGGGGACATGTCCTGTGGTCTGACTGACCTCACACTGAAGTCTTTTGACATAATAATCATTGTTACATTTGAAAAAAAAGAGGAGGAACATGCAAGACTGATAATGATGTCATGCTAACTGTGAATTAAAACTGGCTGAGGTTTTTGGTGTCCTGAAAGGGCAGAAAAATCAGCAGTTTTGGAACTCAAACAATCAAAACTTCAGGATGCTTCTTTGGAGCCAGTCTGTCTGTTGGAAAGCTAAATGCACGGGACAAAGTTTCCTGTAACAATTTAGGGGTATTGCAAATATAAAATACATAATGCATAATGTACATTGGGGGAAGCATTATGTAGAATGGATGTTTTTCTGCAGAAGAAATGGAAGCAATTTGCAAAATATTTACTATCTTGAAAAAAGAGCATGAAGTAATAAAATCCTAAAAACAGGACAGGGAAGTTTAAGTCCAAATGGGCCTTCCAGATGAACAATGACAATAGTCATTGCATGAGTCTAGTTACAAGGTACTTAAGGACAATAAGCTAAGTTTTTTGGAGTCTCATTCGCTGGCCCATAATTATAATCGTGCAGTCTTAAAAGGTGTGTAAGAAAATGCTGATAAATCTAACCTAGTTATACTAGTTCTACTGGGAGGAATCTCTAAAACTTTAAACATATTAGTGCAAGAAATTATTTAAAGGATACCTAAGATGTTTTACTTAAGTGAGATTGCTTAAAAATGGTGAAATGAACTAGGAGCAAACATGTAAATCTCAGAATTAAAAAAAAATCCCAACATAATGCAGGGTTTAAGGTCAGACAGAAGTACCGTAATTAATAGGTTATATGTGTTTTTATATACAGTTCATTTCAATTTTAGCTTTCAATTATATTTAATTTGTTATTTAGACCCATAGTCTTTATGTTCAGGGTAACAGGTCAGAGAGGAAGAGTCACTACTGAAACCGCATTAAGCAGGTCAGCACGTCTCTGCTCCAACTCTGTTTATTTTTCAAAAACAACAAAGTCCCATGGACACCACAGGGAGCAGAAGGACACAAGCAGCCAGCTGGGTTTGGTGCTGAAACGTCCCATCGTGTCAGAGTTAAAAGAACAGACGAGCTCCTTCTCACGTTCACACAGGCCAGATTTTCCCAGCTAGTCTTGGGACTTGAACCAGCAGCCTTTTGTTCCTGAGCATGTCTCCGTACGCAGTAGTTTGGGGCCTCCTCTGGGGCTTGCGTTGACCTCGCTGCAGCACATTAAAGGTCACCTAGTGCGGGCCGGACAGCCATGGGAACAGAGAACTGTTTAAAGCTGTAATTAAAACATCCGTGTTGGACGCCAGAGAGCAGCAGGAACTTTGCATTTATTGTCATTCATGTGTAGTTCTGTGTGTTTTCACTGAGATAAAATGGTGATTTCTTACTCTGCTCTTTATTTTGTCTAGTTGCCTCTAAGATACGATACTTGCAAGAGTATCACAACCGTGTGCAACACAATATTTACCCTGTGCCCTCCGGAACAGACATTGCAAACACACTGAAATACTTTTCCCAAACCCTCCTCAGGTAAGTACTCTGAGTGCATAGTAAGTACAGAGCTTCCTTCATGCCCACCTGAAGTTCAACACATTAGAATACTTTGACTCACTGCTGAAAGGGATGACAGTGACACCATATAAATCAGGACAGGAAGCGTAGTTAGAGAAGGGGGCAAAGTGTATTTATTATTGGAAAATAGTGTTTTATTAGTAGGTAGAGTATGGAGATGATGCTGTGATGGTTTTTGATTCACGGCTCAGCTGACCTGAGGGTTTCCCCTCCTCATGCCTCCCAGCGGGGCTGGAGAGGTGAGGCTTTACTCCTCAGACTGGGCAGCCTCAGGGTCAGCTCTCTCTCCTGGGTGCTGTGAAAGCCTGAAGAAGGAACAGCATGTTATTTGCCTCTCCAGCAGGCAGCCATTTTAGACACATTCTTTTTATAATGTGTTATTTCCCTTTTTATCTTATCTCATTTACTGGAATGAGTTTTTTTTTTTTTTTTGGTTGTCTGCTATTTCAACTGGATATAGCTGCTCTGTCCTTTCTTATTAGCTTTTAAAAAAAAACGGTGCTGAAGGGTGAACTTTCATGCTCCGCTTTAATCACTATTATCAGCTTATGGAGGACTCTGTTAGAGATTGGCAGCTGGCCTCAATTCTCCACTTTTTTTCTCAACCCCAATAGGATTATTTAATCTGCTGGAGGGTATCCTAGATACTTTCTGCTTTGCTGAGAGGCTGTCCTGCAGCAGCAGCGACAGAATCTGCAGCCTGCATGCTGTTGCACAGACCGACAGCGTCTGCAACTGTTGGAATCCTTGTGGTTTTTGTCACTAAGGCACAGTGACAGCAGAGTGAGAAAACAATCAGGAAGCCTTAGCGCAGCTTTGATGTCTTCCTGAAGAGCAGCCTCTTAGCCTCAGCTATGCAGAGCAACTCCCTCTACCCAGCATTAAGGGAGCTGAGTTGCTGTGCTGGGACTCTGGGATTCTCTATACACTTGTGCCTTCTGCAGCCGAGCGTGGAGAAAACCAGAGAAAAAAGAGAAATATGTGTGCAGGGAGCATTTAGAGTTAAAGAAAGCATTTGTAAAAAATGAAAGTTAAGATTTTCATGCTCGGTTTAATTGTAGTGTTGTTTGGCCGCAGAAAAGGATTTTGTGCATTTGTTTCCCAAAAGATGAGACAAATTAGATTGTTGCTTTTTATTGCATTACCTCCAACACTTGGAAACCAGAGGTACTGTAGCTGACAGAAACCTTTCAGCTTAGATTCACATTCCTTAGAGCACACATAGAGAGCAATGCAGGGTTTGACAGTATATGTACGTCACGTTTCTGTATCCGTGCATTCTACATGTGTTTGGTGTCCTATATGTTTGTAAATCTCTGTGTTGTGTCTGTGTGTGTGTGTGGGTGTGGGAGCTCATATGTGTTTTCTCTCTGTGTATCTGTCCACTGCGTGCGTGTGTGAATGAATGTGACTGTTAACGTCTGTGTTCATTGTTCAAATTAATGATGTCTTCTCTTCTGATGAAACGAGCAGTGAAAAAGTCATACTCTGAGCTGCAGTCTCTGGTCGCGCGTTCGCCCACTTTGAGCCTCGTAAACAAAGCCGACGCAGACCGAGCTCTTCCAGAGTATAACTTTGAGGGGATCAGTCCAATGCTGTACTGTATGTTCTGCTAGTAAATGTAAAAAAAAAATGCTTATATTATAACAGACGTTAATGAAATCCCCTTTCTCACTTGCCTCGGAACTCTATGCTGTAAGTCTACTTTTTGAGTGACCTTTAAGACAAATTAAGATTTTTTTTTTAAGAATCTGGGCTCTTTGTCATGAATCCTAATCATTTATCTGATAGGATAGCTTTAAAAAAAAAAAAAGAGCAATGCTCTCTGGCCCTCCCCCCTGTCCTCCCTCCTCCACCCGAGACACTCCACACTCAACCCAACTAGTTTTTGCTTTTGTTCTCCTTCTCCCAAAGTCCAATTTGTCCACCACCTTCCCCAGGGGACAGCAAACACAATTGTCCATCCTGCATTAGCTCACAAACAGTCATCTCCCCCTCTGATACAACCTATTCCTTTGTCATTAATTCTCTACTGTAGATTAGTTGTTACATTTATTTTAGAAACCTGAATCCATATGCCTGTTGGATCTCATTATTTCTCTTGATGATACTGGTACAGTATCATAACGTATGCATACGGACATTATTTCTCTGGTGCAATAAACATGTGCTGTGACCTAGGAGCACTTGATCTAACCTCACACACATGTTTATTATTGGCTCAAGCATGTTTCAAAAGTGTCACCTCTGTATTTTCCCGAACCAATCTGGTGTCACTCCCATCCTTGACAGCCCCACCAAAGACAAGGAAATTTTATTTGAAATTATGCACACCACGTCCAATTGGCCGTGTCTTGCATGGCAGCTGCAGACTTCTTTTTTGATTGGAAAAACGGCAGCCATTGAGGGACAGTCCATTGCACTGTCCCTTTTTGGAGAAGTATGGGGTTGCCACTGAAAACATGCCATTTTTTATATTTTTGCTCCTTGTCACCAGATACGCATGAGATGCAGTGATCATTTGCAGTTTGTGCTCATGTTTATTTTTTTATTTATTTATTTTTTTTTTATGATTGCAAAGCAAGTCAAAATGAGATGAATTGAATTAAAGTCACTCTGAACTGATGAAGCAGGGGAAAAATTACCCATGCCTTTGGTGACACGGTCCAATAGTGAGACACTGCATCCTATGTGGGGTTTATCTGGGTTTGTTTTTTTCTATTTACGCTGTCTCTGTAGTGCCATTTCAATGTAATGTGCTGTTTTTTTGTGTCTTTGTTGTCTCTTTTTTTCCCTTGTTCCCCTCTCCTACCCTACTCCCCTCCCCTCCCGCCCCCGGAGCAGCATTCTGTCCCGCACAGGCAGGAAGGAGAACCAGGAAGCTTCCAATTTGGCCGTGCCCATGACCATGTGTCTTTTTCCTGTGCCATTCCCACTCACCCCATCTCTAAGACCACAAGTCAGTTCCATCAACCCTACAGTTACTCGCTCCCTCCTTTACAGCGTTCTGCGCGAAGCCCCGTCAGACCGCGGGGGGCAGGGGCAGCAGAGTCGGGACGCTCAGCTCTCAGAGTACCCCTCTCTGGACTATCAGGGCCTCTATGTGACCCTCGTGACCCTGCTTGACCTGGTGCCCCTGCTGCAGCACGGTCAGCATGGTGAGTCAAGGCCCAGTGCACCACTGTTTGTCATCATCATCCTCGAGTCGCCTGGCCTGCATGAAGCCACTGCTGCTTTTTTGGCCTCTTTTTGTAACGGGAGGAGAGAAGTCCTGCTGAGGATCTTGAGGGATGCATGGGGTGCTTGGGAGCACGCTGGATCCAGTCAACTTTCATAAGCCATTGGATAACCCAGACATAATTAAGCCTTCTCTACTGTTTATCATACCTGACTGCATGTTTTTGTTATGCCAAAGAGTTAGATATATTCTAGATATAATGTTGTGCATAGACAGGCTAATGTGATGTTTTAGATATATTAAAAACACATCTGAGAATGATTCCAATATAATCACTCTGCTCTGCACTGCACTACACCTGCATCATAGTATCTTTATTAAAATAACAAAAACCTAATTCTAAAGCATGAAAATCCATCTACTTGATTAGATTTCTCTGATTTGTATCACAGAGTGTTTTTTTTTTCAGACCGCTAACTGACCTCTAAATCCGGTTGTTTTTTTGTTTTTTGTTTTTCTGCTGCTGTAATATTAAAGATCTGCCATTCCTGTTACCCTGTGGCTGCATACAGTATGAGGATGCTGTATGTACAGCTGATTGAAGGCGTGTTTGTGTATCTCTCTCTGTCTTTTTTGTCTTTGTGTTTCCCTTCTCTTTTTCTCATCAGATCTGGGGCAGTCAATATTTTACACAACAACCTGCCTCCAGCCCTTCCTCAGTGATGATATTCTCAGCACTTTGCCCTACACAATGATCTCAACATTAGCCACATTCCCTCCCTTCCTCCATAAAGACATCATAGAGTACCTGAGCACCTCTTTCCTCCCCATGGCAATATGTGAGTATGTCCTGATGAGGGAAAATTTAGAAAATGATTCAAATATTGTTTAAAATGGGAAAGCTAAAGCAGAGAGGCTGAACAACACGTGTTTCTTTTGTTTGTCTACATCTGATCTGTTTACATTTTCATGAGCAAATCTTCAATGATTCAATGACTCCTTACATTTTATCTCACTTAAAGGATTTAGACGATCAAACTCATTTTGATATCAAATATAAACCGAGAAAATACAAAAGCGTTTTTCCATTGATGATTCACTGAATTAAATGATATAAGCTATCAAATTAATCTCAGCCCATAAGCATAGAAGCAATATCCCTAAACTGTTTTAATTCAGCCAAATTAAAAGGTTTTGGAGCATCGTCACAGAATGTCAACCAGCTTTGAGTTTAGCTCCAAACTCTTTTTAGATGTGGCGACTAGGGCTGCAACTAATGATTATTTTGTAAATCAATTAATCTGTCGATAATTTTTTCGAGTATTCAATTAATAATCGGATATCAAAAGGTTCCTTATAGAAGACTTTTTATTAAATTAAACCAGGTGAGGATAGAGTATATTGACAGAAGAAAAAGGTTTTTATTTTAAATGCAATATATTTTTTACAATCAGGGTATAATTACTGCTCTAAGAGGTTTGCTCTGTCAGCTAAAGGCATCTTTTACTCTCTCTATACTCGTTTAACAACTAATCAATTGCTAAATTTATTGACGATTATTTCAATAATCGATTAATCCGATTAATTGTTTCAGCCCTAGTGGCAACGTCCTGGTTCCCTAAGCAAGTCACCCTGGTCCTGAAGCAGCAATGTAACCTCAGACCATCACACTAATACCACATGTTTTAATGTTTTTATTTCTTCTGAAATGCTGTGCTAGTTTTTGTATTACAGAGCAAAACAGCTGGTAACACTGCTGATTGGCAGCAAGAGAGTCTTTGGTTTGAATGCTGGCTTCATCCCAAACTTAAACATCATGAATGTTGGTTTAGTCAGTGTCTTCCTCTCAGAAATAGGAGAAGTTGTGCCTCTTGCTCAGTGTGAAAAAAACCCACTTCATCATAATTTTTATTGTTTGTTTTTACGGATCTTTCTTATAGGATGGAATTTTTACCCAGCCTCTTTCTCAGTCTTGAATCAGTAACTATAAAATGTAACCAAGACGCTACAAAGACGCTATTTTATATGTTTTTTTTCAGTTTTTTTTTTTTGTGACTACCTATGTAAATTGCTGAGCTAATTAAGTAATTTTGGGCATTCCGTTAAAGAATGGGTGGGAGCAGTCTTTGCGGATGTTTGTGACTTTTTTCTGATGCATCAGGAACTTGCATTTTCCTCCAGGGAGGGCAGAGGGCATTTAGTGATTTCTATGGTGTTTATGACCCTCTGCAGGGCAACTTTATCTGTTGCAATGCAGGCATAGCCTTAGAAATGGGTCTTTTAACCCATTCCAGCAATTTTGTCTTTAAACCTCTTGAGTTTCTTTGGTTTAGAATTTGTTGTGTTTCCTGATAAGATATTTTTGCCAACCCCATGCTGTCAGGTTATATCTGGCATATTAAATGGGGAGTGGCGGCCTAGTGGTTACAGCATTGCCCTGGGGATCCAGAGGTTCTGAGTCCCTAAGCAAGACCCTTAACCACAGACTGCTCCCCAGGCACCACACAATGGCAGCCCACTGCTCCCCAATGGGATGGGTTAAATGCAGAGAGTATTTATATATTTTTACAAATTATTCTTTTTATTATTATTTTTTTAAATATTAGGGGAAATTTTATGGCTGCATGAAGTTTAACTTGTTTTGAGTACCTTTCCCCTGAGATATACTGTTTTTTTTTAGCTTTTTTATACAAACCTTTTCTTCAGTACAATTATATCATGATTAAACAAGGGGGACATTTTCCCTTTACTATCCATTTTAAGCGAGCATTATATTTTACTTAACCTATTTTGTCTAATGTTAATTTATTAAGACTATTTTTCTTCACTCTGTTTGCTTGTGTGCAGTGGGTTCAACTCGTAGGGAGGGTGGAGTGCCTGCTTACGTCAATTTATCGGCCTCTTCTATGCTCATGATTGCAATGCAGTACACCTCAAACCCAGGTGAACATCATGCTGGCTGCTATAAAAACACAACTGTTGAATAAAGTGTTGCTATTACCGTTTACTAAATCCAGCCTCTACCTTTTCCAGTCTATCACTGTCAGCTGTTGGAGTGCCTAATGAAGCACAAACAGGAAGTGTGGAAGGTAAATATAGCACCACCCTTTCCCAACTGAATCAACCCTCACTGTAAAGAGGATCTTTATCATTTTGAGAAATATATATCACGTAGCAGGAGCAAAATTTTTTGCCTAAAACATTTGGAGTATTCCACAACTAATTATTATTATTTTTTTTAATTTAAGGTGCAAGTCACTTGTCAATTACATTTGTTTTCAGATTCATTCTCATCGGAAGAGTGAATAAACACATTTGTGTTATTCTTGAAAAAAAAAATCTGTAAATCTTTGCATTGAAATTCCTCTTTGGTAAAACAGCATCACAAACTCAGTAGTTCCATCGGGAACAGGGATGTTTTTGCAATTGCAAAAAACACCAAATAGAATCTAAAGAGACAAGAAAAAAAAGTTAGAGCTCGACATGGCCAGAATAAACCAGAAGTAGAATCAATGAATAATCAATCTCACCTACTTGGATGAAGAAAAATGATTTTAAAACACACAAAGATCTGTTATAGTCGGAGGCTTCATGTCATTAATGTTAAATAGAGATGCAGCTTTTAAAGGATAAAAAAATGTTTGTTGATCATTAAAAAAAAAAATCACATTTCCCCTACATATTTCCCTCATGTTTCCATTGGTTTTAAAAAACAATTTTTTTATATTTTCCTAAAATATTGAACATACTTCTCTACATTTTAAGGCTCTTTATGTTTCAGGACCTGCTTTATGTTATATCTTACGGTCCCTCCCAAGTAAAACCTCCAGCTGTGCAAATGCTGTTTCACTACTGGCCCAACCTGAAGCCACCTGGAGCCATCAGTGAATACAGAGGGCTGCAGTACACAGGTTAGATTCCCTGGATCCCATATTTGCTGCTTTAGAAGTGAGTATTATAATTACCAAGCAATATTTTCCTTCCTTGAATCGTTTTATTTGCACAGCCTGGAATCCTATCCACTGTCAACACATCGAGTGCCACAATGCCATCAATAAACCTGCTGTCAAGGTAAGTAAAGATCAGAAGTCCACCATAACCGGTGTATATTAGGTGTATTTTCAGCTTCCCTTTTAGCCACTCAGTAAATACATGAGAGGTGAGTCAGAGGTATCAGCTGATTTGCTCCACTCAGCTTGCATCTTATCCACTTTATCATCTCCCCCTGCCTTTACTCAACTGTGCTCAGAACTGACAAATAGAGTTTGAACTGGAGAGCAGAGATGGGGGCTGGATTTCAATTACCGGGAGCAGGAAGGCAGCTTGGAGGGAGGGGGGTTTTAATTGGAAGCGGTGACCCCGTGCAGCCCTTGAGGACAGGGTGGCATCAAGTGAGCACAGTAAATTATAGTGCACCATCTGAACATCAAGGCCAGGAGCATTTAGCACAGATCCAGGCACAACATATGCACACAGCCGTTGTTACTGAGTTTAAGAGAGCAGATAAAGGTGTCATGGTGTTTTATTTAAAAGGACACTATAAAACACTGCATGAATGGTCTGTATGAGGGGAAACTGTAGCATATCAGGAGTTGTTTTCACATTTGTTTAAGGGGATATTTTTTTATTGGATCTTTATAGCTTTATTATTTTTATATGAAATAATGATAACTTATCAGGTATTCAAATCAGACTGCACAATATTAGAAGAAAACATGATGTTTCACAGTGTTTGTTGAATACTGCAAACCCTGAATATGATTAATTTACATTTTTCTGGCTCTTTTACTACTTTCTGTTCATCGCATGCAGTGACGTGCGGTCAGGGGAGGCAGGTGAGGCAGTGCCTCACCAGCCATCATGGAAAGAAAGAAAATATATAATCATAAAGTAATTTAAATTGTTATATTCATCCGGTGGTTTGTACTAAAAAATATTCATTTTTCATTTAGCTTCACCAATTTCGATTTTTATTTGTTCAAAATCGCTGAATTTTCTTATTTTCCCATTCAAATGCTTGGAAGCGATGCCGGTGAGGCAGCAGCGAGCTCTGCCTCACCTTGGATTGCGCAACCCCTGGCTCTGCGCTGGCTGCAAAGCGGAGAGAGCATGTTGCTGTACGGCGTCAATAAAATGGTTTAAACAAATGTAATATGTGAACTTATTTCTAATAATTTGGCTTATGTATATAATGTACAGAGCTTTTTGTCACCAACTGTGTTTGTGTAACGTGTTTCGTGTAATGAGCGATTATAAACGGCAGAGAACAAGTTCGAGGTGAGGCAGGCAGTTCTCTTGCCTCATGGCAGGGGGTGCTCAAGAGACTGAAAACATAAGGCAGGAACAGGACGGATCAAGGAAGGCTTTCTTCCCTGGCAGTGATCTCCATTGAGACAGAGAGACTTTTAAAACTGAAGGAAGATAAGGAGGACTTATATTCATTTATAAGTAAAGGTAAGACAGTAATAACATTTATTTTGTTTTGTTTTTTAAGGAAATGTGTGTTTTGTGAGCTACAGTTTGTACGTATGTGTAAGGATGCAGAAGTGAAACATAACCTGTAAACTGCTGTCAATCTATGCATCTATTTGCAAATCTGATTCTGATGACGTCAGTGCCTCACCAGCTATGAACCTCACCGCACGTCACTGATCGCATGTGTCCTGCCTATTTTTGACAGCTTTAGCACTGAACTCACTCCAAATATAACTCATGCTTGGTTATCGAGATCATTGAAGGTCTGTCATAGAGGTTACAATATTATTGGCACATAAAATGTGTATACATCACAATTTAAATGTAATATCTTTTTAAATATTATGCAAGGAGCCCAAATATTATATCCAATAAATTATTTACATCATCAGATTGGTATAGATTAATACTGGGATGATGACATTAACTTGATATATTGTTCAACTCTTTCTTTAAACATATATATAAGTTATCATGAAAATGTACTCACTCAAAAACATCAATATGTCAGATTTTAGCATAAATATATCATATAGGCATACTGAAGGAAAAGAATGAATGAACACTTATCTAAGAGAATTCCCTGGTTCCAATAGGTTTTAGTTGCACACAAAAGTAGGAACAGGGAATTTTGAAAAATAAAGAATCTGCAAAGAAAAAAAGAATAGCATTAAGGCAAAAATGTGAGGTCATAATGTATGAATAGAAATGGTTATTTCAAAGTAAGTTATATAATTTAGTATGTTTTGTGATTGAGGATGTCTCAATCTTTTGCTGAAATAAATTCATGCAGTCAAAACTGTTATGTTGCTTTTACAGATGTGCATAGATCCTACTCTCTCTGTAGCACTGGGAGACAAGCCACCACCTCTTTATTTATGCAAGGAGTGCAGCCAGAGGATTGCAGGGTATGCATCTGTTTCACCTCTTTTCTCCAAAACAAATGCACAATCTCACACAAACTCACACAAACTCACATCTCCTGTTGCCTGCCTCATTGTTCCTGTATCCAACGCAGCCAAAGCGCCAAGCCATGGTTATGTAATTCCCCTGTGCCACTAATGAGATCATCATAAAAAAAAACATGCATGCACTTGTTCCTCATTTATCTAGAATGTGGACAATCATGATTACATGGCTTTGCAGCGTTTTGCAGGATGTGTGGTGTTGCTCTATTCAGGAGCTGAATTTGTTGTGTTTTATGGTGCAAACCTTTGAGTGCAGCATTTTACCATGCTCTCATGCAATGTTTTGTTATTTCTATGACCTTTTCAGAGATCATCCTGAATGGCTTGTTGATGTCCTACTGCCACAAGGTGAGCATATACAGCTGACAAGGTGGCTTTTTAACGTACTGAAAAAGGTTTTCCTCAGCATGAAACAGAGCCTGCAGAGCGCTACATAAATCCACACAAACCACTATCTCCACCAGTTTTCCTGAGTCTCAATTCACATGAGATTTTTTTTTAATTTTTTCTTTGGGCTTTTAAGTCTAAGCTGCTCTAAGAAGATTGGTTGTTTACATATTTCGGTTTTTCTCCTTTCTCTGTACACAATATTAACATCAGACAAAGAGACAATGAATATATAACCATTAAATTACTTAAGCAGGTTAAAAGATCCAAAGATCATAATATTATTCCCCAATGTAAAGAATTTGATATTTACTGTGTAAGTCTGGAAGGGGCCGTAAAACAGCGATCCACACTGAAATAGTGGTGAAGCTACTCAGTTGAGGGCAGTCTACCAAAAACACTCTAACATACTATTCCAAGGAAAAATACTGCGCTGACCAAAAAAAGAAATACAAATGCAGATCTCATATTTGCCAGCAAAACAATCCTCTTGATGGTGGAATCATGAATTCTGCTCTCTACCAGAAATCTTCAATGTCCGATCATAAACATGAGACTTTAAACCTAGAATCACTAATGTTCTGCAACGGGAAAATCATCCAAGTCATGTCCACCTCTGAAGAGCTCAAGGTTTTAAAAAGAAATAAAGGTTTTCCAAATTTCCTAGTAAAGGAGATGATGTGGCATGACTTTAAACACATCAGCTTTTATATCCACCCACAGAGTTCTAAGAACAAATACTTTTTTACCTTACTTAAGTAGAAAGTTTGGCTATTTATACTTTACTGGAGTAAATATTTTTTAGATAACTTTTCATTTGTACTCTTTACGTATTTTTTTTTTGCTATTATCTCTACTTTCTACTCCTTACATAAAAAAAAAAAAGACTGGTTAGTTTTGTTTCATTTGATCTCATTTTCATCATGGCCTGGTTGTATTAAAAAGAAATAAAAAACATTAAAATAATTTGTTTCATCCGGACTATAATTTCTTTGTGGTTGGAGTCGCTCTTGCACCAACTTGTTGTTCGCCACATACCAAAATAAATGATTTTTCAAGATGATGCACAGTTAAATTTGACACTGTTTCCATTAGTTTTAAAACTAAGAAAATTGTATATATTATTGTAAGTATAAGGAAGTTATCCTGCAGAATTGTAAAAAAATGTTAATTTAATAGGGTAGTACCCAATATAAGGTTTAAAGCATCTGTCCTTAACTTTTTTCTTTATTACTTTTATACAAGCAGTTTAAAAAAAAAATTGTACTTTTACTTGGCTAAAAAGCTTAAGTTGATACTCTAACTTCTATAAAACTGTTTTAAACAGTGGGATTTAGACTTCTATTTGATTAACATAATCCTCGGGTGATGTGTTTTTCTACTGTGTTTGCATTTACATGATTTTCTTTTAGTTTGGTTATGTTTTCTGGGGCCTTGCTCATTCTCCCTCCCTGCAGTCAGCTTCAACTGCTCCTCATCATCCTCTGTTTAACACATTAATTCCCAACACTTCCTTTCTGTATTTAAGCTCTCTGTATCCCATTGTTTTCCTCTGGATCCTTCTGTTCTTTTGCCAGATGTTATTTTACGATATTGCTTTGTTTTTCTGCATGTTTCAATTCATGCCAAGTTTCCTTTATCTTAATAATTATTATTGTTTATCATGAAATATCATTTACTCCCCCAACTGCTTTTTTTTGTCAGCATTTTGTTCTTGATGCCCTTTTGTGGCTAGTTGAAATTATTTTGTAATGAAGAGGGGGGCTAATTTCCTCGGGAGGGATAAAAAAATCTCCTCCCCACTTAGCATAAACACTTGATGGTAGCTGTTGCTACTAAGGTGGGACAGCCGGTCATTATGTTTGGGAGCAATCACTACGTTACACACAGCCAGACTGGTTGTTTTATTCCAGTAACACCTAAAATGGTCATTTAAAAGCTTTTTTGCCATCTATTCAGGTTTATCTTTATCTGAGGATCTAAGATCTCAAAGATCTTCAGGTAGATTGAGATATTTAGAATAAAGGAAATAATACATCCAACCACTGAATATGCCAGCATCTTGGTCCTACTTCTTTAGGACAAAAAAACAAAAATGCTGGGAGTCTAAACCAAACAAAATGTTTGTGAATGACTGGATAGATTGTTGTTCTTTTACAATTCCTAAGTGGTGTTTTCTGGAAGAAGTTAGGAATAAAAATAAATCAGTAATATGGCAAGAAGACCTGATTACTTGGGAAGTAATCTACCAAAATGTTTGACTTATAGTCATGGCATGATAAGCAGTGCAATGTTGATGTTGACACTGCTACTGAATTTGGACATTTTTGTAGAAATTGTCTTATAAACAAATGCTGAATTAATTATTCCTTCCATATAAGTAACGTGTATCAATGTATAATTTACCAAAAACAAAACAACTTTCCTAATTGTGTTCCTTCACAACATTTTAGAGAAAGCATGTCTATTTCTGATAAGATTGCACTGCAAACAAATATGTTTATATAAATAAGAAATGATACAAATTTTGGAGGCCTAATTTTACATTTCTGATTCTTCTTTAATACATCTGATCCATGACAGTGCCTTTGTTTTGTTCAGATATGATGTATTTACATGTTTAAGTGTGTTGAAAAGCTCATCCTGTATTATAAGATGTTATCTTTAAATAATATAATCTACAGAATTTCGTTTTGATATTTGTATTTTGAATATATTATGCCAAAGGTGCAAATGATTAGTTTAACATTTAAAGACGATCTGTTTAACATTTGCAATTCCTAACATGCAGTGTTAAATACTGCATACAGCGTTAGATTGAAAGGCAGCTTTATGTCTAATCATTGTAAATACAGAGGCACAGAGAAAGTATGTCTGCATTCATTATTCTGTTTAATGTTTTAAAAGTGATGCATGCTTATCTTAAAATCCAGTAATAAAAGGTTGTTTTTTTCATTCTACATCATTCTTCCTTTTCTTGCAGCAGAGATATCTGCCATTTGTCAAAAAAAGGTAAGCTGTTACCTTTACAACCTTAAAACATCTACAGTATTCTTCATGTTTTCCTTTCTCCCACTGTCTGACTTTAACCCACACTTAACTTTCCCTTCTATGTCTGTTAGAATCAGCAATAATTTGTTTTTGCTAAATGCCAGATCAATGACGAATACATTTTAACAATATTTTTCAGTGTCAAATGATTCTTTTCAAATGATTAGATGCAAGTAGCATGGGAATGTTTAGCCATAGGAAACGGTTTCTGTGTCCAGAAAATACATTTATTCCTAAGCTAAATGTGTGATTGAACCACAGAACATAAGCAGAAGAGCCTGTAAAGATACTAGCTGAAGTTGGGTAAACACATTGAAATGAGTCATGTCCTGAAAGACCAATCAGCGAGGAGGAAGCCTCTGCTGCAGAGGCAACAGAAGAGCCAGATGAAAGTTTGAAAGGGCACTTGGGGGCAATGGTCCTATTGTTTGAGAGATGTCCTATGGTCTGATGAAACTAACATTTAGATCTAATGACAGTTAATGGAGAAAAAGGTGAAGCTTGGAAAATGAGAACATCATCACCTGCTGTGAAGTACAGTGAAGGCACCATCACGTTAAAACGTTAAGCTGCCTCTATGTACATTTTTGAATCATTTATGATTTCTAAGCAAATGGGCCTTCCATTATTGTGTAATTTACTGTATGAAAATAATTTTATCAATACTTACATTGCAAAAACGATCTAGAAATAAGTAAAGAAAATTTTAAATGAAGTGTATTAACCCTTAATTTGAGCAGGTAAATAAGATGATTTGCCAATGGAATGATATTTTTTTCCACTTAAAATAAGATAATTAGATAATATGCACTTGAAATAAGAAAATACAATTGTTTTTTTCTTATTTTAAATGTAAATTGTCTTGTTCCATTAGCAAAGTGTCTCACTTAAGTCCTCAATTCAAGAAGAAAAATGCACTTATTTTAAGAAAAAAATACTTATTTAGTTCTAATTTTTTGCTGTGTAATGCTCTTTTTTTAATATTATTTAATGAAATATCTCTTTATAAATCATCTAATTAAATCTATATATTCCTGTGAAACCCTGTAAAATGTCCACCATAAGACATTTTCTTGCATAGATTTATTTTTTGGTTCATTATATTCACTCTGGACTCTAGGCTGTTTTCTGCGGTTAGATGTAGTCTGAGAAACCAGCCCAGCCTAAGCTACCTTATTTGAAACAAAGCTGCTGCCACAGGGGTAAAATGTTTATTTGCTTTTGCTGAATGAATGGCCACAGGCTAAGTGCTCCTTGCTGGTTTCCAGGGAGACTTTGGTCTCAGGTATTCCTATCAGGCCTGTGTTGTCCGTGGAAACAGACAGGCTCCACCCTGGTTGGTTCAGCAGTTTATAATCTATATTCTCTCCTAATCAGTGGGCCTTGTCCCACTCACCCTGAGTAATTAGATTTATACCCACACAGTCATTACTAACCTGGTCTCTACTTTTCATCTCAGAACCTACCTAAAAATAAACACAGGCCTGAAATAGAGCTTGCTGTTGTATTCTTTGTTGATGAACGGCCAATGAAATTGCTGTTGAACACATGACAGATGTGTTAATTTGATAGGGAGCAGTGTATTTCTCTAATGGCACAAGATTAGAGGCTGATCAGATTACCGCTGCTCTTCTTTTATTTTTAGAAAGCAGTGTGTGGCCACATGAAGCCATTTTCATCTCAGATGTGCTCAGAATTCATATCAGAGTGACAAGCTGCTTTCAAAACAGAGAGCAAGCATATTATAAGAGGGTTATCTTCTGACGTGTGGGGTGATTTTCAGTGTTTGTTAACATCAGAAATAAACCGCCTTCACCTCATCCTCCTCGTTACTCGGCTTGCCATCCTGCAGAACTGCAGCTCTCATGTCAGGAGGGCCGTGGTCACCTGCTTCTCAGCCGGCTGCTGCGAGCGCCATGGCAACAGGCCCGTCCGCTACTGCAAGCGTTGCCATGTCAACCACCACAGCAGCGAGGTGGGGGCTGCGGCGGAGACCCATCTGTACCAGACTTCGCCCCCTCCCATCAACACACGGGAGTGCGGAGCGGAGGAGCTGGTCTGCACGGTGGAAGCTGTCATTAGGTACCAACTGAGATCTTTCTGTGGTTCTATGACGTGAATACAAGGCAAAAATGATTACAGGTGCTGGTCATAAAATTAGAATATCATGAAAAAGTAGATTGATTTCAGTAATTCCATTTAAAAAGTGAAACTTGTATATTATATTCATACGTTACATACAAACTCATATATTTCAGATGTTTATTTTGTTTAATTTTGATGATTACAAATGACAACAAATGAAAATCTCAAATTCATCATATCAGAAAATTAGAATATTACTGAAGACCAATAAAAACAAAGGATTTATAGAAATGTTGGCCAACTGAAAAGTATGAACATGAAAAGTATGAGCATGTACAGCACTCAGTATTTAGTTGGGCCTCCTTTGGCCTGTATTACTGCAGCAATGCGGCGTGGCATGGAGTCGATCAGTCTGTGGCACTGCTCAGGTGTTATGATAGCCCAGGTTGCTCTAATAGTGGCTTTTAGCTCTTCTGAATTGTTGGGTCTGGTGTATTGCATCTTCTTCTTCACAATACCCCATAGATTTTCTATGGGGTTAAGGTCAGGAGAGTTTGCTGGCCAATTAAGAACAGGGATACCATGGTCCTTCAACCAGGTACTGGTAGCTTTGGCACTGTGTGCAGGTGCCAAGTCCTGTTGGAAAATGAAATCTGCATCTCCAAAAAGTTGGTCAGCTGCAGGAAGCATGAAGTGCTCTAAAACTTCCTGGTATGTGGCTGCGTTGACCCTGGACCTCAGAAAACACAATGGACCAACACCAGCAGATGACATGGCACCCCAAACCATCACTGACTGTGGAAACTTTACACTGGACTTCAAGCAACGTGGATGAAGTGCCTCTCTTCTTTTCCTCCAGACTCTGGGACCTTGATTTCCAAAGGAAATGCAAAATTTACTTTCATCAGAGAACATGACTTTGGACCACTCACCAGCAGTCCAGTCCTGTTTCTCTTTAGCCCAGGCAAGACGCTTCTGACGCTGTCTGTGGTTCAAGAGTGGCTTGACACAAGGAATGCGACAGCAGAAACCCATGTCTTTCATACGTCTGTGTGTGGTGGTTCTTGAAGCACTCACTCCAGCTGCAGTCCACTCTTTGTGAATCTCCCCCACATTTTTGAAGGGGTTTTGTTTCACAATCCTCTCCAGGGTGCGGTTATCTCTCTTGCTTGTACACTTTTTTCGACCACATCTTTTCCTTCCCTTCGCCTCTCTATTAATGTGCTTGGACACTGAGCTCTGTGAACAGCCAGCCTCTTTAGCGATGACCTTTTGTGTCTTGCCCTCCTTGTGCAAGGTGTCGATGGTCGTCTTTTGGACAACTGTCAAGTCAGCAGTCTTCCCCATGATTGTGTAGCCTATAGAACTAGACTGAAAGACCATTTAAAGGCTTTTGCAGGTGGTTTGAGTTAATTAGCTGATTAGAGTGTGGCACCAGGGGCCATCAATTTTGAACCTTTTCACAATATTCTAATTTTCTGATATGATGAATTTGAGATTTTCATTTGTTGTCATTTGTAATCATCAAAATTAAACAAAATAAACATCTGAAATATATGAGTTTGTATGTAATGTATGAATATAATATACAAGTTTCACTTTTTAAATGGAATTACTGAAATCAATCTACTTTTTCATGATATTCTAATTTTATGACCAGCACCTGTATGCCTTAATATCCTTCCTGCACAGATGTTTTCTCTCCCCTCATCTCCTTTCTGTGTCCTTCCTCTCATTAAATCCATTCAGCCTTCTGAAGGAGGCAGAAATCTATGCAGAACAGCGAGAGTTTGAGCTGAACAGGCGTCGTCAGATGGGCCTGTCTGCCTCCCACCACTCTCTGGACAACATAGACTTTGACAACAAGGAGGACGACCAGCACGACCAGCGTCTACTTAGTCAGTTTGGCATCTGGTTTCTGGTGGGTGTCAGTAGCGGTGGGGGGTTGATCAGAGTGGATTTGTGGAACGTTCTACCCACTTTGACGGGTTTTGCTTTTGGGTGCAGGTGAGCCTATGTACGCCCAATGAGAACACCCCAACAGAGAGCCTGGCGCGGCTGGTCAGCATGGTCTTCCAGTGGTTCCACTCCACTGCCTACATGATGGACGATGAAGTGGGAAGCCTGGTGGAGAAGCTGAAGCCGCAGTTTGTAACTAAGTGGTTAAAGACGGTGTGTGAAGTCCGCTTCGACGTCATGGTCATGTGTCTGCTGCCAAAACCTGTGGAGTTTGCCAGGGTAGGGTTAACGTTTAGCTATACAGACATGATACAGGTTTTTATCACCGCCTTGCATTTTAACACTAAAGCCCTGTATCCTCTCCAACAGGTGGGAGGTTACTGGGATAAATCATGTAGCACGGTGACACAGCTGAAGGAGGGTCTCAACCGGATTCTGTGTCTGATACCCTACAATGTCATTAGTCAACCACTGTGGGAGTGTTTCATGCCTGAGTGGCTTGAGGCCATCCGTACCGAGGTGCCTGACAGCCAGCTCAAAGAATTCAGGGAGGTGCTCAGGTACAAATTTGGTTTTAAATCAGTTTAAGAGTGTTCCAATCATTTGCCACATGGGCCAAAAATATAAAGATAGTAACACCCTAAACAAATATTCCAAATCAAAAGCCATATTTTGTTGTGAAACTTGTATTTGCCTATCAAGAATGTTTTTTTATTATTTTACCTAGAAGATGCAATGAAAAAGAAAATAATAATCCATATTAATTTTATGTGTATACTAGATTCAAAACATACAAAGGATCTTGCACAAATAGGCAGTTCTGCTCCTACATGCAACTTCTGAACTCACACACAGCCCACACACATTATATTTCGCTGTTGAACATTATTCTCTCATCAGCTTACAGTAGATATAAAAACTGAGGGATAAATTAACATCTAAACATTTGATATGAATCTTGTTGCTCAGGGTGGGGAGCCACACTGACTCTATGAAAATGAGCTCTAATAATAAAGGGGCTCCATGGACTTGTTATCTATTTGATCATAGGTCGTTTTGTCTTCAGGAGAATTTTTTTTAACTCTTTTTATCTTTTCTGTCTTATAGGTTAACTAAAGCTAATTTCCTGTCATTGGGAGTAGTTAGTCTGATCATCAGTCCTTCACAGAACAACTAGAGATATACAGGGCAAACAAACATGCACAAATACCATAGGGAAATTTACAGGCACTAATTGACATAACAGTCATTTTCTAGACAAGTGTGATGGTGATAGGTAGGTGGAGTACCCAGAGAGAACCCATATATACACACAAAGAACATGCAAACCCAATTTAGAAAGAGCTCTGACTTAGATTTGAAACAACGATCTTCTTGCTACAAAGTGAACACCCTGGTTCTGTGAAAAAGACATTTATTCTCTAGATTCTTGTAGATCAGCATGAGCCTAATAGTGTAACTGGGGAAACTAATACTGGTTAGGATAGACTAAAAAAATATATATTTCGATAGTAAGATGGAGAAAGTGCAAATAGAAGAACAGAGGTGAAGTGAACATCACAGCCTGTATTTGCTGATATTTCTGTGTTGATGCATTAACATGAACCTGATCTTCTGCTCTGTGCTCCACTTCCTGCAGCAAGATGTTTGATATTGAGCTGTGTCCCCTGCCTTTCTCCATGGAGGAGATGTTTGGCTTCATCAGCTGCAGATTCTCCGGCTACCCAGCGTCTGTGCAAGAGCAGGCCCTTTTATGGCTGCACGTAAGTAAACACGAACTGACGGATAATTTGCACAGCGCTGTGCCCTGCTCTCCTCCTGCAGCTCCGTCTACAACGCGTGTGAATTGAACAGGTTGTAACCGAGCATGAGAGTCCGGTCGGGGGCCCTGCTGAATATGGATCTGGGTCACAGACTGAGACTGAGAGAGGCAGCAGGGATTTGGGCTTTCATCTCATATGCACTCACAGCTTGCTGCCTGCTATAGGTCAAAGAGTTTCATGATTTCTTTCTCAAGTTTTACTGAGAGATTACTTACGTTTCCTCTCAGAAAACAGGTCAGAGACAGAGCACCTGTGCAACAGACTTCATGTGAATTAAAAACCTTATATTTTGATAATAATCCCCTTCAGGTTGACAAAAAAATTTACCAAAAGACATATTTCTGGAGTCCCATCTTTTGTTAAAAAGAACAAAAAAACCCACAGAGTTTTCTCTTTGGTCCATTAGAGGTTTGTGGTTTCTATGTCTTGTCTGCACTAAGGTGCTGTCAGAGCTGGACATCGTTGTTCCCCTCCAGCTGCTGATCGGGATGTTCTCGGACGGAGTGAACTCGCTGAAGGAACTGGCCAACCAGAGAAAGGCTCGTGCCTCCGACCTGTCTGGCAACACTGGAGCTCGCCAGGTAAGCAAGCCGCAGATATTTAAATAATGGTTCAAATAGAAAAAAAAAATCTCCCTTTTATTTATTTTCCCTCAGTTTGTTTCAGCAGACATGAAACATTCAGAAAAATATTGTCCTACATTCTGTCTACTTTGGAAAACTGAGATGTCCACATTTATTTTAGTTCTTGAGATCTGTATTTTAAGCACTCACAATGACGTGCTGTGGTTGCTATAGTAACCATCACTATCTAAAAATAGTCGTCTTAAAGGGATTTAATTAAAATTGGCTGTGATGTGGGATTTTGTCTAAATTCTACATTTGTGCGGTTCATGATCAAAGAGATGTAAAAAATAAAATAAAGACCGTGGAACATTAAGGTAGGATGCATATCTGTAATGATGGTGCCACATGTTGCTTCAGGTGAGCGTTGTGTCAGATCCGGGCCGACGCGGGCAGCACAACACCCTGAGCCCCTTCCCCAGCCCCTTCAGGAGCCCCTTCCGCAGCCCCCTGCACTGCAGCCCCTTTAAAAACCTGGGTCACGCCACTGGCAATTGTGCCTTGGACCTCGACTGTGATGATGATGACATGAACCTTGGCTGTTTCATCCTCATGTTTGACCTCATCTTGAAGCAGGTGATGAATGACCTTCATTTATCCTCATACGCTTTTCTGTTAGTTTGCATAAAATTATATTACTGTACCTTTAAATTATATGGGGAACCTGGTTAATGACGTCATGGCTTTAAAATCTTCCAATTATTTGATTATCACTGTGGGAAAATTTAAAGAAATTCCGGCCTTTGCACCTTTGTTCCATCCTTTTCTATATGTTCAAATAGCTATATGCAGTTATAAAACACCATTATAAACATCCAGCCATCAGAGAGACAAAAAGGTTTTGGTGTAAAATCTATGAAAGACCCCAGATGAAAAGAGGAAGTTATATTAAAATTCTGGCTGACTCTAGCAAAAGCATTATTAACAGGAGAACAAGTCCTTATATAAGCTAAAATGCCACTCAGTAAGAAAGAAACAATTATTAAAGGAAAGAAACCATATTAAAATTTGTAAAACCTAGAAAGACATAGATATTAAAATTGTGGAGACATGCCCAGTGGTATGATAAAATTAAATCTGAAGCTCTCTCATGTAACACTGGAAGTGCAGCTCTGGAGTACAGCATTGGCCCTATAATGTGGAAATGCATTTTCTGATGCTGGAATTGGTGTAACAATTAAACAAAAGCTAAAAACAGTTGAAAATATTAAAATTTGGCAGAAATGGGTTTCCCAAAGGAATAGAATGGCATAGAAATATCCTTCATTATCACACAGAGGGCCGGATTTATCAAGATCTAATTTTGCGTGCAGTAATTTGCGCTCGCAAACTGGAATTTTGCGCGAGGGGCTGAACCATGGTTTGCGGGTGATTTAACAAGAGCGATTGCGTAACTGGTGGCAGGTGCAAAACTGTTGGAGACGCCCTATTTAAATGATGGTTTTGCGCGTTTTGCAGCAAAGTAGTTTGTTGTTTGTGCAAACTAGTGCATTAAGAAATTTTAATCTTACAGTGACACCCCCACCCCTCCAAAAAAAAAAAAAAAATAATAATAATAATTTTATATATATATATATATATATATATATATATATATATATATATATATATATATATATATATATATATATATATATATATATATATATATACACTTTGGCAACCTTTATTCCCTAAGGTGGTATGTGGCTGAATTTCTACTTCACTGCAGTAAAAAAAAAAAACGCATCCCCGCAGCATTGGCATGTTGTTCCACAGGCGCAAGGACGAGGTCGGGGTTCTCCGTTAGGGCGTCTGGGCGACATGGCATTTAGAACGTCGGACAGCACTTCTGAAAAACGAGATTGGGAGATCCCAGATGCAAAAAAGTGCAATGTTGCAAGGAGTTTTGTTATAGCTGGTATTGCGTGGGTCCTCCTTGTGGCTGGCTCCAAATCCATTCGGAGTTCCCCCAACAGCTCCAAAATGGCAATGCTGGATAAACGATATGTTTTGATGATCGTTTCCTCGTTCATTGCAAAAATATTCACACAGAGTGAAAAAATGCGTTCTCTGCGTCTCCTTGCTTCATTTCGATGTCTCCTTCTTGCGACAATAACCGCTGCCATGTGTGCGCAATTACGCATACAGACCATTTGCACCTTCTTTTGAAACGTGTTAAATATAGTCAGATACCGTTAGCAAAATTGCTTACAAGTTTAATAAATCACTTTGCGAGTGCTATATTAATATATTTACATGTTCTCCTCCCACAAGACGCACTTTTGCGTGTAAACGCCCCATATTGCATATTCATTGCAGAAAAAGTACTAAATGGATAAGAGGCGCTATTTAGCACGTTTTAAAGACCAAATCATTTTAGCACGCTGTTGATAGATCAGTTTGTACATTTTTTAGCGTGCGCAGTGAAATAGCTCACGTTTTTATACACACAAACCTTTGATAGATCCGGCCCACAGGCAGTGTTGTGCCTGAACGCGTTCATTGAACGAAAGTTCATGAACTCGTTCATATTTTGGGCGAACGTGAACTGAACGTACTGCATTCTTGCCTGATGAACGTTATTGTGAACTTGATCATTCTGGTGTCTGTGAACGGCACGCTCTCTCAGTTCAACTCCGTTCAATAGGTTGTCAGATTTCTATAGAGTCCTCCAGGCGAAACCCCGGCTAAATCACACCGTAAACATGCCTTAATATGTAGCGGGAAAAACACCCAATCTGGCAACACCAGCTACCAGCGTCGTAGCCTACAGCCGCGTGCGTCATCTAAACAAAATGCCTTGTGAAAGCCACAGCAGCGTGGAGGCGACAAAGCAGCAGTATGATCACTTAAAACAGGTTTATGACCAGGTGGTCGGTGGGGATGATGGCAACAAGTTTGCCCGCCGGCTTTCAGTAAAAAAATCCGCACTTCAGTAACCTTAAATTCCTACCTCAGCCTGGTCCCTCAGTTTGTGTTAGTAAAATCTTCTTGAGCGGAGGTCTTCAACAGGGGATCCGCGACCCCTAGGGGGTCTACGGAGGTACTGCATGAGGGTCTGCATGGTTAGTTGATATTTTTATATTCCCCCCCCTGCAATTTTCCCCCCACTAATTGAAATGTCTTTAAATACTCATTAACATGAAATCAACACACTGTAGTAAACAGATAAATGGAGACAAAAGATGTCTTTCAGTCATCAATGCACACATTCAGCGACACACAAGAGCTCTTTCAAGCTGGGCACCGTTTCCTTCACAACAACCAGGAATCAGAATCAGAAAAACTTTAATAATCCCAGGGAGAAATTAATTTCTTTACATTACTCCATCTGTAATAGAGTGACTATATGACACAATTTCATACAATATATATAGTTAGGGGGTCCCCGCTCCATCTCGCCATCAGTTTGGGGGTCCTTGGTCTGGAAAACATAGAAGACCCCTGTTCTTGAGGGTTTTACTATCCATGTAACTTGTTTGTTAAACCTGCCTGGTATAATTTTCCAGGATTCCAGTATTCCTTTTTAGTATGTATTGAAATGGCATTTCAAATGGAAAAAATTATAAAAAAATAAAAAAAAAACATTTGCACCTTAAAGACTACTTTCCTATTTTTCTTTTAATAATTACTCATAAAAAAGACCATTCAAGCAGCACATTTTTCCTGATGTTTTTGAGAATATACTGTAGGGGTGAAAGCTGCAGCTGCTACTAGTGTGAAGTGAATGGACAGCAACAAAGCGTTAAAGCAACAATGGGGAAATGCTGTCCCCTCAATGCTAATGTAAACCCTGGTTGGATAAGGATTCAAAACTGGATATGAAGATGAAATCTGACGCACAGTTTCAGTGTTACAACTGATAAAATAATTGCTGTCTGTGGTTCTACAGTAGGCTATGATGTAATTGAGCAATATATATATATATATAAAAAAAAAAAGAACTATGAACTAGTTCATTTTTTGGTTTTGAATTATGAACTATGAACTGAACTAGTTCATTTTAAAATGTGTGAACTAAACTTTGAAGTAGTTCACGTAGAAAGAGAACTTTCCCAACACTGCCCACAGGGTATATTTGGGTGTCTCAGTGGTAAACCAAATAGGCAAATAAAAGCATCTAGGTAGACACAGAACTAAAAATGAAAAAAAAAAAGAAGATTAAAAAAAACGAAAACATACTATACAGAAAAAATACCAAAAACTCCACTTTATGGGTGAAAATAAATGAAAATTCTGACAACCCCAGAAGAGAAACGTTAAGGGAAAAAATAAACTCACAATGCTCCCAAACATACTATGAAAGTATTTAAAAAGCTTCTGAAGAAAAGCAAGGCCAATGTTTTAGTGGTAATATCAGAAATTTCAGGTGAAAAGTTGTGTATGTGAGCAAGACAGCCTATGGACCTAATACCCTAATACATCAGCTCTGTCAGAATGGGCCAAAATTATCAGCGAGTGGAAGAATAGACAAAATGTTTGACCCTATTCATACAGTTCAAACATTAAATAATTTATTATGTAAAAATCTGATCCTGTAAGTTAGCAAAAATAATAAAATTGCAGAATAATTTTTGTTTCTCTCATATACTTTTAGCATTTAATGAAAAGAAATGAGTAAATTCAACAATTTTCCAATGCTGGAGATATCTACTTTATTTTATTCTACCCAACCTAAATCAACTAAAAAATGTAGAAAAAAAAACAAGGTTTCATTTTTATACAATGTAAATATCTGGTCTCAACTGAAAGCAGCAGCTTAAAAAGCACAGACACAGTTTGGTACAACTGTGGCCCCACAGGTGGGATCTTGAAATTTGTGTCGTGCTCCACTTTCTGTCCCGTTACGTGGCTGTTTCCCCCGTGCTGTCGCAGATGGAGCTCCAGGATGACGGTGTGATGCTGGGTCTAGACAGCAGCCTGGGGAAAGATATCGTCGGCATCATCAACAACGTCTTTCAGGCCCCGTGGGGGGGCTCCCACACCTGCCAGAAGGATGAGAAGGCCCTTGAGTGTAGCCTGTGCCAATCCAGCATCCTGTGCTACCAGCTGGGCTGTGAGCTTCTAGAAAGGCTGACCCCCCGGGAGGAGATACGCCTTGTGGTGAGACACGCATAAATTAACCTTGCATCAGGGAGTTATTGCTTTATATGAAAGTCCTCCCGGCTTATTTTCCCCTGGACTGGTGCCTAATATACAACAATCTAGCTGTTAAAGCCTTTTTTTCTGGCTGATTACACAAAAAATAGGAAGTGAAACAGATCTGAGAATTTGAAGTTCAGCTACAAATACAGATGTCTTGCCATGGTTCACTTAGACTGATTTATCTCACAGGAGAGATAAATAAATATATTGTCTCTGTAGGAGCCCACAGATTGCTTGGAGGACACCTTGATCCCCTGTCAACCAGACTTCTCCATTGGGACAGAAAATGGAAGTGAGGAAGAAGAAAACCTGAGTGAAGCAAACAATGATAACCCCAACAACCATTCTCCTGAGAATCCAGGTCTGGATCAGTTTCACCAGAACACTTTGGAATTATTTCAACTACTGCACCTTTGATGCCTGTATCCATCTTACTTAAAGGTATATTGGAGGATTTTAGCGAATTTTTTAAAAGACCCGCACTTTCCACTATAGAAAAAAAAAGCACATGCGCAACCCTTTACCTGCTTCCGAGAAACGCGTGCAAGAGCATGCAGGAGCCCATTTCTCCTAGAGGAGGTGCAGGGACGCAATAAGATGGTCACTCGGATGGATCTCATCTCACCCAAATTTACATATAAAAGGTTTCACTGCAAAGACTACTGGTACTTAAAAAAAATAAATAAAATCATGATATGCTTGTATGTGTGTTTGTACTGCAGTTGAATTTTGGGTGTGTTTGCAGGGTAAATAAGGATCTGTGGCCACTGTATAACTACTAACGATGCACATTACAAAAAAAAATAAACTTGTATTCACTGAAAAGTTACAATATAGACCTAAGTAACTTTTACTAGCAGTTATGTGAAATGGATTCTTCAAATAGCATGCCAAACTTTACCTTTTAAGTAGAAACTTTGCAACTGAGGCATCAGTGGGAAACCTGACCTATGCTTTCAGTTTATGCCATTGCGAGAAAGAATCTCCCAAAAAAGCTGTGAGAAAAGTGAGCTTCAATGACTGAAACTGTAGCTCACCATACATATACGCCTGAAAGTGAGCATGCACAGAAAATGAAAGCTAACGGGACGAGCATGCATGACGGCCTTATGTAAACATATAACCAGAATGGTTGACAATTAGGAGGACCAATTATTTAGATGATCCACCTGGTAAAAGAAAATCCTCCACTATACCTTTAAATGTTTCAGGTCTTGAACCAATCAAAGTTAACCTGAGTTAATACAAAATTCTGTTTTTAAATGTTTTTTTTTATTCATTGTGGGAAAGAAAGCGCCCCCCTTCATTGAATCGCCTATTGTTTTGTCTCAAGTTCTTTAGCCATCCCCAGAGCAATAAATAAAATAAACAACAAAAACAAATCTGTCCGACATTGGGATGCAGGCTAAAGATCTCCTAAAAAAATCCTTAAGTAGAAAACCCATCCCTCTTTTGTGACCTAAGGCTTAAGACGATTTTGCCAGTTTCTGCAAAAAAATTTAAATAAAAAACTCACTGTTCTTGTTGCATCCAAGGGGACACAAAGAGCAATGTTTGTCTAGACAGGTGAAGTAATTATTTAAAAACAGTCTTTTGTATACATTCAGGTTCTGTTCATGATTCAACATTAAAAATGTCTGCAGATGGTCGATGTTAGAACATCATGTCCACTCTACAGCAGTTTCCTTATAATGATGAGAGGAGAGAGCAGTAGATGTGCAATATTAACTGCAAAGCCTGGTTAATAGGAATATTGTATTTACTTTTTTTTTTTTTTGCACTGTGTTCAACAGTTTCCTTTCTTCCAGCAATGAAGAACAATTCTGACAAGAAGTTTTCCTATCAGCAGCTCCCTGTTTCTTTAAAGCTGATATACACTATCCTGCAGGTAACAGCTCTTAGTCTGTCAAAATGAAATCAGACTGTTAAAAAAAATCAGACTGTTAGTCATTCATGTTTCTGGTATTATCAGGAAATGTCCAAGTTTGAGGAGCCCGACATCTTGTTCAACATGCTGAACTGTCTGAAGATCCTGTGCCTTCATGGAGAGTGTCTGTACCTTGCACACAAGGATCACCCTCAGTTTCTGGCCTACATCCAGGAGAAGATGCTCATCCCCAGGTAAACAGAGAACATCAAATCAATGCTGTTAATTTGAGTTTGGATGTTAAAGCTTGGGTGTCCTGTATTTTAGCCTGTGGTCTATGCTGAAGTCAGAGTTCTGCCAGCTGGCCTCTCTGGCTGTGCCGCAGCTTCTCCATGCGCTCTCACTGTCCCACGGAGCTGACATCTTCTGGAAGCTCATTAACACAAACTTCAAGAGCAAAGATTGGAAAATACGTTTTGAAGCTGGTGAGACAATTTTTTTTTAAACATTTTTTTAAGATTAGTATCCTAATCTTCCCAAATATTATTATGTCCTTTACGTATTTTTGCAATATTCTCTACTCTATAAGGATTTATATATTAATAACCTTGACTCTACTCTGAAGCTGATTTTGCCTATATTTTTTTCCATATAGATCAATGAGATGTTTAAGGTCTAAAGATAATGTTACAGCAGATAGAAGCCAGCTTTATAATGCACAAAAAAAAAAGCCATAATCCTTTAAAACAGGTGATAGGACTTATAAATGTACACATACTGACTTTCTGGCTGCTGCACAGACCAACGGCTTCTCCCACACTGACAGTGCTCACTTTTAGCTTTTCTACTTGACTTTGTTTTAGGGAGAGTCTTCATAACAAGTTTATAAATCATTTACTAAGACATCCTTTCCAAAAAGTATTATAAAAATATATATATAAAAAAAGCAAACGTCTATCAAGTCCCTGACTGTAATGATCTGGTCTTATTTCTGGTACACGTTGAAACAATGCAACAGTTTCCAGTTCTGGATGAAGATATAAAAGATAATTTTTCAGAATCATTGTGATGTGACCTAGCAGATGTTAAGGCTCTAAAGGTACTAAATGAAATAAATATATGCATGATGAACTAATTAAACAGATACCTGATATCTCAGTCAATTTTGATAGGTATGCAAACAATTTTATTGGTGCTTGGAAACAATGAATTTAGCATATATTTGATTAAAAAATATGTGTTCTTATAATTTTCTTATAATTGTTTACAATTTTAGGATGCTTTTTTTATGGTTCCAAAAATATAACTCGTTTACTTTTAATAGAGGTCAATTAGGCAATCAAAGCTATTTTGATATAGTTTAAGTATCAATTTTATTGCCTCATTTAAGAGAGAAAAAAGAACTGCTAGAAAATTAAACTCAGGGAACTTATTTAGGTGTGAAATAAAAACCAGAAGACATAAACTAAAAGAAGGGCTAAATGATTTTACCAAAAAACAAAACTTCAAGTTTATCAATTTTTTATTTTCTCACTATAAGCATAGCGCTGTTTCGGAGTTTGAAAACTTGTATGACGAGAGTCCGTTGTGGCAGGACTTAAATCTTACTATTGTAAAGTACTGACCCACATTAAGGGCCTGATCTTTGGGTATTCCAAATAAGGGGTGCTAAATTGGCTGTGCAATTCTTTTTTTGTGCGTGAATTAAGTGTGCATCTTGCAGGTCATGCAGAACCCATTAATGACCATCACGAGTGAAAAAAAACCCTGTTTGCACAGGTCAGAAATGCGCACTTTCAGGCGCATCATATTTAAATTCAGACATTTTTTCCTGTTGATTTAATTATATAAAGATTGCTTGCCATTCTGCAGCATTTGTGCCGTCCTGCTTTATCTTTACTAGTATTATTTGACTATTGTTTTTTTTTTAATACAATGTATGCAATGACTGCAGAAATCTTTGCGTGTGAGTTTGCATCTTAGTTGAAGGAAAAAAAAAGTAAAAATTAGGGCAACATATGAGTTGGAGATTCTAAAACTCGACTTGCATGTGGAATATGTTTTTACTTGCAAGTCCTCCACCAGTTGCATATCTTTGGACACAGTTAATTCATGGTTTAACAATAACGGTAATTATAATTGCTCCTAAGCCCAGGTTGTTTCAATTGATTTTTTTCTTCAAAATACATAAGATGCGGGTTAATAATCTCCTGATTTTCCTAAAATAATATATATTAATTTATATCTGAATAATCCCTTTAATTTGAGTTACTTTGCAGCATTAAGTAGCTTGTTTCTTCGTCTACAGTGTATACTTATCCAGGGTATTCCTGATAAAGACAATTTTTTATTGCATTCCCCTCAGTTGAGAAGGTGGCAGTTCTGTGCCGCTTCTTGGACATTAGTGCTGTGACCAAAAACCACCTGCTGAAGTACACCTTAGCCCATGCTTTCTGCTGCTTCCTGGCCTCCGTGGAGGATGTCAACCCCGCTGTGGCAACAAGGGCCAGACTGCTGCTGGACACCATCAAAAGACCAGCACTGCAGGTGAACTAACAGTGGGAAATTTTCTTTATTTCTTTTTGGATCAAATATATGAATAGAATAGCTTTTTTGCGTGTTTTCTGCTCTAAGTTTCTGATGAAAACCTTACATTTCTTTATAGACTTTAAGGCTATAGTTAGTATTAGAAAAAAAAACTGTCAAGGCTCAGAATGGAGGACCCAGTATCCAAGGCAAGACAGACACTGGGATTATATTAAGCTTATATTAAAACTCTGTTATAGTTATTATATTAAACTCTGTTATTATTAAGACTCTACTGATCTGCAGCAGCAGTAAGGCAGGAAACTCTGCAGGAGAGAAACACAGGTTAGTGACCATGATAATCTGAATGAGGATGATTATGAATGCACTAACCTGGTTAAACAGAACAAGTTAGGATCAAGCTGTTAGGCTGCCAACAAGATGCGGCACCCGCCGCATCTTGTTGGCAGCTTAACAGCTTGATCCTAACTGGCAGCCTAACAGCTTGTCAGGCAAACAGATCAGAGTGGAAAAACTATTTAAAACCTGTTAGGAATACACACAAATTTAAGTCAAATCAAAACAAAATATATTTTGTGGTAGTGAATTGAAAAAAAACAAAAAAAAGTTCCAACATATTAAGTGTAATACATTTACCACTTTATTGTGTATTATCTCCATAATTTGTGAAAGATAGAAAGTTGGATTCCACAAAATTTTTCTTCACATAAAAGATGATTTATTCCTAAAATTAAAAAACTAAATTTGAGTTTATTACTATATTGCTATATAAATCTTATGTATTTTAGTTTTTCATCAGTCCCAGATACCGTACTTAAATAAACCCTTTCAGTCATTGTGCCTTTAAGTGTGAAGATTTTTCAGCTGTGGAGATTCTGTAGTTTAGCCTTTGATAAAACCATCCATTTTCTTTTCTGCAATCTGTTTTAAAACTATGTTACATTTAGTGCCTTTAGATTCTTTTTTGAAACCAGAAAAGTTGTTGGGAGATTTTTTTTTATTCCTTTTTGCTCTAGATTAAGCAGGTGTATTGATAGTTGTGTCAAAAGCATAAGGTTTTCTTTAGCCTGAACACTTTTACCTAAATTTAAAAAGATGGGGAAAAAAAAGGAAAAAAAAGAATAGTAACTGAAATGGAGCCTATTCGTGCACTTCCTTTTTTCTCATGTGAGACTTTGATTTGAGTTTAGCGCTCTGAAGATTGTAGATCAAATGATTTTAAAAGACCTATAAATGTACAAATGTATGTCTATTTAAGCAGTGTATCTGAATATCTGCTGTGCACAAACATCCTGATTAATAAATGTTATGATAATCCTGTTCAATTCTGTTTTATAAACCTGTTCGCTTTGCAGGGTTTGTGTCTGTGTCTGGACTTCCAGTTCGACACCGTCGTTCGGGATCGCCCGATCATTCTCAGCAAACTTCTTCTCCTGCACTTCCTGAAGAAAGACATCCCTGCTCTGAGCTGGGAGTTTTTCGTCAACCGCTTTGAAACACTATCTCTGGAAGCTCAGCTGCACCTGGATTGCAACAAGGAGTTTCCCTTTCCCACAAGTACGTAGTACGTCGGATTCCCATTTGGATGAATGACAGGTGATAACCTTAACAGACTAAGTTTTCTATTCTGTTTTCTTTTTGACAGCCATTACAGCTGTGCGGACCAATGTGGCTAACCTCAGCGATGCAGCAATGTGGAAGATAAGAAGGGCTCGTTTTGCCAGAAATCAGCAGAAAAGTGTTCGGTCACTGCGTGACAGCGTAAAGGATGACTCCAAACGGGCTTTTTCCCTCCCAGAGTCACTAAGCAACCGACTTCGTGAGTAGAGCAAGACAGTTTGTCTAAGCCCAAAAGTTCACTGCAGCCTGTTGTCAATTCGGTTTGTAAAGACCTTTTAATTCACAGCTCACAAAATTTGTCAAAGTTTTTTAGAATCCTACAAGAACTTTTTAGGTATTTATGCTCTTAAACAAGCATAAATCAGATGATTACCGCTTAATAAAACTCTGCAATAAGTTTAAACAGATGCTAAGAAAAGAAGCCATTTTATTGATGTGTGATAAAAAACAGACCCATCTTAAAGTTGCAGGAAACTATCAGCGAGGGTTGGTGTTTGTTACTCGTGTTTTTTGACATGTTCAAGTGACATATGTCTATAAGGAGGCATGGAATTAAAGAGAGCCAAAGTAAGTACAAGTGAGAATTTGAAAAATGTGGTAACTCTATATTTATGAGATAATGTTAAATCATTAGATTTAATAAAATCAGATCCACATTTTAAAAGACAAAGTTATAAATGTCATGTTTGGCTTGAGAAAAGACCCAAATGTGGAGACCAACTGGAAAAAAACAATTACAAGGATTTCTTGCACAATGATAATTAGGTTAAGAAGAACAGGAACAAGAAACAGAAAGCATATATGATAAGGTGAGGTCAGGGCAATTAAGTACAAGAAAATTGGTAGAGCTTATCAAATGAGGAGCGGCTGAAGCACAGTCAAGGCAAGAAAGCTGAAGGAAGAAGTCTAGTAAAGATAGCTTGAATTGGGGCACATAAACTTTAAAAAGGAACAGATAAAGAAACCTATAAAACATTTATAAATAAACAGCAAGTCAATTCTCAAAAAATACATACTTTAAAACAGCTGAAAAACATTGCTAACACAGAAGAGGTCTAATGAATCGAGAGAATCATTGCAGTGATTATCAAAGATCTTAGGATCAAGATTCAGACTAAGTTGGCCATGAGAGACGGTACATTTTTTTGACTGGTTTATTTGAGGTTTACTTCTTTATCCTGCTAAAAGTCTCAATGATGACCCATTTTCAGTTTTCAGGGAGAGAATTCCTGGGTTATATAATGCCAATCACTCCAACATAGTATGTAGGGATTTTGATATAGAAACTGTCCATAGCATCACATATAATTCACCCTACATTACAGTGGTCATAACAGGTCTGATTACCCTGCTGTCATTTGAGCAAAGCACACTTGTTGACTATAAAGTGTTCAAGAGTTTATATGGAAATAGGGAGACCCCTGGTGGCTACACTTCTCTAACTGGGCTTTGGTATTATTATTTTTTTTATTCTTTTCCTCATTGTCTTTCTTATAAAATAAATTTGAGTCTTCCAGCTGCTACATATTCAGAAAATTATAAGTGCAAGAAAACCTTACATCTGCTTAGGGTTACATCAAGTAGATTAAATGTTTTTTTTTTTTTTTTTTCCGTTAAAGCAGCTTTTATAATCCTTGATTGTTTTTTTTCTCTCCACTGATTAAATATATTCAAAATAATTGCTGGAGGATTTAAACGTTCCAGTGTAAGAATAGGCTTAAAATGTTGATTTATTCTGCCATTTCATTCATTTTAATCAAAGGGGAGGTAACCGAGTTTAACTAATAATGCCTCGTTTGTGTAAGCACAACTTAAATGCTATGTACAGGTGCTGGTCATAAAATTAGAATATCATGAAAAAGTAGATTGATTTCAGTAATTCCATTTAAAAAGTGAAACTTGTATATTATATTCATACATTACATACAAACTCATATATTTCAGATGTTTATTTTGTTTAATTTTGATGATTACAAATGACAACAAATGAAAATCTCAAATTCATCATATCAGAAAATTAGAATATTGTGAAAAGGTTCAAAATTGATGGCCCCTGGTGCCACACTCTAATCAGCTAATTAACTCAAACCACCTGCAAAAGCCTTTAAATGGTCTTTCAGTCTAGTTCTATAGGCTACACAATCATTGGGAAGACTGCTGACTTGACAGTTGTCCAAAAGACGACCATCGACACCTTGCACAAGGAGGGCAAGACACAAAAGGTCATCGCTAAACAGGCTGGCTGTTCACAGAGCTCAGTGTCCAAGCACATTAATAGAGAGGCGAAGGGAAGGAAAAGATGTGGTCGAAAAAAGTGTACAAGCAAGAGAGATAACCGCACCCTGGAGAGGATTGTGAAACAAAACCCATTCAAAAATGTGGGGGAGATTCACAAAGAGTGGACTGCAGCTGGAGTGAGTGCTTCAAGAACCACCACACACAGACGTATGAAAGACATGGGTTTCTGCTGTCGCATTCCTTGTGTCAAGCCACTCTTGAACCACAGACAGCGTCAGAAGCGTCTTGCCTGGGCTAAAGAGAAACAGGACTGGACTGCTGGTGAGTGGTCCAAAGTCATGTTCTCTGATGAAAGTAAATTTTGCATTTCCTTTGGAAATCAAGGTCCCAGAGTCTGGAGGAAAAGAAGAGAGGCACTTCATCCACGTTGCTTGAAGTCCAGTGTAAAGTTTCCACAGTCAGTGATGGTTTGGGGTGCCATGTCATCTGCTGGTGTTGGTCCATTGTGTTTTCTGAGGTCCAGGGTCAACGCAGCCACATACCAGGAAGTTTTAGAGCACTTCATGCTTCCTGCAGCTGACCAACTTTTTGGAGAGGCAGATTTCATTTTCCAACAGGACTTGGCACCTGCACACAGTGCCAAAGCTACCAGTACCTGGTTGAAGGACCATGGTATCCCTGTTCTTAATTGGCCAGCAAACTCTCCTGACCTTAACCCCATAGAAAATCTATGGGGTATTGTGAAGAAGAAGATGCAATACACCAGACCCAACAATTCAGAAGAGCTAAAAGCCACTATTAGAGCAACCTGGGCTATCATAACACCTGAGCAGTGCCACAGACTGATCGACTCCATGCCACGCCGCATTGCTGCTGTAATACAGGCCAAAGGAGGCCCAACTAAATACTGAGTGCTGTACATGCTCATACTTTTCATGTTCATACTTTTCAGTTGGCCAACATTTCTATAAATCCTTTGTTTTTATTGGTCTTCAGTAATATTCTAATTTTCTGATATGATGAATTTGAGATTTTCATTTGTTGTCATTTGTAATCATCAAAATTAAACAAAATAAACATCTGAAATATATGAGTTTGTATGTAATGTATGAATATAATATACAAGTTTCACTTTTTAAATGGAATTACTGAAATCAATCTACTTTTTCATGATATTCTAATTTTATGACCAGCACCTGTACATTCAAACATTTTAGGCAGTTTTTACAGCAAGAAAACTGTTTTATGACATCCCAGAACTAAATGTGTGGTCTGACGTTTTGAGTTCCTTCTATCATGAAGTCCAGCTTTGATTTTTATTGAGCCCTGATTTAGTTCAGCACTTTGTGTGATCAGGAATTTACCTTAATGCCGTTTTCTTTAAAAACAGCTGGACTTGCATGAGCATGTCACAGTTTTTATCTTCACACCTCAATGTTTTCATTAGCAATAAAGTGGTTGTATTTTTGTAATTGTGTATTTAAAAAGCATGGATTTTGCATATGTGTCCCATGCCACCATCCCTGTACATTTTCCTAAATTTTGTTCTTCATCTGTGGTTTTTAGCACTAAGGCTTACAAGGCAAGAGCAATCTGCACCGACACTGGGAGATATGATAGAGAAAGTTCTGCCAGGTAAACCACAACCCAAATCTGAAACATACAACTCAACTTGCATATTGCACCCTATTCAGGGAGATACCAAGAGCAGACATTCAGTCTAACGGGTGAAATAGAAACTGAGGTCAAGTGTTTAAACTAGATTACCTGAGCTGAGTTTTAAAGTATTAAATAGAAAATAATGAAAATGTGAACTATTGCAAGCAGATTGCTGCTCATTTGTTTTTGTCTTTCCCATTTACATATACCCCATAAACGCTTTGTACTGCGTCACTGCATGATGGTGTGTCCGTGTCCCTGAAGAGATTGAGTTGACTCCCCCACCTCTGTGCTGTCACCCTCCCCCCCTGCTGCTGCTCCCTGCCCTCTCCCCTCCTTGTAGCACGGTTCCTCCTGCACTTTAACCCTGACGCTTCAGCACCTCTTGCAGGCCAGACCCCTTCTCCTGAGGATGACACCATTATCAGAGACCTGCTGCCTGAGGACGCTGGCATCGATCACCAGACAGTTCACCAGCTGATCATGGTGCTCATGAAATTCATGGCCAAAGATCAGAGCAGTGCTGACGCTGACATCAGCAGTGCCAAGGCTTTTAACACCGTGAAGAGGCACCTGTATGTGCTGCTGGGTTATGACCAGCAAGAAGGCTGCTTCATGATTGCACCTCAGAAGATGCGCACCTCCACCTGCTTCAACGCCTTCATTGCTGGCATTGCACAAGTGACTAAAACTATTTGAATTTCCCAGATTTGCCTCATATTATTGTTCTTATATTAAGTGCACTGTAAATCTGAATGTGGTTTCCTTCAGGTGATGGACTACAATATCGGTTTGGGAAAGCAGCTGCTGCCCCTGGTGGTGCAGGTGTTGAAGTACTGCGCTTGTCCTCAGCTCAGACATTATTTTCAGCAGCCGCCACGATGCTCTCTGTGGGCTTTGAAGCCACATATTCGGCAGATGTGGCTCAAAGCTCTACTCGTTATCCTTTACAAGGTATTTTCATTTTAAATTACAATACAGAAGATCATAAAATTTTCCCTGGAGTAAAGTTTCTCTGTATGCACACAGTATAGTCACCATATAGTCTTTAGAATATATATTCTTTGCTATCTTTTGATTTTTTTTTTTTAAATAGCACGAAAACCTTTTCAAAAACCAGACTGTGCTATTACTATTATTATCTATAAATATAGACATTTCATCATTGGCAAATGTTTGTCTTATAATAATAATAATAATAATACATTTTATTTCAAGCGCCTTTCAAAACACTCAAGGTCACTGTACATATAAAAACAATAAATGGTAGAAAGCAGTCGTCATAATTAAAAGAAACAACACAAATTACACAGAGGAAAGTAATATAAAATCATAATGAAAAGGCAATCTTGAACATGTGGGTTTTGAGTTTGGATTTGAATACGGGTAAAGACTCGGTTTTGCAGATGTCAGAGGGGAGAGAGTTCCAGAGTGTGGGCGCAGAACGTGAAAAAGCTCTGCTCCCCATGGTTTTAAGACGGGCTGAAGGAACAACTAAGTGAGTGGTAGAAGAAGATCTAAGAGTGCGGGAGGGAGTAGAAATTTGAAGTAAATCAGAAAGGTATGGAGGGGAGAGATTGTGAATAACTTTAAAAGTAAGTAGGAGGATTTTGAACTGAATTCTATACTTCACAGGTAGCCAGTGGAGCTGCTGCAGGACTGGGGTGATGTGATGAAAAGAAGGGGTTCTAGAAATGATGCGAGCTGCTGAGTTTTGTACTGACTGAAGCCTGTGAATGGATTTTTGAGGAAGACCAAAAAGAAGAGAATTACAGTAATCAATGCGGGAAGTGACCAGACTATGAACAAGAGTGCAGGTGGAGCTAGTGGAGAGAGAGGGGCGAAGGCGATTGATATTGCGTAAGTGAAAGTAAGCGGAACGGGTAAGGTTGTTAATGTGAGAGGAGAAGGACAAGGTACTATCAAGGATGACACCCAGACTCTTGACCTGAGGTGAGGGGGAAATTATGGAGTTGTCAAATGAAAGGGAGAAACTGTCAGCTTTGGATAAAGTAGATTTTGTTCCCACTAAGAGGATTTCGGTCTTGTCATTATTCAGTTTAAGAAAGTTGGAGGTGAACCGGGATTTTATTTCGGTTAAGCAGGAGATTAATGAAGGAGGTGGGAGTGAAGAGTTTGGTTTACAGGAAAGATAGAGCTGGGTGTCATCCACATAACAGTGAAAATTGATGTTGAATTTCCTAAAGATATTGTCAAGGGGGAGAATGTAGATGATAAAAAGTAGGGGTCCTAGAACAGAGCCTTGGGGAACACCGGTGGTAACTGGAGAGGAGTTGGAACGATATGACTTAATCTGAACAAACTGAGTGCGGCCAGAAAGATAGGATTGAAACCAGGCTAGGGGAGTGTGAGTGATGCCAATTGTATAAAGTCGATGGAGTAGGGTAGAGTGTGAAACTGTGTCGAAGGCTGCACTTAGATCAAGAAGAATGAGAATGGAAATTAGACCAGAGTCAGCTGCTATTAAAAGATCATTGATTATTTTTAAGAGGGCGGTTTCAGTGCTATGACGGGGACGGAAGCCAGACTGGAACTGTTCATAAAGGTTGTTGTGAGTTAAGTGAGAATGAAGTTGAGAAGCGACTGTTTTTTCCAATATTTTTGAAATAAAAGGTAAATTTGAAATTGGCCTGAGATTATTGTAATTGTTGGGATCTAGTCCAGGTTTCTTCACAATAGGAGTGATAATAGCAGTTTTGAAAAGAGATGGAACAATTCCAGAACCAAGAGAGGAGTGGATGATGGCAGTTATGAAGGGGAGGAGAGCGTGAAGGCAGGATTTAACCAGGGCAGACGGGATGGGATCAAGTGGGCAGGTGGAAGATTTAGATTTGTTGATAAAATCAGAAATATCGGAGAGGGTAGGGAGATAAAAGCTGCAAAAAGGCTGGCAGGGTGAAGGGGTTATAGGGGAAGGGGGTGACAGGATAGGAGGCAGGCACTGGTGAATTATTTTGATTTTATCATTGAAAAACTGCATAATCGAATTGCAGGCGTCGGTTGAGCATAGGTGGGGAGGAAGAGAAGCTGGGGATTTGAAAATATTGTTAAACACCAAAAACAGAGTCCGAGAATTACTTTCGTGTGAGGAGATCAGGTTGGAATAGTAAGTGGATTTAGTTATAGTGATTAGTTCTTTATATTGAGTTATCTGAGTTATATACATTTCACTGTGAATTGTTAAACCGGTTTTCTTTTTAAGTCTTTCAAGTTGACGGCACTTAGCCTTCATGGTCCGGAGTTCAGGGGTAAACTAGGGGGCGGAGTGGGAAAAGGTGACAGTCCGGGATTTTGTTGGGGCAAGGAGGTTCAAAATATCATTTAAGCAGTTATTGTATTGAGATGTCAGTTCATCCGGTGAGGAAGAAGAATCCAGGATTAAAGTTCTTAGGATGTGTGAAGAGAGAGTGTCCAAGTTAATGTTCTTAATGTTCCGGTATGAAAGGAGCCGTGGGGTCTTTGCTGTGAAGAGACGGGGGGAAATGCTGAATAAAAGGAGGAAATGATCAGATATGTGAAGATCCTCAGCTGAACAGTTAGAGGGGGTAAGACCAGAGCAACAAATTAGGTCAAGAGTATGACCTTTAGAGTGAGTTGGAAAATTGGAAAACTGATCAAAACCAAAATTGTCCAGACAAGATAGGAAATCTCTGGCGAGGGGAAGGTTAAAATTGTCCATGTGAATATTAAAATCCCCCACCAATATTACATTGGGTGAGAGAGAGGAGAGGAGGGTTAGAAGATCTGTTAGTTCATTTAAAAAGTCACTATGTGGCTTGGGGGGGCGATAGACGGCCGCAACAATGGTAGGTGTAGGGCCAGAGAGTGTACAGGACAGGCATTCAAATGAGTTGTAGGAAGGCACAGTGACGGGAACCACCTTCCATTTCTCGTTGTAGAGTACCGCGAGACCGCCTCCTCGGCGCGTCACGCGGGGCTGGCAAAGGTAAACAAACCCGGGTGGAGTGGAGTCATTTAGTTGTGAATAGTTATTAGGCTGTTGCCAAGTTTCCGTTAGAATCAGAAAGTCCAGTTCACGGTCAACAAGGATGTCTTGGACGAGATGACCCTTGTTTGTAAGCGAGCGGATATTGAGGAGACCGAAGTTGAGGGTGATGTTTTGGAGTTTGACTGGAGGCTTAGCCGACCTAGCTGGGCTGGCTAGCACGCTGTGGTTCACAGTCCGATGGGATTTACGTTGAGAGCGGCGAGTTGAGGACCAGTAGGATTTAACAGGTTTGGAGTCGCTGGGATGGAAGAGTCGGCGAGATCCGCGGTGTGTGTATTTCCGGCGGGGTAGGAGAGCAATATCAGGGTAGAAGTTTAAAGATGCTGGCGGAGGTTCAGTCAGAAGTGAGCGGATGCGGAGGAGCTCTGTTGCGGTGTACTGGATTAGACCAAATCCAGGACGGAGAAGAGGCAACATGAAGATCAGGATTATTACGGTCCAGGTGAAAATCTGTGGAGGCCACATGATTTGTAGCAGCAGCTGGTCCGGGGGGTCGAAGGGCTGGATAGAGAGGCAGGTAAGATTACACTTTTGCCGAAACTTGACGAAGCATGAAGAGTATCTGTAACAAAGTTTCAGAGTAGCTCCAAGCGTTGGGTTGTGGAGGATTGTTCATTTAGTCCATGAAATTATTCGCAAAAATTGTAGAGCACAGCTGTCGGAGAGTAGCGGCGCCAGAAATCACGCCAGCGTCCACTCAACCGGAAGTGGACGCTGCATGCATCTTATGCATCTTACATTAAAGAGTCATTGCTGAGTTTTCTAAAGATGGCGCCAATGGTTGTGTCATAGTATTTAACCCATTCAACATAGACGTGCTTGACGTCACATCCGTCGAACAGCACGGGAAATTCCGACCAAAAGTATTTTCTAGAAAATAGGCTACAGGCTTATACTTGATGCACCCGTGCTGAACTACTGATGTGTCATTCTACTCATCAAATGATGCTTTAGTCGTACACTAGGGTCAAATAAAAAGGCTACTTTAAAGATATTTGTATATCTTTAAAGTATCGTATATAAACGTATATAATGCCTCTTTAAATTAGATTAAACATTTCCTTTTCCAGTTATATTGACAAATAACTAAAAAAAATTAACTTTGGTCTTACTAGATCTGAGGACATGTCTCTGTATCTGTCACAGGCAACTTGTAAAAGATTATCTGCACATGACTGGTTTCCCTGGGGATGAAAATACTCTTAATACTTCCAGCTATCAGGATCTTTTGCTTTTGCTGTAGAGTTGATTTACAAATTTTGCACCAAAACATGTTCATCTCTGCGACACAGAGCTTGTCCCCTCCATGGAAAGATATTCCTACAGTATTTATTGATTTACCAGACTAACATGTAATTTCAGTATCCAGAAGGAGCTCCATGGCTCGTTTGCTGATATCTTAGCAGAAATTATATAACGCCTTGAAGTAGAGTGTTTAATTAGGCAAGACTTTGATTTAAACTTTCCCCCCAGTGTTTCTTTTCTCCAGTTCAATGCTCTGAATCAAGCCATACATAAGTAGAGACTCATTAAATCATATGGGATTATAAATTAAAGAAAAGAAAATATTTCTCTCATTATGCTGGCATCTGGCAAATAGAAATCATTTTGGTAATTCTAACAGAGCAAAAGCAGAAAACTTTAGTCTGATTTAACGGTCAGAAAGTAAGGAAACATGGTTATGCGTTTCTTTTGTAGTGTTCATAAATATCAGATTCAAACCACTTATATTCAGCACCCTCCACATGTATGGTCACTTCTGGTAAAAATGTGGTTTAGCCTTAAGCTAGAAGACAAGTTAGTCAATTATTGTAGCCAAAAAATCTCTGGGTTTAATAAAAAACAAAAAATAGATTAAAGCTCTAATATTAGCCCAGTTATACAGTGGAGAGAAATCTAATGAGTTATATTTACTTTGTCCTTTTTCATCTTCAGCCCACTTCTTATTTGTCGTTTGTTCTTCTTGATTTGCTATGGTCTAAACATAAGGCGACGTAGTGAATTATTTATTTCAAACACTGAAGGATATAACTTATAAGAAATCAATTAACTTTCCATTTAAGTAAGGCAGAAAAAAAAATTACAGTCAGATATAATAAAAAAAGGTAAAACCTAAAACACCTTTGACTGCGTCTAAGAAGGATGGAGGATGACCTGTGACTAACTGGATTATATTTTACATGCATTGCAGTACCCTTATAGAGAAATGGATGGCAGTAAAGTTGTCCTTCACCTGGTCCACATCACCATCAACACCCTGAATGCTCAGTATCACAGCTGTCGTCCTCACGCTGCAGCCGGACCGCTCTACAGCGACAACTCCAATATAAGCCGTTACAGCGAGAAGGAAAAAGGTGAACGTGGAAATGTTTGGATCCTCATTCTTTTTATCAATCAATCATAACTTTTGATCAGTAGATCATGAAAGAGTTTCGGTGAAGAGATACTCTTTCTCATTGGCGTTTTTAAAGCACATAGTCCAACAACCTGTCCATTGTTTTAAAATTTTAAGATTTTTTCTAAAATATAACAATAAATATAATTTCTGGTGAGGTAAATAAATGAACTCCTTACTTTTATATTAATTATCTTAAATATGAATTATTCTTGAAAAAAAAGTTGTTAATCTAAATCACGTTTCTACAACAAACATTAAAGTAGGTATTCAGAGTGCCAGCTGATTGCGTAGACTCATTGACTCTTCAGCACTTCCTCACACGAGCATGCATGTAGTAACAGTGGAGAGGAAAACTCCCTTTTAACAGGCAGAGACCTCCAAGAGAACCAGCCTCAGAAGTAGATATAGAAAATGTAGTTGTTAACCAGCTCCACAGGCAGCCCCGTCCAGGAAAGACACAGACGAACAGACGAGCTCCCAGCCAGCTCTCATGTCAGAGGATGAAGAGAGCACATACAGTTAGTTACAGTCAGAGAAACAGGACTACACTCAAAAACAGGACAAGCTCCGACATCTATAAACAACCCTTTAAATGGTTGCAGCACAACTGATATTTCTCTCCAGGACAGTGTCACAGCCAAACAAGAACAGAGCAGATGAAGCTACTATGATGAGAGAAAGGAGAGATTGCATAAACTTATGGTTTGAACTAACAAATACTGCAGAATGGGAGACTTGAAATGGATTTAAGCTTAATGATAAAAAATGGTCCTTATGTCCTCAAGCGGTCTAAACAAATAGCAGTAAAACTAAAGAGATCGCTCAGGATAACCTGAGCCACTCTACCTATAAGCTTTGTCAAAAAGGAAAGTTTTAAGTTTTAAGTAGACAGGGTATCTGTCTCACATGGTAAAACTGGTCGTGGGTTCCACAGGAGAGGAGCCTGATAACTAAAAGATCTGCCTCCCACTCTGGTTTTAGAAATTCTAGGAACCACTAGTAAACCGGCAGATTGAGAGCAAAGTGCTCTGTTAAGGAATGAGAAGATCCTCGATATACATAAGATGGAGCTTGGGCTTTTAAGGCTTTATATGTGAGAAGGAGAGTTTTAAATTCTGTTTTGGATTTAACAGGACGCCAGTGAAAAACAAATTAACTCTGGTCCAAAAACAATAACTTCTATTTTGTATGAGTTCATGTCATGCTCTTTGCTAAAATAAGTGCCGTAAAACCTGAGATTATCCAACGAAAAGTGTTGTTTTAAATTGAACGCAACGAGCTGTGTGTGTTGCACGTTGCTTTCGTTCATTATTTAGAAAACTGATCCGTTCATTTTAGCTTTCACTAAAAATATGAACATATTCAGTGAACATCATTCTTTTAACGCCTCTATACAAAACACTGCTTGTGAGAGTGTCTAGTTTGCAGCAATTGAAGAGGTGATGAAGAGCCGAAAATCCATCCTCCTACCGTGATAATCATGGTAATATCACCATGGACATTGATCTAAAATTAATATCATGGTTTATAGCCTAACAATATGGTATTACTTCTTGAGAGTGATCTAAATATTTGATGGTGGGTCTCTTTTTCTACTTTATTTAATGAAAATTGTGTCATTTCACGAAGGAGACTCACTGTTAATATATCTAATGTTCTGCACTGTTCTGTTATGTCAGAAGAGGACAGTGTCTTTGACGAGTCAGATGTCCACGACACACCAACTGGAGCTGCTAACAAGGAGTCCCAGACCTTTTTCGCCCGTTTGAAGAGGATTGGTGGCAACAAGTCTGTAAAGTATCAACCAGTGGAGCTAAACGCCAAGAGAAGTAAGGAGCTTTAAGTCTGGCATGCATGTTGTAAACCACAACAATTATCCTTTATTTTAATTTCAAAAGTCTCTTTCCTTTCAGCCTCATTTTTATTTTGTGCGTCAGGTGAGATCGAGCTCTCAGAGTACCGTGAAGCCAGCGCCCTCCAGGACAGCATCCTGCACTGCGTCAGGGAGGAGAGCACCAGGAAGAAGCGGCTTCAGGCCATGCATAAGCAAAAGTCTCTGGACATTTCCAACACGGATTCCATCCTTTTCAGTTTGGATGAACACCGGAGGAAGTCCTGCATCGATCGCTGTGACGTGCAGGTGCCCCCTGTGGTCCTTCCATCATCCGCGTCCCGCAGACAACAAGGTAAAGGATCGTCTGATGGCTCATCGGTTCGGGTTGATCCTGTTGATCGGAGAGGTTCCAGAGGAGGCCAGTCTGACACATCCAAACCCGTCATCCCAGAGGTCCGTCTCAGCTGCATGGAGACTTTTGAGGACAAACTGGATCAAGGGTCCTTGGAAGGATCAACTCAGGAGAAGGAGGATCAAGACCTCATTGACCTCTCGTCAGATTGCACCTCAATTCCAGAAAAACACTCTCTGCTCTCCATGTCCGACAGTGACTCCCTGGTTTTTGAACTGCTGCCCCCACTGAGAATTGTGGAGAGCGATGAAGAGTTTGACATTAACACAATAATAGGTTCAAGATTCAGTGGGAGTCCAAAGGTCTCTGCATCTTCTGCGAGCAGTAATACTTTGCGGTTGTCTCCTGTGGTTCCGGTAAGGGTGGCTGACTGTTCAAGTGCAAAAAAGGACGTAGAACTTACCGTTGGAGAGAAGAAGAAATCTTCCGAGAAGAAGCTCATAGATTTGACCCCAAGCGCCTCCTTAGAGATCCCTGAACGTCTGGAGAATGTTTCCTGTGAAAGCCCAATGACCTTGAAGCAGAAGAGAGATCTGCTGAAGAAGACCCCAAATGTTCCAGTCACCTCATTAGATGAAGCCTCTGTGATCCAAGAAGACATGAGGACAGAGATGGGTTCCAGTCCCTCCGGCAAGACTGTCTTCCTGGACATCCCGGAAGACAGAGCTGAGCCGCCTTCGTCGCCTGAGAAAAGTAAGACCAATAGCAATGAAGAAGAAGAAGACGACGGAGACGACGAGGAAGATGATGAAATGGGGGATGAAGCTGATAGCAACCCCAAAACTGAGCACGCAGACGACACTGACGAAGCAGAGTTCAAAATTCAGATTGTTCCTCGGCAGCGGAAACAGAGGAAGATAGCCGTCAGTGCCATCCAGAGGGAATATCTGGACATCTCGTTTAACACATTTGACAAACTGGGTGTAGAACCAACGACTGAGGCTGGTAAGATCCGGGTATACACAAACAGACTGAGATAAAAAGCCTGTTATCTTGTTGGATAAACAACATAGTAGAAACTAGGGATGGAACGGTTTATGAAAACCATCCGAACCGTTCGGTTCGACTGTCTCGGTTCGATTCGCGTGTGTTGCGTTCGGTTCATGCGCTGCTCCTTTTTCTCATAGGCAAAGCGTGTTCACTCGAGCTTCTTTTCCAAACAACTGCTTTATGATCAATTGCAGCAGTTCTGCGCAAATTAATCGTGTCAAAAAATTGTCACTTTTAAACACCACAATTTTTTAACTAAATACAAATGCTGGGAACCAATTCTTTTTTATTACATCTCTTTAATATTTTGTTCTATTCAGCTACACAAGCATCCTCTTTAAACTACTAAGAATTGTACTATAAATGTGACTTTACCCGATTCTTATGTACACCTTAGTAATTTATTGATATTCCGCACAATGTCCTCCTTTTTGGTGCTATAGAAATGGCCACCCTACCAACATGTCAGGCTAACAATCAACATATACCGAACCGAACCGAAAACCGTGACCACGAAACCGTGAGCCGAACCGAACCGTGGATGTTGTAAACCGTTCCACCCCTAGTAGAAACCGTTAATATTTAGCTTCAAATTTACCTTTGAGCAAACTGAAGGACAAAAGCATGAGGTCTCAATAAAGTTTTATGATCAGATAGGGTCTAAATATGATTTAAATGCATAAATTAGTAATCAGTTCTTTTTTTAGTTTTCATAGTCATCATGTAGAGTAGATATTTGGTTTATCTAATTAAAATCCCACCAGATAACAAGCTTGATAGAAAAGTATTGTTTTTCAGGGTTTTTTTATCGTTAAACTTGGATGTTAGTCTTATATATATATATATATATATATATATATATATATATATATATATATATATATATATATATATATATATATCTTATATATGCAGGACATTTAATGTCTAACTCCTATAATATCAGATTTTGATGTAGGAACCAATATTATCTTGCTTCTAATTGATAAAACCTGTCTGAAGGCTCTAAAGCTTACTAACCCTTCTAATGACAAATATCCTTTTTGTTTTATTGAGACTAATAACATAGTTCTCATCCAATTAAGGATAACCTAAACGTTTTATTTCCATTTTTAAAGCATGAGACAAACAAATAACCCGATTTCTTCTTTGCTGTTCTGTTCAAAGTCTAGTCAGATATTTTATGAAATCCAAAACACAGTTGAAGGCAGAGCAGAACTCTACTCTGACATATAAATTGTGACTCATACGTTCTCTTTGTCATTGTTTGCAGATCACAAAGGTATATCAGCCTTGGAAAAACCCCGGGAATCAGCCTCCGCTCCAACTCTTGAAGCTGCTCTGCCAGAAACAAGCCATCGCTCTTCAGTGTCAAGTAGGAAAAACAAACTGCTCTACAGGATCTGTTGTAGCAACATCTAAAAGCAGAGAGATGTTTTTTTTTTTCTCTGAGTGACAGTAAATTTTAAATTCTGAGAAAAGTAGTTTCTGTTTTAGATCAATGTGGATTGATTACATTAGTTCTATTTGCTACATGCCAGACTAATGACAGAGAGCCTTCTTTTTTTAATTTACCTTCTTCAGATTTACACGTCTGTTTACATTTCTTCAGTATTTGTTAGAATATGCCCATTAAAATTTATGACCACTGTGAGAATTTTTGGCTCTCCCTCCACAAGCCTCTTACTGCAGTTTGGTGTAATTTTGACCCATTGCTTGCAGTAGAACTGATGGGTCAGGTTTCAAAGCCCCCTTTCTCACCCATACTTTTTCAGCTCTGTCCATAAATTGTTTACTGATTAAGGTCCTTGTCATTTTATTGCCCTCCAGCCACTTTTTTTCTAATTTCTCAGTATCTTTACAGTAGAGTCTTTGAACAATTGGAAGAGATTTATTCTCTATACTTTAACTGCCTGGCTGATGATGTTCTTTCTTTATTCCATCTATTTTTTTTCAGTTTACCAGTTCCTTCTTAAAAAAAAACTGCCCCACAGCATGATGTTGCCACCTCCTTACTTCACAGTTATAATGGTGTGCTCAGGCTTGTAATCTTTACATTTGTTTTTATAAATGTGAGGACGGTCATTACACGCTTTCAGTAAACCACCGGACATAGGCGGATGACTTCTTCCTCCCTTAATGGCCTTTCATCCCATGTCTGTAAAGGACTGGTTCCCCTGAGTACAATACGTTCTCTCTAACTAGCTTATGCCAGTAGCTCCTCTTTTCATTTGGAGTTGATTCAAATATCTCATACACAACTTGTTCATCTCTGCAACACAGATCCTATATCACAGAGATGGAAATTGCACCCACAGTTAAACCAGGCTTACTAAGGTCAAGCAATTTTTGTTTTTGCATATTTCTCTTGATCTTTTCATAATGTCACACAACAAATCAAGGTTAAACAAATGCACATGTGTTCCTCCAGTAGTAGTATATGATAAATAACACCATCATAAGCTCAGGAAGCTATGATGTCATTATCATTTGGGCTTTGCAAAATTGTTTAAAGTCTACCTATCCATCTACTACAGCTTATCCGTCAGGGTCAAAGGGCGAATAGTGGGGTAGACTGTAGCAGGTTGCCACTCGATCACAGGATAACATGGAGAAACACAACCATGCACAGACTACATCACAAAACAAATTTTTAGCCTAATAGTTAACCTTATAGTCAGGTTTTGAGACTTTGAGAGGAAGCCTGAGTACCAAAAGAAAACCCCCACATGCATCGGGAAAACATGCAAACTCCATGTAAAAAGAACCTAGGCCAGGAATTGACTCCAGAATGTTCTTGCTGTAAGACAACAGCACTATCAAGCCAAGTCAAGCTTTTAAATTTGGAGAAAGAAAAAAATTTTTTTTGCTTTTTGTTCTCTCTCATTATTCTGACACACACTGTAGAAAATAGACATCCTTCTGGTAATCCTTAGGGACCTATAACTATTATTCCTTTATTATGTCAGACATGATAATATGGGGTTTTGATTTTATACAACTCCTTAAATAACAAAAATGAAGTATGTCAATTATTAAGACAAGTATGCAAAATAAAAATAAATGATTTGAGATTATGAACTGCTTTTCTTGTCCTTGTCTGTCCTTTAGCTCAGTACCGGCAGGCAAAACGAGGCTCTCTGGGAGCTCTGACGATGAGTCAGCTGATGAAGAGGCAGCTGGAACATCAGTCAAGTGCGCCACACAACATCTGCACCTGGGAGACCGGTCAGATGCTCTGGACTTATCTCTGTAGCAACGTCACCTTAACAGGAAATAATGTATGCGGAGAATATGAAACAAACACTAACGGGAACCATGTCCTCTTCTTGGTAGGTCCCACCAAAACAAGCTTACTTTCAGCACCGAGCACAGTCAGCATGTTTGTTCCAGCACCTGAGGAGTTCATCGACGAGCAGCCCACCACCATGTCTGACCGGTGAATAATTCATCTGTTGTACCTGTTTGCAAACCTAAGCTTGATACCCAGGGATCGCTTGATATATTTTTTTGCTTCGCCTAAGGTGCCGGGACTGTGCTGCTGTGCTGGAGGAATATGACGAGGAGACTCTAGCTCTTGCAGTGGTAGTTCTGTCCATGTTTATCCACCTCAGCCCTGATCTGGCTGCTCCCATGCTTCTCGACATCATGCAGTCTGTAGGCAGGTAGGGAACAGTGGCTCCATCCGCACAGCACTTCAGAGTTTCATAACTGGCTCTTAGAGCTGATGCATCATTTCTCCCTGAGTTTGTATCAACTGCTTTGACCCCTGTAGGCTGGCATCGAGTGGCAATTTCTCCGGACAAGCTGAGAGGTATGAGACGGTGGAGCTGAGGTGTAAAGACTTTCAGATATTCACACAGAATTACTCAGCCTGTTTGTTTTTTGTGTTTTTTTAGTATGCTGATCCCTGGAAATGTAGCAGGTGTGGCCAAGCAGTTCCTTCGTTGCATGTTTCACCAGCTGGCCCCTAATGGCATCCTGCCCCAGCTCTTCCAGAGCAACATTAAAGGTCTGCTTCATCTTATTTTAACTAAAGTAAATCTGATTTGGCCATATATAAAATCATCTTTTTCTTAATATCCTCACAGATGGGGGTTTCCTGCGAACCCTTGCTTCCTCTCTGATAGACTTCAATGAGCTGAGCTCTGTTGCAGCTCTCAACATGCTGCTTGAGGTGCTGGGTTTTTCTTCTTGCACTAATGTAATACAACCAGCAGGGGGAGCTATTGTCAAACAATAAGCTTCTCTGGGTTCTGTTAGTAGAAAAAACAAGAAACTATATAAACAGAACTTCATGTGAAGGTGGCAACATGGTGATACTTTATTGTAACTGTTAAATGAAACATTAAAAAATATAAATATTTGAGCTGCCTGCACTTCCAAGCGTTCAATCCAACTGCTTCTACAGGCACTTGGTTATATCAGGACTGAATGATCACCTACATGAATATATCCTGGCTTAAAGCAATGCCTTACATAACCCTTTTATGTTTAATCCCTTTATGTTCTCTAGGGCCTAAACAACAAAAAGAGTCTACCAGCAGGGGGCACAATGCTGCACTGCCTGGACAACATTGCCACCTTCATGGAGGCTCTCCCTATGGACTCTCCCAGCAACCTGTGGACAACCATCTGCAATCAGTTCCAGACCTTCCTCACAAAACTGCCCTCTGTGCTTCCTTTGAAGGTAGATATCAACTCTTCCGCTCACTCAGTCATGCCCTGATACGCTTTAATGTGATTACAGCTGAAGGAAAAAGCATCTAGCGTCGTCCTTGTCTGATTCAGTAGGAGAGTCTTTAAATTGTAATTGATTTGACTCTGATGCTTTTAACCTTGGATGCTAAATTAGTGAACACACCACATCCAGGAACAGGGCTATGCACTGTGCTGCCATTTGTTTTTGTTTTTTTTCAAAGTATAGTCGCCTATATTAGACAAATGTGTTGCAATGTTTCTCTCTACAGTGCCCAATGGATTCCAGTTTAAGGATTATCATTTGTCTTCTAAAGATCCCAACAACAAACGCGACTCGGGTAAGTCCAGGGGAAAATCTTGGAAATTTGATTGACTATGTGTTGAAATTCAGCTTTTAATGGTGCAAACTTCTTGAAATGTTGCAGAGTCTCCTGGAGCCTTTCTCTAAGCTTCTGAGCTTCGTTATCCAGTATGGTTCCTTCAGCCTTTCCTACCTGGTTGAAATGTGCGGGCTGTGCTATAAAGCCTTCAACAAGGTACCCTTTAGTCAGAAGGAAACCCTGCATAAAACACAAACACATGCTGTGTATTCTACGGGTTGAACTGTGTGTTTTAGGGTCAGCAGTTAATTTCTCTAGACACCTCTATACTAACTTTTTAATACAGGCTAAAATTGACAGTACCAGTGAGCCACAAACATTTTTTTTCAATATATAATATTTATTTTATTTCACTACATAATTAAATAAATACTTATTGTAAATAACAGTTGTAAAAGTTATGAGATCATTCTGTTTTAATAGTTCCAGAAACAGTTGATTCCGTTGTATTCAGAATTAATAAAAAGTCTTAGCCAAGGTGGATTTCACTTTTGAACACATCTCTGTAATACTGTGAATCTTTTTTTTATGAAACAGAAAGAAGACATTCCGAAATGTGGTTTGTGGTCCACAGAAAGTCATTTAGAGAGCTGCAAATGGCCCCCAGGCTGCATTTGGATACCCCTGATCAATACAATTTGGTATTGCAGTTATAGCATATATTTTGATTAAATATTGCAATAAATTACAAAGGAGGGGCTTAATCTGGAATCAAAGTATTCTTTGTTTTCATTGTAGATACATGAGGTTATACAAGGTGCAATTTGATTCTGGGCATCAAAGCTTTCAAATCATAAAAGAGTAAAAAGAAGATTGATGTAGTGTTAATTTGGGTTAGCTTTGCTCCTTTTAGGTCATAAAGTAATTTAATTTAAAGGATCAAATTTCAAAGATAATCCCAGGGGTGACCTAAAATAATGGTAGAATGAATAAACATCCCCTAAATGCTTAGGAAAGGCAATAAATGACCTATATGTGTCCCACAGCTAATTTAGATTCAAAATCATGTTTATTAAACATATTCAACCAAGACGTCTGTTTCTAAAATTAAAGATCAATTTACATTTGTGTTTACATTTCATAAAGAGAAATTTCATAAATTTATACTCTTATAATTATTTGGTGGAAAAATCTCACTGGCACTGCAGCTTCCAGATTTATTTATAATTACTGACCAGCTTTTTCATGTTGGTGATGAGCTTTGAGTGTTGGATGATGGAATGCCTTCTTGCCATCACCCTAATCTTGAGCTCCCCTCACATTTTCTTTTTCACATTCAAGTCAGGACTCTTGCATGGTTGCTCAATAAAAGTGCAAAAAAACCACACATGTTGATAAAATTGAGAGATCACTTTTAACGGTATATACATTGTTATATTATTTAATGATGCAGATAATCAGATTTTTTTTACCTTAGAAGCTCACATTGAAAAGAACATAGGATTCAGACTAAAACAAAAACTCATGCAGTTAGTCTTTACAGTATTAAAAATAGAGCAAACAATAAAAAGTAACTGAAATAACACAGTTTGTTCCCGGAGGGTTAGGAGTTAAACCGATCTGCAGCACTGGAGTTGTTGAGCTGGTGTTCACTGGTTTCTTGCTCATCACTTTTAGGCGACGCTCCTGCTTCCCTGGCTCCCCACTCAGCTAGAAATGTGGCCACATGTCACAGATGATGAAGTAAATAATCAGCCAGTACTGATTGACGAGATTAGTTTGTGCTGTAGCAGGTGATGTATGGCACATTTCTTTGTGACAGAGATGGAGCTTGCCCTGTTCTCCACCACTGTCAGCACTGCATACTTTATGTCGCCTGTTGTATTGATTTTCCACTCTGTTTAATTTCTCATCGCACAAACCCAGCGTTTCCGAATCTGCAGGAGCTTGTATAGAATCTGTTTGGCTCCTGCAATGTGATTTTGCTTTGTTTTTGGTGCTGCTGTAGCCTCAGAGGTTAAAACCTTTAGAAATATTACCACTTCTTCCCTCATGCACCATTTCCCTGCTGCACTGCATAATATTTGACCAGACCCTCTTAGTGGAGCTTAAGAACAGCTGCTTGATTTGCTATTTACCGAAATGGCACGCTCCATTAAGTTTTAATTATAATCCAGCGGTGTACAGGTACGCACAGGCACAAAGCCACACAAGGAGAACCGTCAGTTCTGCAGGTGCAAAAGGAAACACGTGCCCGCTCTGAACACAGGCAAATATGACTGCAAAGAGAAAGAGAGACACAAACCGAAAGCCAGAAGATGACATTGTGGTTTGTAAACAGGCAGCTGGGCTTTGTGTGGAAAGGATGCACAAAGAGAGCAGCCTGTCCTCAGGGAGGGAGAAGGCAGCCTGACAGCCTCATCTGAGCTGCCTGGGACTCTGGGAGAAGAGATCTGGACTGGCCTAAATCTACTCCTCAGCCTCGCTATTCTCAGTATCCCTGCCTGCCCTCCTCTCTCTCCCTCCCTCCTGCTGCCTGTCCTTCCCCCTCTTTTCAAGCTACAGAGTTTATGCTCTCCGCGCAGCATGAGTAAGGAAGAGTGATAATAGAAAAAGGCAGTCTTGCTGCTCCAGTACATTTACTCCCCTCTCTATCCCCTCTCATCCAGGAGAGAGATAAGTTCTACATGTCCCGCATTGTGGTGTTGGAGCTTCTGCAGGCTCTCAAGTTCAAGTCTCCCATACCTGATACAAACTTGTTACTGCTGGTTCAGGTAAAAATGCTTTGTTCATTTCAGCAAATAACATGATTACAGCCTATTTGCAGCTCTGTAAAATAAAATTCCATGGATATTGTCAGTTTGTTTGTGCAGATATAGGAACACGTTTAGCAGAATCCACTATCATCCAAAAGCACATGATCTCCACGCTGCCAGGGGTGAGACTTAAAACTGTGTGTGTTACAACGCTATTAAGATGGGGCTAATAAAACAGCAGGAAGAACAGACGGACCTCTGTGGTTTCTCAATAAAGATAAGCTGTTTTTATCCTCAACAGTGTACAACTGCGGCAATGGAATGCATAAGGCAGTACATCAGTGAGCTGCTGGACTTCATTGCAGATATGCACACTCTAACTAAGCTAAAAGTAAGTCTGTTTCTGTACAGGAAAGCCTAAGCTTTTTTAACACATCACCCATAAAGGCAATTTCAAATCTTAGAGTGTTGTTGATGTTTTCGTTGCTAAAAATTGCTTTTTCAGAACCATATGAAGGCGTGCTGTCAGCCGCTGCACGAGGACACTTTTGGGGGAAACCTGAAAGTAGGCTTGGCCCAAGTTGCAGCCATGGAAATCAGCAAAGGGAACCACCGTGATAACAAAGCTGTAGTCCGGTATCTCCCCTGGCTTTATCATCCACCATCTACCATGCAGCAAGGGTAAGAAATCTTAACAAAGGGCAGTTTGTTAGCCTGTGTCTGTGCAGATGTTTTTTTTTTTTTTTTTTTTTTTTTGCCTGTGCAAAGTAGTGAAAATAAGTCAGGCGGACAAACAGATCAGACAGGTAGGCTTAAAGGTCCAAATACAGAAACAGATAAGAACCAGACAATAAGAACATTATAGAAATGATAGAGGACCCTCAACACCAACGGCTCAAGAATGATCTGGTGATGCTTAAATATAAGCAGGAGCAGGGGGATTAGATGAGCAGTGAGAAGTTACAGGGCAGAGCTAGACAGGTGAATGAAATGACCAATCAAGCCAGCCAACAATGGCAAGATCATGACAGTTTTACAAAAAATTTATATTTTTGTGTTAGTGTGACATAAATTCAGAGGACTTGGATACAGATTAATATTGGGTGACATTAACTATATATATATATATATATATATATATATATATATATATATATATATATATATATACATTTAAATTAACTTATTGTTAACTTTATACCACTGCAATGAACGTTTCCTATTATGTTTCCAGTCTTTCCTCATGTACAGCACTCTGTCTTGCTATTGGAATGTGCTGTATAAACTTGTCTTGCATGGTTTTACACATAAAACAGATTGATAATTTCTCTTTCACAGTTTTACTGTCTTAATTACCATGGTCTGTGTTCTGTGTTTTTGCTTGAGCATTACAGAACATTAATTTACCTCTAATGAAGTAATTCATTGTTACCTGTGATGCTTCCAATATAACAGTGAGATTCAGCCAGTCCTTTGCAAAATAGATAAATCGTAAAGGAACTGCTTTGCAAACTGTTATTTTAGCTAACCTAAATTACATTAAATCATATTTAATATTGCTGATTAAAATTGACCGGCTGATATTTCTGGAAGATATTGGCACTTTTTTCCCTTCCTTTTTTTTAGCACCAGCTGATACCTGCATGCATTTGTTGGTTTAATGGTGCATTCAAAAGCATGCTCCCTCCATATGCTATTGCATTGGTGTTGTTTAGCTAATAAATGTTTCTGTTATTTCAATTGATAATTGTGCCAAATTTGTTTAGACCATGTTATTTTTACCACATAGGATAAGAAAGAGAAAGCAACATAAACCTGAAGAGTCAGCCCCCCAAAAAATCAGCAGCACATATATTTGTTAGACTGGCAAATCAGTATCAGCCTTAAAATATCTGTAGTGGTTGTTCTGTATAACTGATAGCAGCTATGAATCCAAGTCTAGAATTTAAAAAAAGGATGTTTATGTGTGCACATTTAGGCAGCCAGATTATTGCAGATTTTTATTTTCTACATTTCTTTTCCCTCTAAGTTTCTTGATTTGCCATGGCTTCTCCTGTTCCTTTAAAAAGTTCAAATAGTTGCTGTGTAGTCAAGAGGGTGCAAAGCGAACGTCATATGAAGTGTTTAAAATGCCTTAACTTCCTTATTAGGAGGAAGAATGAGCAGGATCAGGGAGGCACATGTACCGTTTGCTACCTTGGGACTCCAGTTCAAGACCAAAATACAATAAATGTTTATTCAGTCTCTTACATTAACCCTTCTCTCTTTATTTTATTACTACCATGCATCACTGTTACTTAGGATCTGCAAGACTTGTTTTCTGTGAATGTTCAAGTACTAATTGTAGGATTCCATAGTGGCATCTTAATACAATTTACTACTAGCACTATTCCATTGACACTAATATTGATGACTAGAACTATCTGACCGTCCAATAGTTTATGAAAGGTATAGAGACACTTCTTCAAAAAAAAAATAAAATCAATATTCCTACAGTGAATCATTAATACCTCTTGATTTTTTAGAGATGTGGAATCAAATGTATCCCCTTGCTTGCAAAATTATATCACACATTGGTTTAAAAATAGTCTGGACTTTGCGATGTACGTAATTCGTCTTGATAAACTCCACTTTATAATCTCTCACAGTGCAAGGCCTCAAAGCAAGAATAGAAGGACTGTATGGAGCAATAGTGCTGTGAGAAAATAATTTCCCCCTTACAGATACCTTCTACTTTTTTGGTTTTTGTCACACTAAAATGTTTCAGATCATCAATCAAATGTATACATCTGACAGAGACAACACGACAATACGTAAAAGCATTTTTCAGGGTTCTTTTAAAGTAGACCCCTGCTTTAAATGAACATGCAGCCGTGTGTGGCTCTTTAGACTCTCCACAATGGCTCTTAATAGTGTCCAAAAAAGATATAAAGAACTAACTAATATACTATAATAATGAATACCAGTCTCAAAACCATTATCATTTTTTACTAAAGAATATTTAAATTGAGTTTTCACAACAGAATAGCATTAAAGTCATCAGAAATTTCTTTATGCGCTATTCTTCTTTTAATTACTCTGCAAATTATGTTTTATTATTATCATACCCTATAGAATAAAATCCATGCTGCATGTTTATGAATCGTTTACTTTTTTATTGTCTTAAGCTAAAAAAATCAAATCAAATATTCGTTGTTTAAGATGGCAACAAATTTGCAATGGCAAATATTTAACAAAAACAATAGTTTTTTTATTTTTATTAAAAGGTCATGTAATATTTTGCGGCTCTAAATGAAAGGTATAGGATTGATTACATTGGTTAGATCAAGAGTTTTCCCAGAGTCTCACTCTTTGAATAATTTACAGGCCTCAGCTAGAGTGATGCTTACTAAAGCTTGAACAAACAGAGCTGAAATGGTCATGGCGTATCAGCATGGCTTCCTTTTTTAAGGCTGAGTATGAGAATGATGGATGTAAAGCCTGTATTGTTAATATGAATTCATCTTTTTGTTTTTTGTGCCCAGGCCAAAAGAATTCATTGAGTGCGTGTCCCACATCCGTCAGTTGTCCTGGCTTCTGCTAGGGTCTCTGACACACTGTGCCCTGCACCAAGGCTCCACCTCCTGTATGCCCATCCCGCTAGACGCTGGATCCCACATCGCAGATCATCTTATTGTCATCCTTATTGGCTTCCCGGAGCAGTCAAAGGTCGGGCAGACACAGATCCCATCATTAGTTTTGTTCTTATGAGCTGCCTCTTTAAATCCTTGTTAAATATTATTTTTCATTGTTATCCACAGACATCAGTGCTGCACATGTGCTCCCTTTTCCATGCTTTCATGTTTGCCCAGCTGTGGACAATCTACTGCGAGCAAGCAGCAGCTGCACCATCACTGCAGAACCAGAACCAGACAGAATTTTCATCCAGTGCCATCCTCACTGGCCTGGAGTTTTGGAGTCGGGTCACCCCTAGCATCCTCCAGCTCATGGCTCACAATAAAGTGGTAAGAGTTCACTTCAATGCTTATACAATGGGATAAACACTTGTCATGTAAAACGGAATACCTGCTCTATATTTGTCTCACAGATGGTGGAGATGGTTTGTCTTCATGTCATCAGTTTGATGGAAGCCCTACAGGAATGCAACTCGACCATCTTTGTGAAGGTTTGACTTTACCTTTGGTGTTTCTTTATGTAAATGTAAATTTGAAAAAGTATTTGCCCCCCTTAGATATTTTCTGCAGATTAGTTTCTGTAGATATTTGTTTTTTTTACCACATTCAAAATTCAAAATTGTCAAACATTTTCTTTTATATCAGATGACGATAATCTGAGTAAATACAAAAAACACATTTAAACATTTTGCATCCGTTGTCGCGGACCTCAAAAAAAATCCTGACTATGCGATGGACCAGTGCAGACCTCAAGTGAAAGGGCGCAGACAAAAATCAGATGTGATTGGTCCTCGGTATGCCTTTCCGGCTGTCTGTGTGGTCGTCCTTCTCAATTCAGTGTCGGGGTGCAGCATTTTTAAAAACCTAGAAATAACTATAATGGACAACTACGACGAACTGAGCAGGTTTGGAAGTGCAACCCCTTGTACGATGCCTCAGACAAATTATATAAAGATGCCAAGGTCTCTGCCAAAACGAAGTTCTCGTGACCATCCGCCAAAGTTCTCACAAGTTTTTGAATAGGCTCCCTCTTGCACTTTGGCGGGAAACTGCTGTGCGCCCCTAGAAATTCCAGACCGACGGTGCAGAAGCATACCAGCAAAACTGGTTCGCAACCAGACCCAAGCAACATTTTATTTGTGCGGTTACAGAAGTCTAATCTGCCCTTCAGACTCCATTCAAATAGTCTCTAATGAATGTTCAGGTTTAAGGCTTGATGTATTAATGCATTTAGGGATATTTATTTAAAATAGTAGCAGATAAATGTACATAAAATTTAAGATTGCAGTCAAACAGTGAAACTCCATCTGGTTTTACAGTGAATAAAACTTTGCCTAAAAGGTTTAGAGGATGATCTTTTATGTTCGGGTGGATCATCTACATAAGTGGTCCTCCTAATTGTCAATCATTCTCGTGATATGTTGATGTAAGGCTGTCCTACGTGCTCGTCCTTTTAGCTACCTTTTTCTGCGCATGAGCATTTTCAGGTTCATGTGTTGAGCTACGGTTTCTCACCGCTGTTCTTTGAAAATAGCAGAGGGTTGTAAGAAAAAAAAGTGTCTACAAAGTGTATGAGAAGAAAACAAAAGCCTCAGAAGAGGAAGATATATCCCAGAATGCTTTGTGCATAGAGCTCTCCTTGCAAAGCAAAGTCCACTCTATATTCCCCGCTCTATATAGTGATTGAGGGATTTAGAGGTTAGGGTGAATTTTCTGACACAGTAAGCTTGTTTGAGCTATGAGAACAGCAACTTTTAAACAGAACGTGCACAAGGAGAAGCATGCTCTCGCATGCGTTGAAGCTAGCCAACCAAAATTTAGCACATTAACTATTCAGACAAATGGAAAACAAACCGGAGACAAACCACAAAGCATCGATCGTTCACAGTCAGGCTCGGTGAGCGTTAGCATTCAGTTCAGAACTCTCTTACATTAAAAAGTTTCAGCCTTTGGAAACCACAAAGCACAACACATGCAAAAATATCTTTCCTAACTCTGCCGAAGCTTAGAATACCTCAGGAAGCATCAGATAAAAAAAGGGGAAAATTGTTTCACTGTGTATTGACTGGGGTGGTTCTCGGAGAGATTTAAAATAGTCCAGTGCAAAACAAGAGGAAGATCTGCAGGGCTTAATTTGATCACTTATAACAGTTTTGAGAGGATGTCTCCTCAGAGTGGCAACTGACAGCTTCGTTGCAGGGGCGCAGCGACACTAACATAGCTTCAAAACAGCAGGTTCGCCCAGTTCACCGGCTTCATAGTGCCACCTCGGTAGATAGAATCAGACCAGGACCCTACAGCGTGCGGCAAACAAGGGTCAACCAGGGGGAAAAGGGATGATGCAGGATTGTGATGAGAAGGCACTACGTTCAGTTGTCTCTGAATCCTAGACAGATAGCAGCCTTCTTCACCAACTGATGTCAGGGGGCTCGGCTCGATTACATCACTGACACTTAAACTCCATCTTCTCTACATAGTTAAAAAATAAAATCAATAAAATACTGAAAACATAATAATGATTACAATAAAGCAATGTTTTGTAAAATCTAGACCTTTGGTATAGCCTTTGAAATTATGTCCATATTTCTCAATTGACCAAACTTCCATGTGAAGAAATGCACTTTCCTGTTAAGAAGAACCAAATAATTAGGTTGAGGAGAAATTACTTTTTTTCACGAGCCAGGTTAGTTGTGACTCTTTTTTTCACCTTTAAAACGCTACATTAAAAAAAAAAAAAAAGCCTTTTCTGTTTGTCTGATATTAAAATGTATTTGATTGTGAAATATTAAATGCTGACAAAAAACAAACACAGACTAAATCTCCAGGGGAGCAAATAGTTTTTAGAGCAGAATATAAAAATAACATTTATCCTCCCCTGTTTTTAGTTAATTCCAATGTGGCTGCCCATGATTCAATCCAACCTTAAGGTAAGGCTTTCAGTTATAAATGAAAAAATGTCATGATGTTTAGATCATTTTGAACCAATATTATTGGTATTCTTTTGATCACCAGCATCTGTCTGCGGGACTGCAGTTGCGCCTTCAGGCCATCCAGAACAGGGTTAACCATCAGTGTCTGCAGGGCCAGTCACCTGGAGCCCCACCCTTTGCACTGTGCAAATGGCTCCAATGCACACAATTCAAGATGGCTCAGGTGGAGATCCAGTCGTCAGAAGCAGCCTCACAGTTCTACCCGATGTGACCTGTTCTGCACTCGTTGCTGGGTCTTTTCTGTCCCGACACCCGCATGCACCTGCCTTAGCTAACCAAAAACAGGACTCAAACTGATGCTGTGCTGGATTTATTTTTAAAAAAATAGCATTTTAGGAACCTTTAATACTTGTATAACAAATATATGTTATTTTAAAGTAATTGTGGTTGAACTGCTGATCAAAGGTGGGGTAAATGTATTTTGTGCCTAAGGAGAATGACTGTGAATAATTTATATTGTCCCATGTTAGTGACAATAAGGGTGTAAAAAGCAGATGCTTCTATACTTTACGCTGATTCTGTTACACTGATATCCTATCACTTTTTAGGTTGTTTGGTTTCAAGCTGGATATTAAATTTTTTTTCTAAACTCAGAGCCTCTGTGTCATTTTGTATTATTTGGCAACTCCTTGAAAATTCAAATGTGACATTCACCGCCCTTTGATGTTGTCGCCGGTGTGGAAAATGTCCAGTTTATCATAATGAAGGCGAGATACAATCAGCTCTGTAGTCCGCTCCTCTGAACAAGAAACCGTACCTCAGGCGCCTGCAGGAAAAAGAAAAAAAGAAAAAGACATGACGGGCATCACCCTGCTCCTCGTCTGAGATCCTTGTCAGACTGTCAGTCACGCTGCCTTCCATATTCAGGGCTCAGATCGATCAGGGGCCAATCTGAGGCGCAGCAGGAGCTTTATAACTCGATAACATGGAGCCAGACATTGGAGGTAAACAAGACCATTTCAGTTGTCCCCCCCCCCCCCCCCCCCCCCCCCCCCCCCCCTCCCAACCTTACCTGCACCATCCTTCTCCTCTTTGGCAGCTGCAAAACTGATTGGCCCGCCCATATACCAAGCAAACACAATTACCTTTTGGACTAATGCGGTTTGTTGTGATTAAGCATTGTTGTGGAGTCTAACTTTATTACCACAAAGCTCTTGTCTGAGAATAACAGATGACATGACAGCAGAGCTAGAAAGAGAAGCAGCACATTAATCTTTGTTTTCATCTTCATTCCTGCTGCAAATATTTCATTATCAAGCCTTAAGATGAATTAGATATTAATGTATTCAGGTGGGTGAAAATAGTTATTTCACTTACCAAAATTTCTTTATGTTATAGATATGTTCTCAATGTCTTAATTTAGTGACTTTGTATTTGTTAAGACCTATGATGACAAGGGGATATGATACTGTACATTATGGCTAATAAGCATGGACAAAGTCCTAGGCACAGAAAATCAAATACTGCGGTGACCTCCAGCTGGCTGAATCAGGCTGCAGCGCCCCGTCTCATCAACCTCTAGTCTTGGCTCATCAAAGAACCGCTCTCCTGCTGCCCCCCTGTGTGAGTAACCGCGTATTCAAGTGATGATGGATGCAGGTGTGTACGTGCCTGTGTCCTACACCCATGCATAGGTGTGTGTATGTGTGTGCAAGTCTAATCACGTTCCCCTTTGCTCCTGGGGTTATATCTGTCAGCCACTGCCACCGTTGTGATCGTTTGAACTCGCAGGCCCTTTCTGATAGAGAACCTCTCTCATTAGTGGTAGCTTATGTAATCAGTGTCCCACAGGTATCCAGCTCTTTCCCCGCCCTTGCCTGCCTCCTGTAGGACCATATGGGGGCACTGACCTGATGAGCAGGCAGCTGGAGGTACTGAGTCAGGGTAATTAAGACTGGCCCATGGTCTCAAAGAAGCAGAGAGCTGTGGGAGGGTCCTTAGAGAATGTGAAGGTCAGCTTTGAAATGACTATGCAAGCTTTCACACACATCACCAGGTATGTGCACAGGTGGTCTACCTTGATTACAGAATGTACGAGTCTACGTGCCCTGTTTGCACTACCCTCTAAGAGGCTTGGAAATTTGTTGACACAGTTACAAACCCTGGTAACCTCTGCTGAGTGCTGTCACATTGCTTTTATTACACTCAGATCCACAGTGCCTTGGCTGGACAATGCATGAATGTTTAAATTGCTCACAGTGTCCACTGGCATCTCCATCAACCACCATCTAAAGCAGAGAAGGGAGAGTAGGCCTACTATAAGACTCCTCTTTCGCATTTTAATTCATTAGCATTACTCTTCAGTGATTAGCTGTTTGTTTCTTTCTTGAATCAATGTTTCTTTGAAATAAATCTTGGAAAAGCTGCATATTTCAAACTTTGCCTGTAAGCAGGTATTTGCGAGTAAACAAACACAGGAGAGTCCATCATCTTCCGCTCCTCCTTCAACTATTTCCGACACAAAAAGGGTCGGCCAATCATGGCAGTATTGTTGGTTTAGGCGGCACATATAGCTGTGACAAAAGCAGCCGAACCAAAATAAACACAGCAGCGGAGGAGGACACACTATAGCTGCTTCAATCACACCTGTTTTGTTCAATTCCAGGATTTCATCTCTAAAAGAGAAACAGCAAGGATGTGTTGTGGTTCCTCATGGAGTCTGATAATTTTTCCATTTGTTATCATAATTGGCTAAAAGCACATTTTGGTAGGAAGGGTTCTAGGTGTTCGGTGGGTTCAACTGAATGTCCCTCTTTTCTCCAAACTGATCTGACAAGACCTTTCCCAGATTGATCACGTGTAGACCTAAACCTGAGTGATACACATTATTAGCAAGACTGACTTCCTAGGGTAGCTGTTTTTGTCCAAATGATAAAGAGGAATTGGAAGTGGTTTTAGGGGTACATCCCAAATGCATTTCACTTAAACATGTGACACCATCTGAGGGGACGCAAACAAAATTTGAAATGGTTTAAGATGTAGTAGTACAAAACATTGTATCACAAATAAAGAAGTCGACCACAGAGAAATCTTTTTACTTTTTTTGTTTTTTTGTTGTTTCCTTTTTGCCCGTTAGGCATACTCACCGCTTTTGATGAAATCCTTATGATCCTAAATTTTCTGCTCTGCGTAATCTTGACCCACATGGTGAAATATGCCTTTTAGTTGTGATTCATTAAAGATGCAATGTGTGAGACAAACTGAGGGGATATACTTTGCTCTGTGCACACAGATGCATCTACACATCTATTCCATGTTATTATGTACAGTTTTATTTACAACTGAAAAACTCAGCAGTGAGATCAAGTTTTGCACATTTTTTCATCTGTTTGTCATAATGCACAAATTTTGTGTGTACTACTGATTGCCATATATACATGAATGGCTTGCTCCATCAACATGACAACATTGACATGGATCTAAATGGTAGCACATTGAGAATTACTATGTTTAAATGCCTGATCCGTTACACTGTACATGAATCAACAGTCCAGAAGGCAGATTTTTAAATAGCAATATTTACATTCATGCATCCATCATTTTTCTCATATAGGTACATGGTGGGGTATACTGTTTGCTAATACTTGTGCATGTTTACATGCAGGCATGTGTTTCTTATTTTTTCTCTCTCCAAAATTCAACATTTTAGCCAATATTTATGCTTCTCTGACATTTACAGAGATTCTTATCTCAAAGCCCTCATCTGCATGCACACTTGCATACAGACAGATACTCACTTCCTTTCACACTCACATGCACGGACACACGGTGCTTTAATGTAGCAAAAAAAGCAGAGTTGTTTTGTTTTTCCACTGAGGTTGTGGAGGATGGCTGTGACAGCACTGAGTCACAATCGTCCCTGCTGTGGACATCCTCAGTTCAACCTGATCTTGTTGCTATTGGCTAAGTGTTCTCTCTAATCAGCCACAGTCAGCCTTGGACAAATATCCCCTAATTCTATAATTATGGGCAAATTGGCGAATGAAAAAAATAAAGATCATGGAATGTGAACAATGTATGGCCGAGGGCTTCTGGCTGAAACCCTGACCAAATATGTGGAATGGGCAAGTCCAACCAACTCAGCTGTGGATGTACAGGATTGTGTTGTGTTACCAGTTCAAAAATGTGATACTATTGCGTGATGATGTGGAGAAAAAAAAGAAATGTCTGGAAAGCACAGAATTACATAGCACGTCATAGAGACCCAGACTTTTTAGCATATGTCTCTGGAAACACGAAGAGCAGTCATGGGAAAAAGAGAGTACACCCATTCAGTAGCTATAGCCATTTTTAGCAACAATACATATTAACAGAGTTTGCAGAGCTTGATAATACAAATAAATAAAATTTTTTTAGGGGAAATGTTACGTCACTCTCCACTCCAATGTTGCCTTGGATTATTTAAGTGTCTGCGCAGTTTTTTGAATACCACTACAACCTTTTAATTAGTCTGAAGTCTGGGATTTGACTAGGCTATTACAAAACCTTGGTTCTTTTTGTTTTTTAGCCATTAAGTTATAGTTTGTAGCTGTGTTTGGGATCATTGTCCCATTGATGATCCAATATGTGTGAAGCATTAGCTGTCAGACAAGGCGATTCTCAGTAAGATACAAAGTAAACAGGTTTCATGGTCAATTTAGGGTGCTCAGGCCCACCAGGATGTTTGAAAATTGGTATCAGTTTTATTTCTAAAAATGTTGCTGTTAAATATGGGGGAATAAAACAACTTCTTTTTGGTCTACTTGGCTAATTAACGTTTGAGTTTTCATTCAAATACAACTCTGCTAAGCTGGGCTGTCATTTTCTTTTTGAAAGAAATAAGATTTATATCACCCTTTCATGTTGTTTCTAATTGTACTTTCATGAACTTTACCATTTAACAGACTACCAGAGAGCCATTGTGTCTGAAAAGGAGAACTTGGGCTGAAATTGATGGGACATTACAATTTTGGGAGGATCAAAAGCTTAAATAAAATGTTTTCCACAAGTGGATTATCTTTAGAGAAACACTTTTCCAGATTAATATGCAGCAAGAGTTTCTTTTTTAAGATCATTGCTATTTTTTCTCCACCTTGGTGTTGTTAATACAGACTTGTATGCAAAAAAAAAACAAGATAAGTCAATGATTATATCTGTTTAGCAGCACCTGGCTGCTAATGCCACTCATCAATCCAAAAAAACACCAAGGGCGGACCTCTTTTAGCCAAGACTGTCAAGAGAGAAAAACTAAATAGCAAAAATGCTTAGCAGAGTTTGAGCAGACTGACAGGAAGATAACTAATGATTAACATAGTTTACAAATTATTGACTTAAAAATATCAGAGCAATCAAGAAAAAGACAAATTCATCATTATATCCGAAATCTGTAGGTATGTCTGTAAATTACAGGACAGCTTTCTTTAAGTATAAAAATAAATTTGAAGATAGTTAAATAAAATAAATAGATTAAATAAAAACACAAATGACTCAAATATATTACAGGAAACAGAAGTCTTTTTTGCCATGGTAAAAATAACCAAGACGTCCCATGTTGATGCCGCTTCTCTTCTTCTCTGTTAAATATTAATTTCTTTATATTGCATAGTCAGATGAACCCACATCTCAGAGGCAGATCCTGCCCTTCGCAAAGCATGTGCTAAAACAGAGAACAAAAGGTGGACACTGTGACAATGAGGAGGGTTGTAAAAAAATCTTTCATTCTCTGTAAAAACATCATGCAGTTATTGGTTGCGTGTGCCCTGTATGGATACGCACAGGATTGTGGGGCAGCTGTGTTGTCTGATGTCCTGCTGCAGACGTGAACAGTGCGTGAGGTCTGGATCTGCTGCAGACTGGCAGACTGTCCCTCTCCAGCCAGCAGCCAACCAGCCTGTCAGCAACACTTGCTGTTACTGAAAGCATAATGCCCAGTGCCACTTTTGACACCACAGGGAGTTGTGGATCTGTCTCTCAATCCTTTCTGCTGTGATTTCATTCTGATTTCCATCTTTTTAACTCCTCTTTAGCTGAATGCAGTCTTCAGTCCGGGCAACATGCCAAACACAGAGGAGAGGTTTACCTGCCTGAGATCTTCAGGTGAACCCATGTTGCACTAAAGGTCAGAAAGGGTGGGTTGTCTTCAGGAAACATAATGGAGACATGTTGGTGAGTTACTTCCTGGACAAGGAGAAAGTCTATACCACAGTGTTGTTGGTACCAATGACCTTCTTGTTGCGGATGCTCATGGCATATTCACCACGACTCGTCCCATTCTCCTCCTTTCGCAGTGGTTTCCTGTAAATAAATATTTTCACAACATGAGGAAAATTTGTCGTAATGTTAATCCTGCACTGTAACCCATGTCATTACAGATTCTTGTTTGCTTTTCTTTAAGCTGATTTGATTTGATGCTCTGTTGGGGTTGTTAAACTAGAATATCCATCCAAATAAGCTCAAATTTTAAAGGTCAATTTTGCAGGGAGACAGGAGTGAAAAATACACCACCATGCAGCCGATATGGCAATTACCTTCTTGGACTGGGAGATGTAATTCCCCCCCAAAAGTAATAAGCATGCAAGGCTGTCAAAACTGCTTTGGAAATACATGCATTATTTAACCTCTTGTCATATCTGGGCTCCAAACTGGATTCCATCCTTTGTTGTGAGAATGTTCTGCTACAAAATACAGCTACAGTTCATCATCCCTTTGCTGCTAATAGCTGTTTTTGCTCAGTGCAGCCTCTTTCATGCACTCTATAAAGATTATTTTGGGTTATATTATATTTGTCCAATGTACTGTGTTTTTCATTTTCCATCAGCCCCCTCAGCCTATGTCCCCAACCCAAGCTTATGTAACTTAGAGACAGATCTGAATACAGTTAATACTGTCATTGTCCCACTCAACACTGTACATCAGCCAGACCTGCACGGAGGACCCCAGAGCGAAATTCTTGACTCTGTGTCTGCTCCCCACTCCTCATGTGTGAGAGTCCAGTAAATCTCTAATGCTTACTTTTAGTGCAGTTCTGCAAAAAAACATATCTAATGCATCATGCAGTTAGAAAATTAGGTAGGAAGGGTATCCTTAGGTGGGCTTATATGTGATGCAAAGCATTACTATATAAGGAATTACCAGAATTCTTTTCATTTTTTAAGAGGACCAAAAATCCAATAAAGATAGTACATAAAAGTGGCTTTAAGGAACTGAACATAAAGCATATAGGACAGTGTTATAGAGAAATGTTTGTTTGACATGTTCAATAAGACAGCAGACATTTTAGGCTTACATTATCACTCTTTAAATAGGTGGCTTTCAGTAAATCACCAACAGACTGCTGCAGTAGGAACTAAAAAACAACAGAGATGTTTTACTTATATGACAGATTTTTTTCAGCTAAAGTGCGCAGAAAGGATTTCTATTTTACTAAAAAGAGACACATGGTAGGTTTAGTCTATTATGTCTAAACTGTATATGAATAGCCTCAATATATTATCAGTTTTTTTTCTCCTTCCTTTATTTATTATATAAATATATATTGATAAATGTCATTAACCATGTCATTTACTCAAAGATAAGGACTCCCAAAAATTCACAAAGAAGGAACACCACTCAGACCCATTTCAGCAGCTTTAACTCAGTAACTTACGTCATTGCTAAGCAGCTTACCAACATTTTTCGCCCCCTTTGGTGGGAAACACACCACATCACATAGAAAACTGCAAATACTTTGGAAAAAAATCAAACATTTAAAGATGTTGTGAAGAGAAACCCTTTTATCTTTTGATGTTACTTATGTTTTCACGTGCATAACTATATCAGAGGCAGTGAAAACAGTCAGAAAAGGTCTTCAACAAGACGGTGAACAACAGGACTAATTTCACTCTGGACCAGAACTGCACCCTATTGGGCCTTTGTCTTTCCACAACCTATTTCAAGTTTAGGGATAATCTTTACAGACAGGATGGCTTCCATTGGATCTCCCGTGTCACCAATTGTAGCCAATCTTTATATGGAAGAAAGGGAAAAGAGAGCTTTGGACACTTTCAGAGAACCACCACCAAGCCATTGGTTTAGATATGTGACTCATTCGTCAAAATCCAGCTAAAATAAGTGGAAGCTTTCACAAGACACATTAACTCTGTAGACGACAACATTAAATTTACCAGAGAGGATGCTAACAACTACAAGCTACCATCTCTGGAATGTTTGTTGAGCATGGGAGGTGATGGAAACCTCAACATTGAAGTGTATAGGAAATCTACTCATACAGACCAATATGTTCTTTTTGACTCACACCACACCCACTGGAACACAAACTTTTAGTCATCAGGATCTTACAACACCAGGCAGAGAATGTCCCTACTAAAACAGAAGGAAAGCACAAAGAACAGAAACACATCAAAGATGTTCTTCAAAACTGTGAATACCCAAACTGGGAGTTTGTCAGCAAGGAAATCTAAGGCTAAGTTCACACTGCAGGCCTTGATGCTCAATTCCGATCTTTTTGTGAAATCCGATTTTTTCGCTTTGCCGTTTATATTTCCGAATATATGCGACTTGTATTGGATCTCCTGTGTGAACTGTAGTCATACAACGCAAGTGTCCCGCATGTGCAGTAGTGGACGCAATGACGTCACAGGCCAGCGTGCTCTTTTTTTCCGGAAGTAAACATGGATGGTAGTGCCCACGCGCATCTAGTGGTTTTTTTCCAACCATAAAAACACAATATTTTCAATATAGTTAAACATAAATACTGCTATCCGCATCATCATCTGCCATGGTTGTTGTTTTTCTTGCCGCTTCTGCGTAGCAAGACGCAGAATAGTGACCTTTGTCAGGTATTAATGGCGTTCAGGTCGGATGAATCCGACCTGGCCGTTCACACACAGGTCTCAATTGAAAAGGTCAGATTCGTATCGGATTCAGGACGACATAGCCAAGTGGCCTGGGTCGGATTGGAAAAAATCGGATTTGTGTTGTTCAGACTGCCATGAAAAGATCAGATCCAGGTCGCAAATGGGCAAAAAAATCGGATTTGGGTCACTTAAGGCTGCAGTGTGAACGTAGCCTAAAAGACATGCAGACATGCAGCAGAACATAACGATGAGAAGATTAAATGCAAAAACATAGGCATCCCATATGTTGCTGGAGTCTCTGAAAAACTCAAGAGTATTTTCTCCAAACACAAAATCCCAGTACATTTCAAACCTAACAAGACTCTCAAACAGAGACTAGTGCATCCTAAAGACAAAACCCCCAGACCAAATATGAGCGGAGTAATGTATGCAGTTCAATGCAGTGGAATTCTCTGATCTTTATTTTGAAGAAACCAAACAACCTCTCCACAGACGCATGGCCAAACACAGTAGAGCAACCTTCTCGAGACAAGACTCGGCAATACATCCACACCTGATGAACAAAGGACATTCTTTTGAGGACCAAAATATTCACATTTTGGACAAAGAAGATGGGTGGTTTGAGGGGCAGATTTCAGCTTTCAAAAACCTTCAATTGAGTGATTGAATGATTTCTTCCCGCTATCATTGCAACCCCAACCCCATTACAGGGGAACAGAGCACCTCGCCTCTTCCGCCAGGCCAACAATTTCCCTTCAACAACCCACCTTTCAGAGACATAGACAGTCGGGTATTACAGCCTAACAGAAAAAACGTAATGACCCCCATTCCAAAGGGGCAGGCCCAGTCGTCAGGTTCAATTTGCATGTTTCTAGTTGAAAACAAGGCTTCCTTTATGGTCGACTCTATAAAGCCTTGAACTCAAAACTATTTCTAACATTTTGAATTGAAAAAGCTTCATGGATGGGAATCGAAACGTCTTCAAACTTGGAAACAAATTCCAGGCAACTGTTTTTTTTTTTACTATTTCGGAATGACTATGACCTGGATGACTGAGAATCTTAACCAGCACGAACCAGACTCTTGCCCCTCTTGTACAGAGACTGGATGGCTCTAAGTAAAGGCCCCTTTCTCTGTAATACTGGAGCATCCCCTACAGGGCAGCACCAGGGAAATGCTTGACCTCCTCTAGGTCCATAAAACACATGTGGACCAGTTGGGAAACTCCACATGAAAACTTGAGCACCCTTAAATACATTTAAACATAAATTTCTAATTTATGTTTGTATAAAACTTTGAAAACTATTATTGTCATTTTCATTCATGTTATAATTGTGTACTTCTTTGCATTGGTCAACCTAATGAAATGAAAAAATAAATGCAATGAAATAGCCAGTTGTAATGTCCCAAAATGTAATATATTGCACAAGACATGGATATTTATTTAATATACTTTAGACTTTAGGATACAGTAATAAAAAAATAAAAAATGACCTTAGTTTGAATTACCTTTCTAGTTATAACTTTAATCCATTATAAAAGGAATGCCATAAATTATTGTAATTATTGTGAACACCTGTTACACAGATAAATGTAGATGATCCTATGCTTTTTAATAAATTCAAAGTTGCTTTCTTTGGCTGAAGGTCATGAAAGTTAGCGAGAAAAAAACTGCGAACAAAGTGTGAGACTATGACTAAGACTTGTGTCATCTGGCTGGGCCTGTATCAGAGCACACCAGGGGCACAGGATGGTCATGTAGGACAGGAGCTACCCGCTGTGCCCATGTGGACTCTCTTAGAAATAAAACTACTCAGCCTCAGGGTGTAAACACATTCTGCTGTTGGGTTGAAGATACTGGGCAGCTGCAGCTGTAGCTAAGGCAATTAGGATAGACCAAAACTTCCCTGATCATAGTGTTTACAGGCAGCCAGGGAATTTCACTACATTTGAGGCATCATAATAGAAATGTAGCTCAAGAAAGCGTTACATCATTACTCAAAACTAGCTTAATGCCTTTATTTTCATGTGCTCTGTTCTTTGTATATTGGGTGATCAAATAGATCGCAATATCACTGACTAAATGTCTCAGTCATTATGACTGCTTCCTGAACATCTCTTTAAAATGAACTGCAATAATCATTAATCAAATTTAAAAACCATATCAAAATGCAAAGCTTAGGTCATTAAGGTCTTTAAGACGCATGTAAATATTTAACCAAATGATCTTTATTGTGATCTTCTAGTTCAGAACTCTGTAAAGTTTTAAAATGGCCAACAATAAAAGCACAATCAACTACAAACTGAATGCAGCTTTGCCTTTTTATGGGGTTGTTGCTATGGTCATGCAAGACTACTGCTATCAGCCAAAAAAGATCCTCTAATTTTTCTTATGAGACCTTGTCTTTTCTGAATATGTTAACAAAGAGATTTCAAAGA